TGGGAAACCGCTCAGGAGGTCCTGGAGGGCGAGCAGGCCGAGCGCTGCAAGCAGCAGCCCGAGGAAGGGACGGCAGCCATCGTGTTTACGAGCTGTCATCCTGGAGGACACTTTCCGGGGTGGGGCGGGGCGGGGCGCCAAGGTGAAGTGTTGTCATAAAGTGCCTCGCCCGACCCAACCCCCAGACGGCCGGCCCGGCCTCGGCCGCGCGACCCCGCTCGCTCGCCGCTTTTACCGCCTGGTTCACTTTCCAGCTCAGTGCGCTGCCCTGCCTCGGCCCTGCCCCCCCCCCCTACACGCCGAGGCCACGCCCCCGTGACGTCAGCAGACGGCGAGCCTGAGGAAACAGGACGCCGTTCGGTGGTGCTATTGCCATGATGCACCGGTTTAGAGAGTGTCGCAAACCGCAGTGGTGAACCTGTCGACTCGGATGCATGCATCCTCGGAATGTTTGCGTACTAGTGCGTCAGCACAGACGGCGGTTTGACTACGTCAAGCCGCGTGCACGGCGGCCCACGGCGGCCCACGGCCCCTGCAGTCCCTGGGGTAGGCAGCCCCGCGCACACCAGTGCGAGACGCGGCCTACCGGCCGGGGGTTTTCCTCCGTGAACTTGACGGCCGACGGGCGGGGCGGGGGCAGCAGGGGGGCAACAGGGGGGCAGTCGGTGGCGGGAGGGGGAGGGGAGAGGAGGGCAGGGAGGGGAGGGGAGGGGCGGTGACGGCGACGTCTGATAACCGCATGGCCTGCGCGGGGCGTGCGGGGCACCGGGGCGCAGTGGCCGTGCTGGCGGCGTGGCGTCCCGGGCGGGGTACTTGGGCAGGCCGCGCGCGCCATGCCGGGACCGCGGCCACGGACCGCAGGGCCCGCACTACTGCTGCTGGTGCTGCTTGCGCTGCTGGCGCACGGAGGCCGAGGTAAAGTGCAAAGTGTGGGAAGCCGTGTGCGTCGCGTGACGGGGCGCGTGACGGGCCGCGTGACGAGGTGCGTGTCACGCTCGGCAGCGTAGGTCGGCAGTGACACGCCTCGAGCCGGGCCTGGCAGGACCTAGCCACGCGCGAGTTGGAGCCCTTGCCGGCTGTGACGTTGGAGCACTTTGTTTCTTTCGTGATTTCCCGCTGAGTGCCAACGGTCCTCACTCGGACCGCTTGTTCCGTTTTGTTACTCGGTTCAGTCAATGACTGCTTCTTTTTAATCTTCCGAGCATGGCTCGACCTCCATATACGAGTGACACGGAGCTCCTTGCCGGTACAACCCATGTCGTCGTGTCGTGAGTGACCACGTTTCGCTCTTAATTTTTGCAGGCTCCCCCGCGCGGCCCGCGGCCAGCCGGACCACCGCCAAGGCGCCCATGCTAGGCCGCGCCATGCCGCTCGAGGCCCTGGTCGGCGCGGACGGCCGGGACGGCCAGGGGCAGCCCATGGGCTCGTTCATGTCCACGACCAAGTCACCGACAACAGCGGACGCCGGCGGCAGCACCGTCAGCAGCACTAGTAGCGCCAATGTCGAGAGCACAGTGGGCGGCGCTGTTGGCAGCACTGTGGGTAACACTGTGGTCAGCACTGAAGGCACCTCCACCGTCGGCAGCACTGCCATCGTGTCCACCACCATCGGCGCGAGTGGCAGCCCCGAGGAGGAGACGACCACGTCCGCGGCGACGTCGGCGACGGCGGCGACGTCGACAACAGCGCTGGCCTCCCCCAACGACGCCGAGGCCGATGCGGCCGCCACGGCCACGCCGAGTAGACGTCGCCACCACGATGGGCACGGCAGCAGCCGGCGCCGCGACCCAGCGGACGCCGCCAACGCCGCCAGCGCCGCCTCCTCCAAGTCCCTGGACATGGGCGGCGTGGGCGTGCGCTCCCAGTACGACGCCCCCGAGGAAGCGCCGCTGCGCAAGGCCATGCTGCGCGTCGTGCTGCTGCCGCACCGCCACGACGACGACGACCAGGACGGCGGTGACGACGCCGTCGACTCCAGAGCCATCGGCCACCCCGCCAAGCATGTGCGCAGCAGGATGATGGCCGCGCCGCACGGGCCGCCGGAGCCAGAGCCCGACGCGCAGCGCGACGCGCAGCCCGGCCAGTCCAGCACCTCGCACGCGCCCAAGAGGCCCCACGCCGCGTCCATGGTGCGCATCGTGTCCTCGCAGCAGATCCGCATCCTGTCCGACGACCCCGCCTCGCGGCCCGGCATCATGCTGTCCTACGACAACGACCCCGACTCCTCGGTGGTGTTCACCTCGCGGCGCAAGCACACCGAGGTGCACATGCCGTCGGCCGTGCTGCACGGCAAGGCGGCGGCGGACGGCGTGCACCACAACAGCAAGCTCATCTTCACCATCGAGCACAACAGCGAGGGCGGCGAGAACGGCACCGCGCGCAGCGACGGCCAGTCCATCCTGCTGCAGGACACGATGGTGGTGCCCGCGTCCGGGGGCGTGCCGGTGTCCATGGCCTTCGCCATGCCGTCCCCCATGTTGAGCGGCGTGTCGCCCGGCGCGGTGCCCTCGCTGCCCAACCCGCCCTCGCCCCCCGCGCAGGACCAGCAGCAACAGCCGCAGCTGCAGCAGCAGCAGCCCGCCGAGGCCGGCGTCGTCACCGCCCAGCCCGCAGCGTCGCCGGCCTCCTTCGAAGTGCAGCCGGCGGCCCTCCCGGACACAGAGGCATCTTTGGCGGGGGCGGCCGCGCCGTCCGCACCGCCACCACCGCAAGCCGCACAACCAGCGGCACCACCAGCCGCACCGCCGGCGGGGGCCCCGGAGCCCCTCACTGAAGTGCCCTCCTTCGTGGCACCCGCGGAGCCGCCGCCGCCAACCTTGAACCCCCTGCCTGCCGCCGTGGGCCTCGACGCCGTGGTCCCCAGCTCGCAGCCGCCCCCGGCCCCGCCCCCGGGCGTGGAGGACGGCCTGGCACCGCCCCCAGGTGCGCTCCCGCTCCAGCCCCACCCTTTCCCCTTCCCGTTCCCCCCAGGGTCTAGCGCGTTCGGGATGGACGCGCCCCCTGCGGGCCCAGTCCGGAGCAGGATGATGCACCAGCCCGGCCACCCGGATGCCGATGACGGCCACGACCCGCACGAGCCGCCCGTCCTGTCCAGGGCGATGACCCGGGACCACGACGAAGACAGCGATAAGTCGAACCGCTGGCCGAAGCTGGCCGCGCACATCACGCCTGCCCCGGACGCGGCGCGCCACCCCGCGGCCCGCGGGTCCACCACGCCGGCCGCCACCACGACGAGAAGGCCGGCGTCGTCCTCCAGCACCTCGTCGACGGCGACGTCCTCGGCCTCCACGGGCCACTCGGGGCTGGCGGAGCACAGCAAGGAAGAAGCCAGGAGCACGGCGATGGCGCGGAAACCGGCAGTCAGCCAGGTGGGCCCGGTCGGCCCGGTCGGCCCGGTGGGCCACAGCGCCAGTGCCCCGACCACCACCACGACCCTTACCGCCTCCAGCAACTCGTCGACGCGCGCCACGCCGCCGGCGACGCCCAGGAGGCCGGGGCCGGGGAGGACGACCAGGCAGCCGCTGCCGGCCGCGGGGTGAAGGGCGGCCGAGGGCGGCGTCCGCGCGTCCTCGTCCATTCGCAGTGCGGCGCCGTTCGCCCCGAACGACCAGCACGACCAGCACCCTTCCCCGCCAAACCGAAACACGAAACGAAACACGCCCTTGCGAGCGACTTCGGACGCTTCACCACGATTCATGGTTCTTGTTTTGCACACGACAGGAGCCCGCCTGGCCTGGTTCCTTTGAACGCGTCCGTGCACCGGAACATCCCGAGCAGCAACAACAACAACAGCAACACCACTGCAGAAGCAACAACGACAAAAGACTCTTACATTCCAGTTGGCAAAAAAAAAAGTCCAGACAGTGGAAAAGCGGGTGGCCGCGTGGTTGGACTGGCCGACCGTCTGACTCCCCCGCCACCACCAGTACCAGGGCTTGGAGAATAAAACTCGAAGGAAAACACAATCATTCTTTTCTTCATTGTTGTAACGAGCGGCACCCAAGCCTGGAAACGGAAGTAAGACGCGAGGGATGGTGAAACCGGAAACGGCAAGTTATTCAGAGATCTTGTTCCAGGAAATTGAGACCGCTGTAAACTCTCTGCCTGCAGAAGTTACCGCTGATTTCTTACTTCCGTTTTCTGGCGAAATTACGTAGTCGGGAACGCGAGAGGGGGAGGGGGGGAGAAGGTGACGCGGGCGATAAGGGTGTTGTGGCCCCGAGCGTCGACGCCTCGACGGTAGCGGCGGTACAGTCCAGTCACGAAGCACGAAGTAAGCCGCCAGCGCCCGCCACGCTCGTGCCCCTGGTGGAGGACGTTCGCCCCGCCTGAGTGTGTTTTGATTTGCAGCGAAGGAGGCCACGTGGGAGGGCGGTACACTGTCAGGGGCGCGCGGACGCTGCGGCTGCAGACGCCTTCGCCACCATGCTGGTCCTCGTGGGCGCGAGCGTCCTGGCGGTCGCCTGGCTCGGTCCAGGTTAGTGGCCCCAGTCACACTAATTTTTTAAAATTATTGTTGTGAGGAAATACTTTGTGGGATTCAATCACTTTTTGACCAACTTTGTCAGGCTGGTGCTCCGCAACTATTGGTTAAGGAGTCAACTTGGTGGTTAAAGAGCTCTTTACCTTGTTGGGCAGCGGTGGTTCGCGGCGAGGCGCCGACGGCAGTGCCCTCCCACTCCTCGTCGGCGGCCTCCACTCACGGCACGGCCTCGACGACGGCCTCGACGACGGCCTCCCCTCACAGCTCGACGCGGAGCTCCACGCACGCCTCGACCGCCGAGGGGGCGTCCACGCACCACCACGCTGCCTCGGCCACCGGGCACGGCAAGGCCTCCTCGCACGGCACGCACGCGCACGCCGGCAGCACGACCACCGCCACGGCCTCGGAGGAGGAGGACGCCACCGGCACGCCGCACGCGCGCACTGGGCGCACGGCCCACAGCCGGAGTAGTACCGCCAAGGCGTCCTCCGCCTCGGACGACGAGGATGACGACGACATGGCCTCGACGTCGGGGCGGACGGCGACCACACACGGAACGACGCACGGCCTGCGCTCCAAGGCCACCAAGGGGGCCGCCACCTCGGACGACGAGGATGACGACGGCACGGCCTCGACGTCGGGGCGGGCGACCACCGCGGGGACGGCCTCTACACACGGCACGACGCACGGCCTGCGCTCCTCTTGGCACACCGCCTCGACACAGGGGTCGGCGATGACAGCGGGCGCGTTTTCGACAACGCCACGCGGACCCGCGGCGTCCTCGACAGAGGCCTCGGAAAACGGCAGTGCAGAGTCGGCCGACACGGATGAGGCCACGAACGGCACCACTTCAGTTACCACAAGCTCCTCGATAACAACTGCTACAGCCGGAACCACTAATTCATCCACCCAAACTTCGTCCCTTGGACAAACCGCCACCGCCACCACATCATCGCCAACCACCACCTCGGCCTCTACCACTTCATCGCCAACCACCACCTCGGCCTCTACCACTTCATCGCCAACCACCACCTCGGCCTCTATCACTTCATCTTCCTCTTCGACCTCTGAGGATGACTCCGCGGACGAAACCTCTTCGGACGATTCGGATTCCCAGGTACACCCTGGAGAATTGCGCATGGCCTGGAGAAATGCCTTATCCTCTCGGACCTCTTAAGGCAGCGGTTCTCAACCTTTCTCGGCTCGCGACCCCAAATTTGAAGCCAAAAATTTCCGCGACCCCCAGGAAAAATTTCGCGACCCCACGGGACCCCTCCTTTAACATGCCACGGTGTCTGATCCGAGGCGGGCATTTTGCTCCCTCAACGGGCAACTGGTCTTTGGACCTTCCTTTAGCATGCCTTTGTTACGGAGTGCAATTATCAGTCTTAGTTTGGGAGCAGTATTGTCTCAAAGTTGGCCGAAACGGTCAGCAGTGTCTTTGAAAAATCGTGTTTTGGGCCGATTTTAAGCAGCCACTGCGTCTGATCCGAGGCGGGCATTTTGCTCCCTCAACGGGCAGTTGGCTTTGGACCTTCCTTAGCATGCCTTTGTTACGGAGTGCAATTATCAGTCTAGTTTGAGAGCAGTATTGTCTCAAAGTTGGCCGAAACGCTCAGAAATGTCTATGAAAAATCGTGTTTGGGCCGATTTTAAGCAGCCACTGCGTCTGATCCGAGGCGGGCATTTGCTCCCTCAACGGCAGTTGGTCTTTGGACCTTCTTTAGCATGCCTTTGTACGGAGTGCGATTATCAGTCTTAGTTTGGGAGCAGTATTGTCTCAAAGTTGACCAAAAGTCACAACGATTTTTCAAAGACACTTGCGACCGTTTTGATCGACTTTGAGACAATACTGCTCCCAAACTAAGACTGACAATCGCACTCCGTAACAAAGACATGCTAAAGGAAGGTCCAAAGACCAATTGCCCGTTGGGGAGCAAAATGCCCGCCTCGGATCAGACGCAGTGGCTGCTTAAAATCGGCCCAAAACACGATTTCATAGACATTTCTGAGCGTTTCGGCCAACTTTGAGACAATACTGCTCCCAAACTAAGACTGATAATTGCACTCCGTAACAAAGGCATGCTAAAGGAAGGTCCAAAGACCGATTGCCCGTTGAGGGAGCAAAATGCCCGCCTCGGATCAGACGCAGTGGCTGCTTAAAATCGGCCTAAAACACGACCCCAGCATCGCCGCGACCCCTTAAAAAAATTTCGCGACCCCACTAAGGTTGAGAACCACTGTCTTAAGGGCTGCTCTGTTTGCAGAGTCCAGCCGAGTCCACGAGCGCTTCCTTCCAAACAACGCTCGCAATATCAACAATCCCAGGAGAAGCGTTGACGGCGTCCTCCGAGGCCTCAACCAAGACGTCGGAACCGACATCCACGATGGCGTCGTCAGAGATGCCCGCCAGGACGACCCCACCATCGTCCACGACGGCGTCGTCCGAGGCGCCTACGAGGACGTCAGCATCGGCGTCCACGACGGCGTCGTCGGAGGTGCCTACTGCTAGGACGACCCTGCCACCGTCCACGACGGCGTCGTCTGAGACGTCCTCCAGGTCGTCCCGGTCGTCCACCAGGACCGCGTCGTCGTCCTCGTCCTGGCGCCCCTCTGGCAGCGCCACTGACGCCATGGCTGGTAAGTCCGGCCGGCCCCAGCCCGGCCATCGTCGGGGCAGGGCGCTACGCCACGCCATGCTGGGGCCATGCTGGGGGATGGGGTTGACGCGCTCAGCACACAGTGCCGTTGTTTGCGCGGCAAAATTCGAAAAAGGTCGTCGCCAGGTGTATTGGTCGGCGAGACCGGGATTTGCGATTCGAGGGCAGCATGGCGTCGGGTGTTGGGTTGGCGGTGCTGGGCGCGCTGGGCCCTGGGCAAGGCCCTGGCCGCCCTGACCGATTCGCGTTCCAAACAAGGCGGGGCTTCGCGGGGCTGTGCGGGGCTGCGCGGGGCTGCGCAGGGCTGGAACTGGGATTAGTGCGCCGCGGCCCACACATTTCAAACACGGTCACCACGGCCCAGGCACGCCACGGGGACCATTGTTGGCCGGTGTACACACGGCCACAGCGAAAAGGGCTTAAAATTTCATGAATCAAAGATTACATAAAAGCGATTCTGTCAACGCGCGGGAAGCTAGGCCGTTGTGCACCGCGTAACGTGGGGCTTATGGGCGCGTTTTCTCGTTATCTATCGGCCAGCGGCCCGCCCCGCCCCGCCCACGGTGCGCGGGAATTAATGAAACGAAATATAAAGCGGGCCCCGGACTACATAGTGCCCTGGGAAAAGGCGGCCCGGGGCATCAGCTGCACGCGTCCGACACCTCTCCATGGCCCTGTCGCCAAACCCAACTATTTTTATTTGTTGTCGTAACTGCACTGCATTTTGTTTGGTGCGTCGTTTCAAATTCAGCAAAATGCTACAGTGCAGCAGCGGCGCCCCTGCCGGTGTTTCAGACGTGTTCGGGTGGCGGGTACGTCCGACTGGTCTACGCGTGTCCTCGGCGTGTCCCCGGTGCCTCGCCCGCCATGCTGAATGCGGCCCTGCTCTGCCTGCCCGCAGAAGCCGGGCCAGAAGCGCGTCCGGGCGACGGACTGCGGCTGCCCCGGGCACGGCCAGCCCACCAAGGCCGTCTTCCCCGTCAACGACACCTTCCCGGCGGCCCTAGGTGAGGCCACGCCCTCGGCCTGGCCGCGAGGCACGAAGACTGCTGTCTCTCTCGCACCCCTGCGGAACGCCCCATGAGTGCGAGAGAGACAACGAAGGCAGTCGGTGAGAAGTTGGCGGTCGCGGCTGGCATGCTCTGCAGGATACGCCAAGGTGTTCGCGGCCTACAAGAAGGCCCACTTCGACGAGCTCTCCCTGGCCCCCGGTGACGTGCTCACCGAGCTGCAGCCCTACAGCAAGGGCTGGCTGAAGGGCTGCCTCCGCGGTCAGCGGGGCGTGTTCCCGAGCAACTTCGCCAGGGTGAGGGCCGAACCGGCGGTGGCGGTACTCGAACCCAGTCCCAGGGTCCACCGGCAACTAAAAGCATCAGTCTGCCGCCACAGGTAGCCAAAGCCTGCCCCGTGCCGGGCGAGCCATTCAGCTTCGACAAGCCGGACGACGACGGTGGGTACGGGGTCCGGCCCACTCACCCAGACGTTATTCACCCAAAACCCAACAGGCCCAAAGTCAATACACCCACGGCCAATTCACCCTCTAAAATTCACCCGAGGTCCGTTAACCCTTTCTCGATCTCACCCACGTCAAAATAATTCGCCCAAGCCCACTGTGGGAGCGAGGAGTATTGCTTAAAGAGAGGGGTATTGTCAAAAGCCACAGAGCGGTCGGTGATCGGCCAGGGAAAACTATTCCGGCAGCTGGGAGGGCCAGGGAAAACTTTTCCGGCAGCTGGGAGGGCCAGGGAAAACTATTCCGGCAGCTGGGAGGGTCAGGGAAAACTATTCCGGCAGCTGGGAGGGCCAGGGAAAACTATTCCGGCAGCTGGGAGGGTCAGGGAAAACTATTCCGGCAGCTGGGAGGGTCAGGGAAAACTATTCCGGCAGCTGGGAGGGCCAGGGAAAACTATTCCGGCAGCTGGGAGGGCCAGGGAAAACTATTCCGGCAGCTGGGAGGGTCAGGGAAAACTATTCCGGCAGCTGGGAGGGTCAGGGAAAACTATTCCGGCAGCTGGGAGGGCCAGGGAAAACTATTCCGGCAGCTGGGAGGGCCAAGGAAAACTATTCCGGCAGCTGGGAGGGCCAGGGAAAACTATTCCGGCAGCTGGGAGGGCCAGGGAAAACTATTCCGGCAGCTGGGAGGGTCAGGGAAAACTATTCCGGTAGCTGGGAGGGCCTATCGAGCAGCTGGACCAGAAAATATTCCGGGCTGACAGCTATTCTGGGTCAGCATGGGAGCCTTGGCTTTCTACGTAAAAATTTTGGGGGCCACAGCGTTGTTGCAGCACGTGGGTCCTTCGCTGGCCACGCGCTTCATGGGCCCAAGGCCGTTGTGAGCACTGCGATCCCGCTGGGGTTTGCCCCCGCCGCGACGAGCACCGCGCCGACCACGACGCCGACCACGAGGCAGGCCGCGCAGGCCGCGCAGGGCAGGCTGCAGAGTAAGCCGACTTTCTGCCGCGACGCGAAACAAACAGCGCCGCGCCGCTTTTCCTCGTGGGATGCGGTTCAGCCAGTTCAGCCCGATGCCAACGTGCTGACCTGACAGGCGATGGCCTCAGAGGCCTGCGCGCTGCCCGCCGCCGTCGACCAGTGTGTCCGAGACCCGCGCCGCGACCGCCGCTCCGATCGCCAGTTTCGTGTGCGACCAGCGTCCGTTATGACGGGGAACGTGAGGAGCTCGCGGACCGTGGTGCGGCCCAGTGTGCCCCCGCCGCCCCCGCCCCCGGAGATGTCCCGGACTGCGGTGAGGCCCGCGCCACCACCCCCCTTCCCTCCGTACGGTTCCAAGCTGGCCAGCCGCGCGCCCCTACTCCCACTCTCCTCCAAAGCAGCAAGATTGCCCCCGATGTCCTTGATTCCAGGACCGTGGCGGTCAGGCCCGCGCCCCCGCCGCCCCTCCGCTCCAAAATGACCAGACTGACCTTCCCTGCCTGGTCGGTGACGAGGCCGGCGACGAGGCCGGCGACGAGGCCTGCGAATGCGCTGCGCCCCGCGGCCCCGCGCTCCGGCCCCAAAATGTGCTATCGGCTGTCGGTAATTCTAGGAGGCTGTTTTGCCCGGTGCGGAAAGGAGGGGAAACGCCGCGTCCATGCCCTGCGCGCGAGAGCCTTTGCGAAGGCGCGAGGTACCGGCCATTCATTACTAACACCAGGGTTGCATTTGACTGGCCGCGCTTTCCAGCTAGATTCGGGCTTCCCCGGCGCAGCGTCTGAGTCAACCCTATCTAATCCAACGAGTGTCTTGCGGGCCCTAGCCCCTGCGGCCCGTGAGCTATGCAACCCGCGCTGCGCACGTCAAACAGCGACTGCTTCCTGCGTCATCCGCGTGGTGGCGCCACCGGACGGCCACCAGCTTGCAGCTTCCGTTCGCTTTCTGAAGTTTCGCGATTGGTTATTGGTTCAAGGACTTTACCTGGTTTATCGATGGCTCACTGCAATGGTACCTGTGGCTTTCCTCCAGGGCTGGTCAAAACTGGAGAAATAACTGGAGCAGCGGGATCGAAAACTGACCGGCTGCGACCGCCTCTGGTCGGTGGGGCTTCATATGAACGTGCCCTACGCGCCTGTGCTGTTTGTGTACAAGTTGGCCTTCTTTTTGTTGTTATTGTTTTGCCGAGGCGTATGATATCATCGGGGTTGGGCTGCTGGCGGTGCTTGGGATGTGTTCAAATTTCGTTGAATTTCCCTCTTTCGTGGCCAGTCTCAGATAAAATTCTTACTGGAGTTCAATACAACGATGGGTAAGTGCTGAACGGATCCAGAAGTTGCCCGTTAACGAAGCTGGGCCGCCTTAATCGGGGCCTCATCGTCTCAATTTGTGGCGATACTTGCAAATTTTCCTACATAATTTCGCAGCTGAATGCTTTACTGCCTTTGCACTGATGATCAGATGACGGTTCCGCCCAACGAACGCACTGGCTCAGCGGCTCAAGCTTGGCTTCGCTTGTACATCTATTGACCCCCATAGCCTAAGCCTACTTGTCAGGACGTTTGGCCTCGTTCGCCAAATACCATTCATTTTGTATTATTTCACGGGGAGGTTCCTTGCTGAGTCGCGCGAGCAATGCTCCTTTTGCTGCTGCGAGGATAAGTTCCGTCCTCGCGTCTTCTGTGGGTCGTAGATTTCTGAATGAGAACACGGCCCAAGAGGTTAAGTAGGTTCTCAATTTCACGTGTACATATCTATGCACATTCGCTCCAAGAAGCACTCTTCCCCCTCCCTTCCTACTGTTGACATGTTTTTCAATCCTTCGGTATCAGTTCATTCCTTTCTGGTACAACTTAAGTTTGGGGGTAGTGACAACGGGGAGTAACCGCAACAGAACATACATTCTCGTTGTTTGTCTGCTTTGCAGAATGAAGGATGTAGGATGAACTAAGAATGGGCTAAGCTCCAAGTCGCATACATATATATTTATCCTTTGACAGCTATTTATCTCAATCGCAGAGGCTACTCTATGGTGACCTCTTAAACGTGTTCTGAGTGAGAGCATATTCCCATTTACAGTGGAGGCGGTGGTGGAGTTTGACTACTCAGCTCAGGAAGTCGATGAATTGTCGATCCACAAAGGTGATGTCATTACTGACATTCGCACACAACCGGGTGGATGGTGGGAGGGCTGTCTGCATGGTCGCAGAGGAATGTTCCCGGACAATTTCGTGAAGGTGAGATCCGAGGTCTGCTGATCCTCATTCTTTTATGTTGTAGCTGAGGACTAAGTAGTGAAGATTTAGAGATTATTCGTGAGTTCGAAACCTTCTTTACCTGTCTATTTCAAAGAATTTCTCATCTGTATTGCGAGGGCTATAACTCACCTTCTCCTGTAGTTTTCCTCCTTTCATCTTGAGATAATTCCTTATTACCGCTGTTAGAAATGTGACTCTTGTAGTTTTGGGCGTTGGTGGTGTTAACACACACAAATGTAATTTGTTGTTGCAGTGTGTCTGCCGTGAGGTGTAGCAACAACCTCTTGGCTCTCATTTAAAGTTCTGACGCCTTCTCTTTTTCTCTTAATGCTTATTGGAAATAAAGAGAACTCAATTGGATGCTGTTCATTACTCACACACATTTGCATTTTCCCCCCAAGTCTGCTCATAATGCTACTTTTAAAATTTGCTGCTGTCTCACAATGCTTTGCACATTAAATGCATGTGCATGTAGTAGTTCTTACTTATGTTAAAAAACAAACCAATTTTAACATGTCAATGCATTTTTGAGGGATTGTATTTCTTTATATAGTAGTAGTTATGTCAGTTCCATTGTAGTGCATGTAAGTTTTGATACTGGAGGCTTGGTAAGTTGCCTTGTTGTATAATTAAATTTTAAATTCTTGCTTAGTAGATTATGGAACATAACCTTTTTTTTTGCAGATTCGAAGTAAGGCTAACGGTACCTCTACAAAAGAAACAATGGCCAATAATGAAGTCCAATTGCGTGGAGGTAAGTAAAAATTTTAATTTTGTGTTTTTTAAGATCTTGGTCATAATTAACCACATTACTTAAGTTTCTCATATCTGTGTGTTTCTCTATGTATCTTAGGCAGTGCAAGAAGGTGTAAAGTTCTCTTCAGCTACCAGCCTGCCAATGATGACGAATTGGAGCTTCAGATCAATGATGTCATTGATGTATTAGACGAAGTAGAAGAAGGGTGGTGGCGGGGCAAACTCAGAAATAGGGTAAATCTCAAAGACTCTGAGCTGTGTAAAATACCAGCCAAAGATTGATTCTTGCTTAACATAAGCTATGACTGTTTCAGGTTGGTGTGTTCCCTTCAAACTTTGTTACTGAAATAACAGAGAAGCAAACCAATGGTGGACCAGGTAGCCGCAAAACATCAGCCACTCAACCACCTCCCTTATCCATGATTCGTAAAGAAGAAGTTTCAGGTAAATTTAAGAATAAAAAAATTTCATTGATCTGAATTTGGTATTATATGGATTGCATTTGTTTCTGTGATGGAATTAACATTTGAGTTGCTTGTTTTGGTTTCACAGGTGACAAAATGAAGGGGGTCATCATTAGTGAAACAGATTCACCTGCATCTCCAACGGGGCCTGATTCTGGTAATCCAAATGCACTTGATGTGGACTGCAATGCTCCTGTGCTCCCTCCTAAACCAGGTACTACCTTGGTTACTGAGATTGTTCTCTTAATGAGGCTTTACCTCTTGTGCCAGCCCATTTCTTAACAATTGTTCTCTGTTCCCTTTGTAGTGAAAGAGCTTTGCCGTGTCCTATACCAATACGAGGCAGCTAATGAAGATGAACTAACACTGAAGGAAGGTGACATTGTCACAATTGTAACAAAGGATGTTCAAGACAAAGGGTGGTGGAAAGGAGAGTTGCGCGGCCATACTGGGCTTTTCCCCGATAATTTTGTGGTCTTGCTTCCTCCAGAAGAGGTATTTGAAGACCTGATTATGTACTTAATTGAAACTGCTTGTTCTCTGCATACTGTATCATTAACCTCATACTGATTTCAGTCCCCACAGGCAAGAAAACCAGAAAGGCCACCCCCTGCTAAAACAACTACATCTATATCCACTAGAGGAGACATCTCTAAAGTTCCTACTGCGAAGAAGTCTCTTGACAATTCAAAGCCAGGTATATACTAGTCATTTTTGCTGCTATCCATCTCAGTATATGGGAGTCACATTCTTAAATGAACTGATTGTTGTTTCAGATGAGAAAGCTCCACCTGTGCTCAGTAAGAAGCCAGTCCTTCCGCCTGCATCGAAAAAGCCTCAGTTGAGGAATGCTGCCCCCGCTGTGTCGCCACCAGTAAACACAGTGACAGCACCAAAGAAAGGAGGTAACGAAGTAGCTGACAGTCCCGAGCAGAGGCTCAACGATCTTGTAGATGGGACTGCGAGTAGTAAACTTAAAATAACAAATAACTTGTCTGGAGGTGAGTTGATTGCGTGGGTATCAGCTGGGTGGTGGACGGTGGAAGATGTGGTTATGACTGAATTACGTGTTGGAAGGGAGGCTAGTTTAGTTCTGGGAAGTTTATGTTTCAGTAGATTTGTTCATATAAAAATAAAGACTGACAATCTTTCAATTCAAACTGTCTGGAAATTTATTTTTCTTCATCCTTGTTGTGTTTGGAATTGCTGCAGATGCTGATTTTGATGGAGTGGAGAGAGGTGCCATGCTGACACACCCCACGGCCTCTCGTGCCAAAGCACCTCGGCGACGCTTGCCGACGGCCATGCTGAATAAGGACGCAGTATGTTTCTCTCTTAACAACAAATTTTCATTTCAAATTTATGTGTGTAACAGTGTTTCCATTTTCTTTAACAGGAACCCGTTGGAGGAATGTTAAATGGAAATAGTGATCACCACAACCATTCCAATGAGAACAATGTATCATTAGAAGAAACAGATAAAGAAAATGGCTTTGACATCAACAGCAGTGCTTCAAGTGGAACTTCTTCCAATCGCAACAGCAAGGAGTGGGAGAAGAATAAGGCCCCGTGGATGGAAGAGTTGAAGATGAGCCAGGCTGCCAAGAAAGGTATTAAAAGCCCAGCTGCGCCTAGCCCTCCAAAGCCAGAAACAGGTGTGTTTCAGTGTTTTTTTCTGAAGTCACGTCACTCTCATTCATCACCATTTTTAACTACTTTTATGTCTCATTCATGTTTTCACAGCTCGTTCAAAGAAGGATATCCCAGACAGTCCTGCCAGCCCTACTTCCCCTGAGCCACCAAAGCCCAACACTGTGACAGTCCGTCAGCACTCCACAGCGAACAACATTGCGAGTAGCGCGCCCAATCACCCCCCATCGGCCACTGTGTCTTCTCGGCCTCAGTCTGTTCATAGCGAGGTGCCTGCCACGCGACTGTCTGGACCTGGAAACCGACCCGTCTCGATGTATTCAACAGCCAATGACAAGTTATCCACTCCTCCCTCAAACTCCGTGCCTCCAGATGCCACTGTGCCCATGAAACAATTTCTGGAATTGGTGGAGAAGGTAGGAAGAAGGGAAGGGAGTTCTGGATTACCTCTGCTGACTGTGTTCAAGACACTAAATTGATTTTTTTGTTTCAGGTCAAAAAGCTGGAAAATCATTGTGAATTCCTGAAGCGTACGGTCACTGAACTCAGCCTACAATTAAATGAAGAAAAGGAAAAACGATTCCAAATGCAACAGGAAATAGTTAAACTGACTGACCTTGTTACTCAGGTTTAATATCAATTCCCTACCTAGGCTATGTACACCAAATTATACTTTTGTCAATCCTGGACTTAAATTTGTTGCACATATTGTTTTCTTTTTGTTTCCGTTTATGTCATACACAGTTGATAACTGTTAACAATTAGGCCGTATTTGTCCAGTGTTTTAATTGTTATATTAGATGTATGAGGGACTGAAAGTCAAATGAAGGAGGGATACCTGGTGTGTGTTACTTTGTAAACTGAATGAATTTCTTGTTTTTTATCATTTGTTTTTAGTATTGGATTTCACCCATCTGATAAGGTTTGCTCCCTGTCCCTCCCATATCAACCAGGCCACTGAGGTCGTTACCTAGTGCTGTTACCTTATCTTATCAGCATTCCTCCTTCAGTTGACTTTTGTTACAGTTGAAGTGGCTTTTTAGGAAGTCATTTTCAGTGTTTATACAGTTTTAGGTGTATGATCAATTTTGTACATAAGCCAATTGAACATATTTTCACTGGCTTGTTTTATCCATTCAACATTATATGTGTTTCTTGCTGACACTTTCAGCATTTTAAGTACTTACAGATCATCTAGTCTTTCAATTTTGTATTTGTCTTAAAACATTCCTGAATATAAATTTGTTTGTTATATTTACAACTGAGGCTAGCCTCATACTCATCAAATTTTATTGCCTTATACAATGTGCTCAAATAATTTGCTTCAAATCATGTCTCACAGTATTTGACGATCATGTTAACACTTGTGATTCCAAAACATTCCATGGGATACTTTACTTTTTCATTATAGTATTTTGCCTCCTCCAGCATCCATTATTATTGGCATTTTTGTCTGGAGGGAAAGTTATGAGTGGTGTTTTGTAGTCATGCTTTGGTTTGCAACTGAGTTTAGACCTAGTATTTTTCTTTCTATACTGTACCATTGTATAAAAGTATGTAATATTTTTCTTATTGCATTCCAATTTGAGTGTTAAGCAAGACATGAAGAGCTCAAGTCATGAAATGTGACACACCAATTAGTCAGGCAATGTATCTATCATTAATATCCTTTGTAAGAAAGTAAATTTAAACATATTCATACCGCATTTGAGAGTAAAGTACTTTTCTAGTTATTTAACACAATTGATTACTGAATATGAATTTTGCTTGTGTATTTGTACTGTATTCTATATTTTAAATAACAGTAGACAGGTAACAATTTTATGCAATTGACTCTGGTGTTGCTTTTTGCTATAATAACCCTTAAGTGATTCTTTGTTTTTGCTGTCGGTAATGATATTAATGGCAGTAGCTTACTCCTGTAAAAGACAACCAATATTTAATATTCCAAAAAATGTAACCTTGATCAAGTTTGACACTTTCGAACAATCTTGGTATGACAAGTACAGTGGTGCAGATAGGATTAAGACAAGTTGTAGACTGGGAACAAATGTCTCCAAACTATTTCTAAAATATTTATTTTTTGATCATGTTTGGCTAGTTACATAAAGACTTGAGTGCTAATGTGAGGTTTTATTGCAGATGTGTCGAATAAGCGTTGATTATTTCAGTGTGATGTTTTTTGAATGTGTGGATACAGCATCATTTCTTGTGGCCAATGTCATCAATGAATAATTTTTTTAATTTGTTTTGGAGGGATAAAACCATTCAAGTCAGGCAGTATATCATGGGAACCTTACAGTCAAACAGACTTTTAGAAGGCCTCTCAGCCTCAGTATCATCAAGAGTGTACTTTAGTATTACAGTATAATTTATATATATGTGTATTTTTTATAACACTTGTACAGACTTTGGCCATAATTGAGGTGTACATGCTTTATATATAATTAAATATGCATATATTTAAATACTTACCCTGTACAATAATACATATTTTCATTCATTCCTATCAAATGTTAGAATATGAACTGTTAGTAATACAAGTACTGTAAAGCCTTATTTGGGCAAATAGCATTACCATGCGGTTTCTTGCTTCACACCAGGTTAAGGGTATTCATGTCATATTGTTGGTCTGTGTCTCTTGTATATGTATTAATTTCTGTTCTGAAACAGATAGTATTATGGAAGTAAATTGTTGTATGCATTGTACCAATGAGAGTACTTGTATTAGTTTGTTTTGAACAATTTGGGAACAACCTGAAAGTATTGAATGTGATTGTAATTTCACAGTGCAGATTCCAAAGGAAGACAAGACACTGAGGTGATATACAAGCGTTTTCATAGCTATACTTGTGGTCTATCAGTATTGTACCCTTTCATTCAAAGGCTCTCTTGTCCTGGGTGCATGCCTGATTTTAATTGTAATTGACTGTGTCAGTTGATCAGCTGTATGTATCCTCAGTTCTTCTTTCTTGTCTGTTTTAAATTGAAATACTTTCTGTCACAACTAAGTCTACAAAACCAGTGAAATCATTCCCAACCTAGGTTAAATAATCAGTATGATAAAACAAAAAAAAGAAGAAATATTCCAGAGCTAGCTTTTTTTCATATAGCTTAATATCAAAACAGAATGTGCCATTGGTCACTGTTGCATCCACTTTTGTAAGATTTTTTGGCCTCTGTGTGTTAATATTGAAGGAGATCCACTGTTATGTGGAAAGCATAATTCTTGAGAACTGTTTAAAGATTACTTTAAACTACAGGACTGAAATTTTAGCATCTGGTGCTACGTACCTATTGTATCACAAACAGAACTTGAATTACACCTGTAAGTTTGAAAATGATTCTACTCTAAGTGTAAGTTTTGCCTTTGTGGTATAATATGATTACCTCTATGCTTGTCAATCTTTGTTTTTATTTATGTGTTCAAGGTATCCTTGTTGAAAGGCATACCCTCCTTATGTATGGGGCATGTCTTTTACCCCAGCTCCCTACCACTTCTCTCTCTTTTTTTTCTTCATTAAGTTAATTGCGACATGAACAAGCAGAATCTGCTTTTGAAACAATGAAGGCGTAAGTTATTTTTATAGAAAAGACTAGATAGTTTGGATATCTTTTCTATTTAGTATAACATTTTGTAAAATCAGATCCTGTCCCTTGCACTATTTTTCCCCAACAGTTTTTGAAGTTTCTTAAAAAAGTAATTGTTTTTGTTTGGTAGTTTTTTTTGGTCATGAAACTACTGAACGTCTGGGTGTGTTAAACTGCTCATATCCAGCCAAATTCTGTTGTCTTCCCTCAGAAACACATGTCCCTTTTCTTTCTTTAAAGCAGGAAATAGTTAGGTGGTCTTAGTTTTCTGTAGTAAAGTTATTTTTAAACACTCATTTAAATGTGACACTCTTCCTGGTGGTACCCTTGTGTCCCCTTTGTGGTGCTATCTCTGTTCAGTTGTCTGGCACTGATAGAAGAGAAAAGTCTGCATGAGTAACTGGACTTCATTCGATACCATTGACTGATAGGGAGTGTTTTGTAGCTAGGAAATTAATGGATCATTGGTAGTGGCAAGTTCATAATGTTGATTTTTTTAAAATCCCTTTCAAATGAGTCTCATTTAAAGAAAAAATTAAAAGAACAGTTTGAGTCACATTTTTATGTCAGGTTGTGACTTGTTAACTTAAAGGAGCATGCCCCTGCCACAGCTTTTTCAAAATACAAATGACCATCAAAGAACGTTCTTGTAATTTATCATTGTGAAATAGCTTGGATGCTGGTTGTGTTTCAATACTTGCCCTGAATCATTTAAAGATTTCCTCATTATAAATGATGATTATTTCATTGTGCAGTTGAAGCCACATTAAGCAACTCAAGAACCACTTGTTCAGTGGCAGATACCTTGTATTTTTGTTGAATAAAAGAGTGTTGAACATCACATTTTCGTTAATTTTCCCCTAATTCAATCACTATCAGACCAGAAAAAGTCAAACAAAATGCGTTTGGGAAAATAATTCAAAGGGGACGTCCGACTGCATGCTTTCATTTGGGGTAACTTCAATTACTGTGACAGTTTAAGCGCGGTCCCCTGGTGCAACACACTGCAACACCAAACAGACTCCAGCAGCGAAACGAAGAGGGTAGCCTTGAGGAGCCTTGAGGACCTCGGTGTCTGTGTGTGTGGCCCTCCCGCTCAAGTTAATTTGGACCGACCTTACACACATGGCCTCTGAACCTGAGCTCCAAACCTAAAGCCGGGACCAAACCCACGATCTGCTCCGAAGCCGTGTCGCCGTGTCGAACACCTCCCCTCCCCGCCCCACCCTCGCCTTGGGCTTTGGGCTCCAGCTCGGGCCCGATCCTGGAGCGGAGCCCCTCCACCCCCTCTTCCCCGGCCTCCACGACTCCACGGCGGCCGCGGAGGGCCCCCCTCCCTTCCCGACCGGTCGGACGAGGGTGGCAGCCAGGCAGGCGGGCGCCAGTCGGCAACAGGCAGCACCAGACGGGGCCCGTGAGGCCCGCCTGCTCGCCGCGCCGCGCTGCCGTGCCCCGGCCCCGGCCAAACTCAGTCGAGACCGAACGATCGAGCAGGTGAGGTTACGGACGACCGAACACCCACCTGTTGTTAGGCTGTGACCGCGAGCCAACAACGAAACGAACTGAGACACAAGAGTGGTGGTGTCGAACTAGAACGAAGCTCGACGGGCCCGTGGTGCTGTTAACAGTGTATCCTGTGTGGTTGTGAGATGAGCTAGCGCCCCCCTCCCCCTCCCCCCGAAAAGGCACCGCGCCGGTCGGGAGGTGTTCAGCCCCTGCCAGATGCCACCTGAGGATTTGGATTTTGTCTCCTCGTTCGCCGGGATAGCCGAAGTCGTCTCCTTCTCATATGGGTGAGTGATCCGAGAAACCCTCGGCCGTGAGTCATCGCTGCATCATTTCCTCGTCGTGCTCGGAGCGTTTTTGTTGTTATTTTTGTTGAGGCCGTATGCATGATTGTTATTATTTTTTTTGTGGACACCGAACAATGGTGGTAACAATGGAGGTGAGTTATCCGCAGAGCGGGGCATGCGTTGCATGCATTAGGTGAGGTTTTAAGCAGGGCGAGCAGGTTGCGGCTATTTGAGATAGGGCAATTGGGAGAATATATTGCCTCCAATAGCCATTCCCAAGTCCCCGAGCCCGTTGGTCGGTCGGCTCGGCTCCCCTCACCTGTCTCCCCCCCCCCCTCTCTTCCGTTCGCGGAGTCCTTTTGTGTAAGGTATAGTGCTTATTGAAAGCGCTCCCTCTTTAGCAGTGACCAGGACGTGACGACGGCGCGACCACGATCTGACAAGGATGTGACGACGGTGTGGCCGGGACGTGACAGCTGTGACCAGGAAGTGGCGACGCCGAGACCAGGACGGAGTCCTTGTGACAGTGTGACAGGGATGGGGTCTCCTCGGGGTGGTGCGGGGTGGCGGTGCACTACGGTGCACTCGGTCCAGGACGTGCCGCTGCCGTTTCGGCCTCCCTCCAGCGGTAGTAGTAAACCCTGCTCTGTCTCTCTCGCACCTACACGACCTACACGGGACGCACCGTGAGTGCGAGAGAGACAGCGACTGACGCTTTGCGGAATCGGCGTGATGGCGTGCCGGGCCGCCGCGCCCCGGGCGTGCCGCGTGCCGCAGCCGCGGTGACGTGACGGTCACTCTTGCCGTCTTTTGTTGCGCAAATTCGCGGTCGAAGGCTAATGCCAAGACTGTCTGTCTCTGTCTCTGTCTTTCATCGCCGGCCTGGCGGGGCCTGGCGGGGCGTGGTGGGCTGCGCTCGGGGGCGGGGGCCTGCACTACTCTCTCTGTGACGGCGGGGGCGTCACCAACGGCGTACACACACACACACACACACACACACACACACAGAGCACACGCGGATATACACAGCTGTGCGCCACCGTGCCGATGTCGCCGAGCTCGCCGCGCGCCCCGTTCCCGTCGCCCGTCGTGGTCCTCGCCTTCCTAGACCTGCGCTGGCGCTGGCGGATTTGGGATTTACGGTGTACGCGCTGTCTGGGAGAAATCCCAGAGTTGGCGCGGCCAGTGTCCTCGCGGTCCTGGCCCGCCTCGCCAGCGCGCCAGCGCCCGCAACTTCGTCGTAAAACTTAAAAAAAAAATTATAAATTAAAATTTTTGCCTGTACGTAGTACTATTTTTTTTCGCGTCGCCGCGCGGGTCCTGCTGAACCTGAGACCCGGGGGGCGTATCCTCTTGCTGCTGGTGTGGATGTCCAGGCGGTCCAGGCCCGGCGGCGCTCCAGAGCACCTCCTCCTCAGCCCTCGGCCCAGCAGACTGATCCCGAGAGTCGTTTTCGTCGCTCTGTCTCTCTCACACTCATGGCGCGTCCCATATAGGTGCGAGAGAGACAGAGCGACGAAAACGACTCTCAGTCTGCACTGGAGGCGGTCCATAGGCGCACCCCCGACCGACGCCCACTGCACTGCGACGACTGCGAGCGGCTCTGGCCATTGGCTCTGGCGGCACAGCCAGCGCGTACACTGTATTTTGCGAAGCGAGCACCACGCAGCGCCGGCAGTGGCAGTACGTATGCACCGTGCAGTTTGCAGCGTTGCCATGACAACGTGTTTGCCTTTCACGTCGGCTGGGCTGGGCTGGCCTTGATTTCGGCAGTGCAGGCCGCGCGTGTCCCAAGACACGCCGCGGCGACGCCGACGCCGGCCGCGAGAATGGAAGTGGTGGTGGTGACACCGCGGACACCGCAACGGCGGCAAAAGCACGCCTCCCTCCGCTTTTCGCGACTTTCTCCTGGAAAACAAGTGTTTTCTTAACAGGTGCCATCGGCGCGCGGTGTGTGTGGTCTTTGTGCGACGCGAGCCAAACACACACGGAGGCGGTGGCCCGCGGTGCCCTTACCCTTGATTCTTGATTGGATGCCGTGGGAGCGACGCGAGCGAGGACTGCGGCGGTTTGAGAGCGGTGCCCCACACCGCCATTTCACCGCAGTGCAGTGCGGACAGACACGCATCGGCAGGACTCGCAGAAGACTCCCAGCGAGGACTCTCAGCAGCAGGAGGACTCTGTGGGTCGCCCCGAGCGGTGCGCGCTGGTGGCGCTGGTGGAGTCCACGGCGGAGACCTGCTCGACGTACTCGTTCTGCCGTTGGGTCGTTGGAACGGCTCTCGGGCTCCCACAAGCACGGCGCCATTGTGCACGGCGCAGCCGGGCGTATGCACACAGTGTTGCAGAATTAGCGCGACTCCGTAAAAGAGCTTCGTCGCTCTGTCTCTCTCGCGCCCCTGCGGAACCTGGCCGACCCCCCGCGAGTTGGAGAGAGACAGAGCGGCCTGGAGGCCTGCACGTACAGGATATGTGCGACGCTTCCAGGGTAGAGTAGTCCGTTGGTCCCCGTATGGCGCGGGCCGTACGTAGAGAGAGACAGAGACAATCGCCGTAGAGAGAGACAGAGACAATCATCAGAAGAGAGAGAGAGAGAGAGAGAGAGAGAGAGAGAGAGAGAGAGAGAGAGAGAGAGAGAGAGAGGCAGCGGCCGGAAACACGTGGCGATGCCTAGGACGGGGTGGACGAACGGTCGGCCCCTTGGTCGGCCCCACGCCATGTCTCGCGTGCAGTGCGTATGTACAGGGTGATTGCCCTGGGTTCAAATACCGCACCCACTCATTTCGGTAATTTTTTTTCCGTTGTTGGTTTTGGGTTTGGCTGTACAAACGTAATGCCTGCTTGCCTGTCTGTCTGTCTTCCGTCTGCTAGGACGCCCCCTCCAGCCTTCTCGCGGTGTGTTGCATTAAACATTAGCCGGAAACCTGCCCATATAGACCACGGCGCCAAGCCCGGCAGAGTCCCTGCGCGTCCGCCCGCCGCTTCCAGTGTCACTGTCCCTGAGGGGCACGTCCCGGACACGTCCCGGACACGTCCCCCGGCATGGACTCGTTGCAATGCTGCAGGCAGCCAGGAACCACTGACGCAGCAACTGCAGCACGGACTACGATGACCTGCAGCGCGTACCGCTCCGTCGCCATGGTTACATACCTGCCACCCTTATCAACGGCGCTGCACCTCTCTCTCTCTCTCTCTCTCTCTCTCTCTCTCTCTCTCTCTCTCTCTCTCTCTCGCACTCGTGGGCCGCCTCCCACGGGGTGCGAGAGAGACAGAGCGACGAAAGCGCGCACTTTCGGGATCAGACTCACTGATAAGACAATATCACAAGGCGGAAGTCGTGGGAGACAGAGTGAGAGGAAAAAGAGGTGGGGTGGAAAAATGAAACGGTGAACTTTGATCCCGGTGGTGCGTGGCCTCGGTGGCCTCGGTGGCCTCGCCGCCGCCCTGCGTTGACGTCTCCGGAACGGCCGGCGGGCACACCACTGGGGTACACCGCGCAGCCCGGCGCAGCCACACTGCAAGCCAGATTGCATCACCGAAATGCAACGGTGCAGTCCGGCCTGCAGCAGCCTGGTTCCGAGAGTCGTTTTCGTCGCGCTGCCTCCCTTCGCACCGACGCAGGACGCCCTGCGAGCGAGTGCGAGAGAGACAGAGCGCTGATGTTCGACGTGCCTTGTTGCAGGGGTGCCGTCGAAGCCGCCTGAATCCCCAGCAGCCACACAATGGCCACACTCGCCGCCCGAGCTCCCAGCGAGGAAAGGTGAGTTTATCTGGAAAAGAGAAGAAAAAGGGACGGCCGCGCGCGGTGTTTGAACCCGCGTGCATTGGCGAAGCCCCCTTCGGCCGAGCGTCGGGCAGGCGCCGCGCGCCGCGCCGAGGCATCGCTATTTTTGGAGTCGCCGGGACGCGGGACGTGCACGGAGCGATTCTGCTGGAAATACTGTAATTTCGGCACGGCAGCGGGGAACTTCATCAGAATCGCCTGCGGCGTGTGTGTGTGTGTGTGAGTGAGTGAGTGAGTGTGCGTGTGCAGGGAGGGGCAGCCCGTGCTTTTCACCGCCCTCGCCCCTTTCTCTCCGAGACACACGTAATGCACTTGGTGCGTCGGGCCCGGCGGGCCTGCCGGTATGGCCGGGCCTCACTGCCGGGCTGGAGGCCGGCCCGGGGAGGATTCGATAATCACCCAGTCGGGCTGCAGCGTGCAGCGGCAGCGGCTGTTACTTGCAGTGGCGTGGCGCTGGCGTGCCGGGAGGTCCTCCTGTTCCTGGAGGACGTCGTGCTCCCCGCGCTCCTCGACGGCGCGACGGACGACGACGGACCGGGATTGTCGTGCCGATTACGGCGTCCTTCCTTCCTTTTTCCATCCCCGTTCCGTTTTATTTTCCGCTCCGCCATAGTCTTTGATCTCCGCTCATCGCGATGATGCCATTTAGCCGCGTCGGCGCCCCGCCGCCGGGCCGTCGCGCTGTCTCTCTCGCACCGCCGCGGGCCGCCGGGCCGCCCCCACGAGTGCGAGAGAGACAGAGCGACGGCGCACGGCACAGGCGCCACGACGCGGTGGTGGCCGGCCCAGCACACTGCCCAGCCCTCGAACGAGGCCGCCATTGCACCGGTTAATTAGGCTTACTAGCCAGGGGAAGGCCTTCGGCCTCGATGCTGAGCTGGATTCTGCTGGAGATGGAAATGCATTTTCATCAGTAGTAAATTTGGATGTGTTTATTTTGAAAATGAGCCTCTTTTCTTTTTGGGGGGTGATAGCCAGGAAGTATGCTTTTGCGCAAAGGATTGTGATTCGGCAATGGTTGGTTTCTCCTTGAATCGACGGAAGGCTATTTAATAATCTAAAACTAAATGTTCCAACCAATCCTAACCTAACCTAACGGGCTCGTGACAGATCTTACTCTACTCGTGACAGATCTTACCCTACTCTCGACAGATTTTATTCTCAAACTAAATGGTCCAACCAAACCTAACCTAACCTAACGGGCTCGTGACAGATCTTTCTCTACTCGTGACAGATCTTTCCCTACTCTCGACCGATCTTATTCTCAAACTAAATGGCCTATGAAGCTTGGCGTACGACTATGGAGCTTGGACTATTGAGCTTGGACTATAGAATATGGACTATGGAGCTTGGACTATGGAGCTTGGACTATGGAGCTTGGACTATGGAGCTTGGACTATGGAGCTTTGACTATGGAGCTTGGACTATAGAGTTTGGACTATGGAGCTTGGACTATAGAGCTTGCACTATGAAGCTTCGACTATGTATACGCATATGAATATAGTAAAAATAAACAGAGGAAGATACCTCTTGTAAACTAAAGGTATCAGGGGGGGGGTCGGACAACATGAGCATCGAACAGGCCCCATTGCAGGTTTTCGCTTCGAAACAGGCCCAAAAAAAGAACAAAACAAAAACAACAACAAGAAGAAGAGAGCGGGCGGGCGATCTGATGAGGCGTAACTACACACTAGTTATTGGCCAGGCCGGCGATGGCTGCTTTGCCTGGCTTTGCACGGCAATCGGCCGCGAATGGACGGCGTTCTAAATTGCGGGTACCGCCGGCGGCGCGGTGCTGGCGCCATCGCGGACCCCGCCCGCCCGCCGCCAAGCCCGCCGCCGCCACCGTGGACGGGAACCCCGCCACCCGCGCCGCCGCCCGCGCCGCCGCCGCGATAGATCGGCGACGAGGTAAAGCAGCACTTCCTGAAAGTGGATAGACGCGTGTATCCGCCATCGGCGCCGCCGTGGAGCTGAATTCGGTTCAATTTGGTGCCGCGCCGCCATGCCCGCCGCGCCGGTCCGCCGCGCACGTCGGCGGAATGGCCGCGACGCTTCTTGTTGTTGTTGTTGCTGTGCATGTTGCTGGCGTACTTGTTGCTGGCGGGGTGCGGCCTGGCGGGTGTCGCGCCGCCACCGTCGCCGCTATACAAAACGTGTTCAATTCTCGGAACGAAAAACCCCCCGAGTTTATTGTGACTGTACGCAAAGTAAAGGGCACGCGCTCTAGGGCCTCGCGGGAGTCCGGCCGCCTTGCGTGCGTGTGTGTGTGTGCGTGTGTGTGCGCGCGCGCGGACGGTGCCTGTAATGTGCTGGTATGGCTTTGGGTTAGGTTTCGTACCGTGTCCGTGATTTATCGTCCAAGAGTTTGTCCGTCTGTCTGCCGTGTCTGTGTTTCTGCCTGTCCGTCCGTCGGCGCTTGTGTGTGTGTGTACCCCCACAGTGTAGAGGCCGCACCCACATGTTGCGGTCAGCGCCATCAGCATGCCGACTGCATTGCAAAAAAAAGGTGTTCCGAAACTGGGAAAGAATCTCAGCAATTCAATACAGTATACAGTAGGAAATTGTAACGCGGGAAATAGAAAAAAAAAACTAGACAAAAAGCATTCCGGTTTGGATTGCGGTGGTGGATGACGGCGACCGTGTGGTTCCGCGGTGCTCCGGACTGCACTTCGCCCGGCCGGCTTGCCCGCGCACGCCAAGACCGCCGAGAGCGTCTTCCTCTTACGCAACGACGGCCAACCCAGGCCAGGCCAGCCCGGATCGAAGCGTGTGTGGGTACACTGCCGAAACGCGTAGCCAGAGCCAGCCCGGCGGCGCTCACGATGGACAATGTCGCGCGGGCCCTGCAGGCAAGTCGCGCCGTCTCCCTCGCGCCTCCGCGGAACGCCCCGGGAGTGCGAGGGGGGGGGGGGGGGCAGAAGACGACCAAGACGACCTTTGGTGCAGCAGGTGCGGCGTGGACGCGCCAGGGCGTGGTGCGGGGCGGCACGGCAGTGCGGCAGTACGTCCACGTCGTCAAAATGTTGCGTCATGTCGCACGGGCTTAACTCTGCGGGTGACCCTGCGCGATGCACGCGGCGACAACCTCGCCCGCCCCGCCCCGCCGATACCATTGTCTGCTGGAAGACAAGACCTCCAGCGCCTCCAGGAGTCTGGGCCCCGCGCCGCCCCGCGCCACGTATGGCCAAGCGCCGCCCAAGTCTCATCAGCGGCCCGGCCCGGCCCGGCAGGCCCTGCTGGAGGCCCTGCTGGAGGCCGAAGGGCGTGGAAGGGCGCGTGGCGTGCCGGCGTGCCGGTTCTGTCGACGGCGTGGTTCGGGTGCCGGGGCCTGGCCTGCCCAGTGCTGCCCTCTGCTGGCCTTTAATTGCTAGAAACCTGTTGTTGCTGTGCGCGTCTCGCGTCTGTCCGTCCGTCCGGGCGAGACTCTTCTTCGCCTGCTGCCCCTGGCTGTGCTGCCCCGTGCTCGGCCGTGAGGGTAGCACGGCGTCCGGCTGGCTGCTGCGGCTGCAGCGACCACGGCGACGGTGGAGGCGGTCGGATCGGGCCACGCTGCAAGCCGCGCAAGGCCAGCAAGATGCCGTACTAGAACACGGGGCGTGCGGCCCCCACTCCGCGGGCCGGCGGGCTGCACCGCGCGTGGCCGGACAGGCAGAGACACACGCACCGCGTTGCGGAGGAAAGGTCTGCCGCGTCGTTTTCAACAAAACTTGGGGGAAATGACAGGCGAAACGAACGAGGCCGTTGCCTCGCGGTCGGCGGAGCCATGGCGATGGCGGGGCCTTCCCGGCAGGGCGGCGCTCGACGCGCGTGTGTGTGTGTGTGTGTGCGGAATGTGTTTGTGCCGTATCCGATTTTACAGTGGAGGCCGGGATATCTCGGACCGGCTCCGGCCGCGTCGGCCGCCCGGCCAGCCAGCCCAATGCCAGGGAGGTTAGACCCACGCAGGATGCAGGCCGCCGGGCAGTGCCGGCTGCCCCACTCCCACGACCGCCACCTCCCTGGACCGTGCAGCGGACGGCATACGGCACGCCGCGCCGCCGCGCAGGATGCACTTAAGTGCGTCTGCGTCGGCCGGACGGCGGCACGGCGACGGCGAGCGGGCCTGTCGCCGCCCGCGGAGTCCGGGGTAGGCAGCCCCGCCGCGCCGCCCTGTCCGCGGGTTGCCTACCCTCGAGCTGGCGGGCGCTCTTCGGTCGCTGGGCGGCAGGTTGCCACCTCTCCACTCCGCCACCCCTCTGGGGGGTCGGGGTCGCCGACGGGGCGCTCGGGGGCGCTGCCCCTTGCAAGGCGTCGGTCTGAGTGCGCGGCCGCGGGGCTTCGGCAGGCTTCGCGTCGCCGCCGGCGTCCCCTCCCCTGCGCCCCTGCGGTCCCACGCGACCCGTGTTGTGATTGTCAGGTCAGCAGGCCACGCCGGCAGGCCGGCAGGCCGGAGGGGCTTCACCCACGAGCTGGCAATGACGGGGTGGACGGAGGGGGTGGCGGTGGGTGGGGCCAAGTCGCCGCCCCCGCCACGGCCGCCACGGAGGAGCCCGTCAACCGGCGACGGACCGTCGCGCGCACTTTAGCCGGCGTCGCTGTTGAATTTGCAGTGATTGTGTGTCGTTGGCCGGGCCGGCGGGCGTGGGGGCCTGTGCGTGGCGAGCATGCTGTCCTCCTGCAGGCTCTGTTCTTGCGTCTGTTAATGGCGTGAAGTCCGCAAACCGGTTCACTGCGGCAAGGGCGGCCGGGCCGCGCGGTGCCCGCCTGCCCGCGGTCTGAGGCTTCGACGCTTCGATTGTCTGCAGCGAGTCGTACCAACCAACCACCGAGTCACACCAACCAACCTACCGGGTACCGGTGGGAGGCTTGGAGGCCCCTGCCGGGTAGGCAACCCCCGTCTGATGGTGTCTGTGTTTCTGGTTGCAGGTGAGCCCGGCGTTGTGGTCGTTGGCGGTGGGTGAGTACCGCCTGGACAAGCCTTTCTCTCTCTCGCTCTCTCGCTGGCCGGCCGGAGTTTGTCGTTAGCCGTGCGCTTGTTCAGTTATTGTCGGCGATGCCGACTCTAAATTGACTTTGCAGTGGATCGGCTTTGCTTTCTTGCTTGCTGTAACCGTCCATTGTGCTCCGCCTGGGCCCCCCCGCCCCCTTTACCCGCAGCGCCGTAAAGAGTGTTAAACGGAAGGGGGGAAAAAGGGATTTTTTTTAGGGGGGCGCAACGAAGCGAGGGGATGGGACCAGCACTGCTTTGCCCGTTGATTTGGATGTGTTAAGCCCCCTTTCGGCGGGGGGGGTTTGGTGTCCTGCTTCTGTGCAGCTGGCAGCCTCTGGCTTCTCTCTTTTCGAGTTGGGGGCGCGGCATCCCCGCAGGGGGGGAGTGGGAGCGGTGGGGCCCTGCGGACCCCTTTGCGTTGCCCCTGTCGTCTTCGATGTGCCAGGGCGGCCCCTTTCCCCGGGGGAGCGGGGCTGAAAGTGTCCGCCAGGGGCCCCTGCGCAGCCCTGCTGGCTGTCTCTCCGTCTCTCTCGCACTGCCGGGGCGCCCCGCATGTCCCGCAGGGGTGCGAGAGAGACGGAGCGACTGGCCGTCCAGTGGCTGCGGCCGGCTCCCTTTCACTGACCGATCGTAATGCCTCATTACTCGCAGAAGGCCCAGAAGGGGGCCGGCAGCAAGCCGGGCAGGCAGGCAGCACCGACCTCAGGGATCAACTTCAGGTAGCGCACCACCACACTGGTCAAATTCAGCTTTCTCGTCCGCCACTCCATTCACTTTGGCCGGCAATCAAAACCAGAACCATTTCGCGCGCTCGATTTCGTTGACGTTCCGGCTCCGCTGGAAGATTCCATTTCGCGGTGTGCTGCGTCATTTTGGCCGGCAGTCTGTGTGTGGTGCCGAAGTCCTTAAGCAAAAAGGCCACTTTGTGCCTAGAAAGAAAATTTTAAATAAAATCTCGAGCTGTTATTGTGTATTCGTTGAAGCGGGAAAGAAAGGCAAAACGGCTTGGCTGACGAACTCGAAATTAATTCATGCATGCAGCGAACGGTACCGCCTCACCGTCTCAGCGCGCCGCGGCACCGCGGGGATGAGGCTCAACGAGACTCGAGGCGCGTGGGAACTCCGGCAGCAACTGGAGGAGCCACCAGGAAACCAGGCGTCGTTGGCGATGCTCTTGTTGTTTTCCGTCGTATTTCGTATTTGTTCAGTTGTCGTTGTTTTTTTTGTACGGTGCGGTGAACGGCGGCGTGGTTAGCCGCCCAGTCGGAGCGCTGGTCCGGTCGGCCGGCGGGCGATTTCCCCGTAAGAGTGAAGAAGAAGTGTTTTCCTTTGGGAATGTCTCACACATGCCAGTGGTGCTAATTATCACTGCCGCCAGCCCCGCCAGATCCATAAGTTGCTCCGGTGCCTCTCACGTGGAGCTTAAACGGCCCCCGGAACGCGCAGCGCGCAGCCTGCATGCCTGCTGACCCGTCCCCCCCCCCCCTACTCCCACCCACACTCCATCACCTTCTCACGGTCAACGCCCCCCTCATCGTCGGCGGCAGGCGATGGCGATATTCCCCCTCCCCCTTTCCCTCGGTACATTTACAGGAGGCTTGTCGGGGGTCATGTACAAGTGCGAAATGGAGTAGAGAAAACCGTTCACGAGGAGAAAGGACGCCGCCTCCGAGGAGACCCCCGTCATGGCGGCGTGCCAGTGCCCCCCCCCCCCCTCACGGAGAGCAAAGATGATAGTATTTCGCGGAAGTGGAGCCGACGGTGGCCGATTTTCAATTATTTTTTGGGGTCCGTTTTTGAGAGTGCGCGGCGAAAGGACGGCGGCCGCTATTATACACGGGCCGCGCACCGCACCGTAAGTCTGGAGAGAAATTGATTTGAATACTGAGTGGGCCCCACACGACCGGCAGTTTTTCCTACCGCCGTGATGGCGGTGCCACGACGACTGTCTCCCCGGCGAAGCGGGCTTGGCTTTGGCTTCGCCTCCTCCGGGACGCGCTGCTCGCGCGGTGTGTGCTGCGGCCGCTGCGGCGATGACGCTCGTTTGGCTTACTACACTCACTAAAGCAGCCGCGCCAGGGACGCATACCGCGCTCGCGCCACGCGTGGGCAGACTAAACAGTAACACAATTGCACTAAGTACTGACCTCTAACAACCGCGCGCGGTGTGTCGCCGCCTCGTGGGCCGAGACTCCCTCGGAGCGCGCGGCGGCACCCTCGCGGTGGAGAGTGTGACCCTCTCGTGGAGAGAGAGACGCTCTCACGAAGGAGTGTGACTCCCTCGATGTGTGACACCCCACCCCGCGCGTTGTGGTCCGCAGACGGTCGGCCGGGACGACTGCGGGGCCGCCGGGCAGGGACAAGGACCACAAGGACAGACGCTGCCGCTGCCGGGCCTGCCACCTCCGGTCGTGCCAGGCGTGCCGGGACTTCTACGCCAACACGGCGGACTGGCTGTGCAACGCGTGCGTCGCCTCGCACCCCTCGCACCGCCCCGGGTGAGCCACCTCACTGCCAGACACCCGCTGCTGCCTTGTGCGGATTTTCGGTGCGCCGGTGGGGAATGACCACTGCAACGGCGACGACTCTGCATACTCTATATACTGCGGTTTGAAGAGCTCCACGGGGGAAAGCCGAAGCTAGCCGGCCCGGGGGGGGAGAGGAGGGGGAGGGAGGGGTCACGCGATGACTACTGTATGTCGCCACGAGGCGGTGCGGCACGATTCGCTGTTAATGGGTACTTGATGCCTGGGCCGCTGGGCGGCGCACTTTGCCTAGGCAGTGCAGTGGCCAGCGCGTCGCACTCCCGTCACACACGCAGAACATTCACACGGCGGACACCACTGTGAAACTGACCGTAAGCCATAAGGGGAAGCTGCAAGCTGATTGCCCGACCAGTGCTGTCGTCGCCCTGTCTCTCTCGCACCCATTGGGCATCCTTCGGGGTGCGAGAGAGACAGAGTCCGGGCACGGAGTTAGGAGGTTGTTCGGGCTGCGTGCAGTGCAGGGCCGGAAGTACCGCCGAGGGAATTAAATGGCCCATCGAGGTTGCCGAATTGCGCAACCCGGCCGGGCCGGGCCTCTAGTCTAGGGCCGCAGGCGTCGCGAGTCGGAGCCTCGCCGTGCTCCGCCGTGCTTCGTCGGCCAGGTGCCATCTGTCGGGGCCGCGCCGTGGGCTGCCTACCTCCCCGGCGGCCAAGGCGCCCGTCGAGGCCTTCCTTCCAGTGCAGTGGCGTCGGTTGTTGGTTGGCGTTTACGGTCTCCTTGACTTCCTCCACGTCTCTGTCCCACATGCATTGTGTTGCCGTTGTCCAGCCACCTGGCGGCTCGGCGTATGCTCGGCGTCGTCGGCGCTGTGTCTGTATGTGTGTGTGTGGGGGAGAGAGAGAGAGAGAGAGAGAGAGAGAGAGAGAGGGGAATGAGTGAGTGAGAGGGGCTGGTGCGGCGGTTCCCTTCGCGGCCGCGAGACAGCGCCACCGTACGAGTGCCGGTGCGGGGTATCGTCGACGGGCTGGCGCAGGCTGGCGCGGGGTATTGCCACAGACTGATGGAGTGTTTTGCTCGGCGCCTTGCAGGGAGCCGGTCCAGCCCCAGCCGCTGCCCAACTCGGACTTCAGCCGTCGGCCGAGTCGGCGCAGGTCGCTGGGCGCCGCGGATGGCGCCAAGAGGAGCGTGCGCCGCGCCTGGACCATTTCCAGTGAGTCTACCCACCCGCCAAAAAATGTTTTACCGAGTTGGAAGTGGCGGTACTTGAACCCGCGCTTGTTGCGACAGGCGGCAGCAGTCCTCGCTGGAGCGTGCCCCGGCGCGAGGTCCGCGAGTACTCCAGCCTGCCGCGGCACCGCAGCTCGGCCGACTACCCCAGCTTGACGCAGGCCTGCGGCGTCCACGGCGGCGTCCACAGCGACCACGTGCACACCGACAGCGGGGTGGGCACGCAGGACGAGGCCGAGCACGCCGAGCCCCTGGACCTGGTGCGCACCATGCTGGAGCGGGCCCGGCAGCGCGAGGACGCCCTGCGCAGCGTGGCCGCTCCCAAGGCCCCCAAGGCCGCCGTCACCAAGGCCCCCGCCGCCTACAAGACGGCCAGCCTCAGCCTCAGCCAGCTCGGACTGAGTAAGTCGGCCTGGCGCCTCCACTGCTTGACCGTCCCGGGGAACGTGCCGCCTTGCCGTTGAAACGAGAACGAGAGTCGCAATCACTTCGCGTCGAGTACTCCGTGTTATTTCGAGATTCTACTCCTGGGGGCTTTATTAGCCGCACGTGACGGCTCTAAGTTTGCGGGTAACGAAATTCAAAACGAAGTCTTCGGGTGACTGTACAGTATAGCACCCGAGAACGAGAAACACCGTTTCGCCCTGGCCGGCCCTGCCTGGCCCTGCCTCTGCCGGCCGATATGGTAATATGCAAATTAACACGTTGTTCGATCTGGATCGATGGCCGTCTCCCTTGTCGAGCCTCGCCGCCTCGCCTCGCCTCGCCGGCCACTTAGCAGATTGGACGGATGATTTTGTTTCCGCAGTGTGGGCCCCACCGCGCCCCGCCTCCCCCCGTGGGGCCCAAGCAGCCCAAGCAAATAAGTGAGTGGCGTGGTGCTTGTTGCAGACACGCCGACGCAGCACACCGCCGCCGCCAACAACACCGCCGTCGCCCCGCTGCCCTCCCCCGACCAGTACTCGCGGCGGCACCGCGTCAAGCCGGGGGCCAAGGCCGTCAAGGGGCGGCGCCGCCGCGTCCCCGCGGCCGCCGTGTCCCTGGGGGCGGTGACCGGAGCGCCGCCCCCGGCAGCGCCGCCCCCAGCGCCCCTGCAGCCGGTGCTGGAGTGGGGTGAGTGCAGCCTGCAGGGATGATTAGCCAAGCCGGGCAAAGTGCGAGTTACTTGTTCCCCTCGGGAGGCGGGTCCAAATTACGGCGTTGCCCATTTCTATTTACTTTTTCTTGGAGGAGAGTGTAGTGGCTGCGCTCGGCTGGCGTGCGCGGCGTGCGCCTGCGTCCCTGGGGGTAGGCAGCCCAACGTGCTCGCGTGCTGGGTTGGCGGCGGCCGGCCCGGCCGCTATCGCCGCTGCGCAGCACAGTGTGGTGGATGTTGAACCCTTTTAACGAGATGCTTGTCGCTCTTGTTGCAGGTTCACCCTGCCTGCGTTCGCGCCGCCGATGCTCGGACTCGGTGCCGGCCGGCGGCGAGGGCCTGGTGGGTGACGCGTCCCGGTCTTCCCTGGACGGCGACGACTTCCGCCTCGTGTTCATCAGCAGCGACTCCAGCTCGCGCGACGAGGACGAGCCGCACTCGGACGACGACGAGGATGACGACGAGGACGACGACGACGTGGGCGACTGCCTGTCCACCTCGTCGGGCGGCGCAGGCCCCGCGCTGGATGACTGCGACTGGGACTACTTCGAGCCCAGCGTGGCGGCGCGCGACGAGTCCCCGCTGTCGACGCCCACCCCCATCGCGATGACGCCCGTGGCGCGGCGGCAGCGCGCCAGGGCGTTTCTGGACGGGTCGCCGTCGTCGTCGGACTGCTCCAGCAGCGGGTGGGCGGCGGCGTCGCGACGCAGCCTGCACCTGCCCGATTGGCTGGACTCCAAGGCTCGCGGTGCACACGGTGCGCATGGACCAAGCTTGAACCCAGGTTCGAGCTGCTGCCGCTCGCCGCAGCACGGTCGGCGCCTTGTCGAGTCCACACGTCTGGAGGCGGGGCCGGCGGGGAGAGGTGGCGACGCCGCAAGGACCGGCAGCCCCGCCAGCCCCGCCGGCCCCGCCGGCAGCACTGGTCAGGCAGGACCCATACCGATACCCGGATCGGGTCTGCCTCTGCCTGCGCTGCCTGGACCTGTACCAGCAGTTGTGCCCGCAGCCGCAGCGGGAGCGGGCTCCGGGCCCTGCGCGTCGTGTGGCTCCATCGTGCCCATCCTGGTGCCCATCCCCGTGCCCGTGCCCGTGCTGGTGCCCGTGCAGACCGCCGCCCTCCAGCCCGCCATCAAGCCCGCCCAGGAGCCCCAGGATGCTGTGGACATGAGGCCGCACGCTGCGGGCAGTGCGGGCGCTGCGGGGGGCGGCCCTCGAAGCGGCCGCCGCCGGAAAGGAGGCCGTGGACGGCGAAAGTCCGGCAAGGCGGCGGCCACGCCGGCGACAAGTGCGACGGCCGACAGAGCGTCGACAGCCGAGCCGGACAGGAAAGTGTCGCGCAGCTCCAGCGTCGCCGAGGACAACGACAACGGCGTGGTGTTGGTGACCTTCCGCCAGATCAAGGACGACGCCAAGCAAGCAGACGACGCGAGCGACAAGGTGGACGCAGCAGACGACGCGTCGGACGATGCGGCCGAAGACGACGGCGGCAGCGAGCGGAGCAGTAGCGAAGAGACGGCCGGCGCGGCCGAGCGGCCGGGACACGAGGAGGCCGAAGACGAGAAGAGTTCGTGCGCGTCGACGTCGTCGGACGAGGACACGAACGTGGAGCTGGACAGCGTCGACAGCGTGGAAGACGACGACGATTCCGACGACGAGGCGGTGTCCAGGACGTACCGGCTGCGCGACGGCGCCACCCTGACCCAAGAGCTGGACGACTCGAGCAGCAGCCGCAGCAGCAGTAGTGCGAGCGACGCGCTGGACGCGTGCTCTGCGCCGAGGCACGACGAGGAAGACTCGGACAGCGCGCCGTTCAGGCAGGTGTTCGTCGTCAACTCGACGCCGGTCGACACTGACGCCGACGCCTCCACCGGCGATAGCGTGCTATCTGGCGTCGCGGCGCCCAGGCCGCCAGGCCGCCAGCCCAGCGCGCTGGCCCCGCTGGCCGGCCAGCTGATACAGGGCATCGCGCCGACAGGGCCGACAGGTGCGCCCAGCGGCCGCGCACCGCCCCGCCGCCGCCGCCGCACCCCGCCACGCCACTCGGCGAGCGTGACGAGCGCGACGAGCGCGGGGACGGGGACACGTCACAGGTAGCGAGCGTCGCCTGTTCAGGTGCGGAGGCCCCGGGGCCCCAGGCCGAACCGGCCCCCACCAGCGCCGCCAAGCTCGCCAACGCTAAGGCCCCAGTTGCTGCCGACGCCGCGGCGCGCGCGGAGTGTGGCGGACCGAGCATCATCGCGACGCAGGCGAACGACGACGCCGTGGTGCAGGATGACCCTCCGGGGCTCTCGACGCAGAGTGTAGAGCCTTCGGACGGGGCGTCCCCCAGGATGTCCGCGTGTGCTCGTGGCGACAGACGCCCCTCTGCGACGTCAGAGGGCGCGGTCGAGTCCGCCACCGAGACGGACATGTTCGGCGCCGGCGAGGCCGACGCGGACCCGGGCACGGGCGTGGCCGCGCTCAACAAGGAAGTGATCGGAGTGGTGGCGCCCGGCGAGTTGGCCCGCCTGGGTGGCCACCTAGAGTGCCTCAGTGTCATCGAGTGCCCCGGCGAGCTGACCGGCGAGGTGGCCGCCGACGCGCCCGTCGCGCTCAAGGACATCCTCCGCGACGAGCTGCTGCGCCCCGAGGCGGAGATGAGACGACGCGGCAGCAGCAGCAGTAGTCACGACGGCGACCCCGACCAGGGTGAAGGGGAGTTCTCCGGCACAGAGTCCATGGAGCTCTCACCGGCCGATCCAGATCTCGAGCCGCCGAAGCAACAACAACAACAACACCAGTCAGTGGAGCGCGTCGCGCTGGTGGAGGGGGTGCCGGGCGCTGGCTCTGCTGGCTTGGCTGGCTGCAGTGCCGTTACTCCGCCTGCCCCGCCCGCCCCGCCGGCCTGCGATGTCGACTCTGGCCGCGGCCAGCCCGCCGCGCTGCCCGCGACGCCAGCCGCGGCAGCCCTGGCCGTCGAGACTCCAGGCGCTCCAGCCGCTCCAGCCGCCCATGCCATGCCGCCAGGTGGGGAAGGGGAGCCGGGGGAGACGGACTTGGACTACGAGCCAGTTGGCCGCGGTGCGCCGCACCATGAGGTCAGTGGCGAGGTCGGCCTCGCCCTCGCGCTCTCGCTCGCGCCCAACCCCAACAAGTACACCAGCCTCGTGATGATCACGCCGCCAGAGTCACCAGTGAGTGTGAGTGTAGGCCCTGCGCGCGCCGCAGCCGTCACGCTGCTGCACACCAACCTGGAGGAGGAGGCCGCGGACACGACAGCCCGCGAGGACGCCGCCGTGGTGGACGAGGATGACGACGAGGATGACGAGGAGCCCGGCGACACCGAAGGCCCGCCCATGCCGCCGCCGAGGAGGGCGCGCGGTGAGGACGACGTGCAGGTGGTGACGGGCGGGGACACGCTGTCCGCCGTCATCTGCCTGGAGGAAGGGCTGGCCGACGACGACTCGTGGGTGGAGGAGATGGAGCCCGACCGCGAGGCCGACATGGATGAGGTCGACATGGACGACGCCGACCTGGACGACGCCGAGGTGACGGCCACGGACACGAGCTCCGGGGACGAGGCCTTGGAGAGCCACACTGCGGACCGCGAGGAGGAGCTTCGCGGCTACCACCGCGCCGCCATCGACTTCACGCTGCACACCATCCTGGAGGAGTCGTGCGAGGAGAGCGAGACGGAGCAACGGCCCGTTCCGCGCGCGCGCGCACCCTCCGCGTCCGAGCTGGAGAAGTACTTCTTCTTCGAGCTCGGCGGGGCAGGCGCTGCTCAGCAGCAAGACGCCATGTCCGAGACCAACAGCTCCATCTACAGCGAGGGGCTCGAGTCGCTGGGCACGGAGGACGGCTACGGCGACGAGGTGACCCCCGAGGAACAGACGGACCCCGCCGAGCTGGCGTCCTCGCGCCTCGAGAAGTACTTCCTGTCCGGGTTCATGGGCTTCCCCGGCAGCAGCCGCAGGGACTCCGATGGCAGCGTGGGCAGTGACAGCGAGGGCCGGCCCAGCCCGGAGCAGCGCAGGAAGAGGCTGGTGAGGGCGCGGGGCACCGGCCGGGCGGCATACAGCTCGCAGGACAACCTCAACGCCACGTCGCCGTCGGTGCCGCCCGCCGAGGCCGAGGTGGAGCCTGAGGAGGGCGAGGAGGGCGAGGCGTCCAGCACGGAGGAGGAGGGCGCGCCCGAGGAGCCCGCCCTGGCCGTGGACGGCCAGTTCGACACGGTCAAGAGGAAGAAGAGGAAGCGGTCGGTGGGCAGCGGGCCCGTCGTGCCGTCCGCCCCCGCGGCCGCAGCCGCCCCCGGCTCCGGCGCCGCGTCCTCGGACGAGCGGGAAGCCTGCGTGTCACCGCCGCCCGGGCCGGGCCAGGACCTGGCCGCGTCCAGGAACAAACAGCACAGCCGGGACAGCGGTTTCGTCGGAAGCTGCGATGACTTGCTCAACAAGTCCGCCAGCGACTCGAGCAGCAGCGGTGCCGCCACGCCGGCAGACCCCTGCCCCGCCCCCGAGCCCGCCCCCGCCCCCGCGAGGACGTGCGGGTGCCGGAGGATGTCCCCGCCCCCGTGCTGGCCGCCCCCGTGGTGGCCGCCCCCGCGGCCGCGCCGCCCCAGCCCTCCCTGCGCACCACCACCCCGCCAACCACGTCGCTGACGAGGCGTGACAGCTTCAACAACTGGAGTTCGGACGAGGAGACGAACCTCATGATGTCCAAGATGAGGGCCTTCTTCAAGAACATGACGGGCCCGCAGCAGCCGGCCGCGCAGGACGCGTCCGCGGCGCCGGCCCGCCGCAAGCCGCCGCAGCTCGTCTACTTCGAGTCGGAGCTGACGAGGCTCATGAAGACCGTGCCGGGCATCCGCGACGAGCAGGTGCGCGAGCTGGTCGAGTACCTGAGCTCGGAGGACACGTGGAGCGACTCGTACGACTCGTCGGACTACACGAGCTCGGACCTGGAGAGCGCCGCGGGCAAGCGGGCCTCCAACAAGCGTGCGCTGCAGGAGCAGATCTCGGCCAGCTGCCAGCAGATCATCAGCAACTTCGACACGGCCTCGGCCGCCGCCGCGGCGCCCCCCGCCGACGAGACGTCGCTGGTGTACCAGCGGCTGGTGGCGTCGCTGTCCAGGATGGGCGTCGACGCCCAGGACGCCCAGGGGAAGGCCAGGGCCGCGCCCTGCGCGCCGCACTCGTCGCCGCCCATCTTCGCCAACAAAGTGATGCAGCACATCGGGGGCAGGCTGGTCGCCCTCATGCACGAGGTGTCCGGGGGCCACGGCCAGCCCCACGGCCAGCACGGCCAGCACGGCCCCACGCCGCGCGAGCGATACGTCCACAGGTGAGTGCATCACCATCACGGCCTCTGCGGTGACTCATTGGCTGCTTCTACTGCACTGTGGAGCGACTCGGCGGGGCTTTTCGTGTTTTCCCGCGGCGTGGCAGGGACTCTGCCGACTCCGTTATCTCGGCAAGGAGATGCGCGCCGACTCGATGACGCCGCCGTGCACCGGGGGCCGCGCCAGCCGAGCTTAGGTCGGAGCGACGTTGGAGTCGTGACGCAACTCGACATGGGAGTCCGCGGCGCCGGCAGCACGCCCTGTGCCATTTCATTTCTATAGCCCGCTTCGCGTAGCTTCGCGCAGCCTTAGCTTCGCACGGCCTGGCGCCGCGTGTGTCCCGGCCGTCCCGGCTGGCGCTGCCTTATTTGGGCGACTGTACAACCAACCCCCCGGCCCGGTGTTGCACCAGCGTCGTGCGGGGTAATTGTGAATCGCAGGTGGGTTGCCCGGGTTGCCCCTCGAACCTGTCTGGGCCCCGAGACGGCCGATATGGGCACTGCGCGCAGGGCAAGGCAGGGCGCGAAGCGCGAAGCGGCCTGGAAAGCCGTCTTTGTCCATTCTCTCACTTATCTGTCCCGGTTTACCTGGCGTGGGAGGGGGCATGCGCGCCGGGTTATCAGCCAGCAGCAGGTCCCGCAGTGCGTCTGTCCGGCCCGAGCCATGGGGTCCGCGAACCTAGTGCTCTGTGGGGCCTCCCGTCGGGGCGCGAGAGAGACAGAGCGACGAAGCTGCCCGCGCCCCCCGCGGCCCTCGCGGCCACGGAGAAAAGGTTGGCCTGGCTTCGTGCGGATCGGTCTGGGCCGCCAAGAATGCCGCGAACGTGACGCCGCGAGCACGTGTCCGAGTGGGAGAGAGACTCGGAGAGAGAGGGGGCGAGTGTCATTCGTGATGCCACCACACTGATGGGGTCGTAGGCGTGCGGGCCGGCGTGCCGCGTGCCGGACCCACACCGAAGACCGAAATGGCCATAGCCAGCAGAACGGCGGCGGCTTGGTTCAAGCGGAGCGTGCCACCGCGCCCCGCCGACGTCGTGTCAGCGTTTGAGTGGCGAGATGGCGCTGCTAGCCGAATCGGCTTTTTCGTTTACGTATTTGCGATGCCGATAAGCGGCCGCCGTCAGCCGGGCGTTTCTGTCTCTCTCGCACCCTGACGGGCCTTACGGGACGCCCCACGAGTGCGAGAGAGACGGAGCGCCGAATCGCCGTTGTTTCGGCGGCAGGCGTTTTCGGCCTGGTTCCCCATTATGCGGGGAGGCTGCGGCTCGCTGCGCGTGGCATAGCAAGTGGACGCTGCAGCCGTTTGGCTGCTAATCGCCTACCGGCGCTCTGTCTCTCTCGCACTCACGGGGCTCCCCGTGAGGGTGCGAGGGAGACAGAGCGACGAACCGCCTGTCGGAATGGCTCGGCTGGCGGAGGGCACGAAGTGCACGTTTTCGGCTGGGCCCGGCTCGGCCCACACCGCCTGGCCTGTCCTGCCACCACCCGGGCCGTCCCGGACGACACGTCGTTTTGTAAGGCGTAAAAGCCAAAGGCCGTCATTTCGGTCGTCAAAGTCGTCGCAAGGCGCGCGGGGTGTACACTGTGAGGACCAAGGAGGACCGGGCGGGCGCTGCCTGCCAGGTGCAGACGCTGTACGCAGTACGTAGTCGTCACGCGCCAACGACCCCCCTCCCCTTCCTTCCTTCCGCCCCGTCTCCCGCCCCGCCACGGTTGACACGTGAAACACAGCATCCTGCACGCGAGCCCAGATTTTTGCCGTGTTTTCCGGCCGTTCTGTTGACGATGCATTTTTGGCGGCAGGAAAACTAATGTAGATTAAAATGGACGATGCGTTTCGCTGTGCAGCCTGCACTGGTAGAATGTGAGTGGGCATGCTGCACCACTGCCGCTTCTAATCCAACAACAAAAAAAATTCAAAATTATTATTTTTAACGGTTTAAGCGCCAAATAGCGTTTTTCGTAACTGACGCTGGTTGTGCAGGGAGGATGCCGTCACGGGCTGCAGCCTGCCTAGCCGGCTTGTAGTGTGCCCAGCAGCGCCGACTTGTCGGAACGGTCGTTGTTGGCCGGTGGGTTCGGCGCGCGGGGGCGCGGCGGCAGCACGGCGGCAAGCAAAAGAAAAACCAACACTCTTCTCAATTTGACGATGAGTGGCTGCCCATTAAATTGGGGCCCGCGGAGGAAGGCGCGGGGGCGGGGCGGGGCGGCGGTCGAAGTGGAACGAAATGCGCTTGCTGGTGGTCAAAAGCCCCGGCCGCCGACGCGGGCGGACGCGGCTGCCGGCGCGGCGTGCCTCGGGATGGGCGTGCCTTGGGCGTGCCTTGGGCGTGCCGAGTGCAACTATCGGACCGAGAGGCAGGCGAGCTCATTTGGGTCGCGCATGACGCGGAAAGAGCAAGGTGCATCATTAATTCAAATTTAGATCCAATCCCGTTTTCTGGTGGAAATCTCTCTCTCCCCATCTCTCTCTTGCGCCTCTCGCCGTCCATCCCTTCTCGCGTTTGCGGCGGGCCGAGCTTGGCTGGGCCTGCCTGCCTGGCTGGGCTTTACTTGTGGTGCAGTGGGTTGTTATCACGTGGGCTCCGCCATGGGGCTCCGCGGCTGCGCACCTGGGCGACCGCTGCCTACACTGTCAAACGCAACGCGTCGTCCGGGACTCGCGGTGCGACCCGGCTACAGAGCCGTGGCGTGTCTTTCCACGTTTTTAAAAGATTACCGAGATCGATCAGCAGCAGTGTGGTGAGGCATTCGAAGCCTGCCCACGGAGAGGAGAAGAGAGAGATGCAGCGATTTCGGTTTCTCGACGGCGGAATAATGACCAATCGAGGCCAGGCCGTGCGGACGCGGACAGACTTGCTCAGGGACAGGCGAGGAAAACGCAGCGGCGGAATGAGAAAAAGTAAATGAAAACGCACACACACACACACACACACACACGCGCGCCAAAGAGTGAGAGTTGAGATTCGATCTCATTCAGACGCCTGCCTCTGTGTGTGTGTGTGTGTGTGTGTGTGTGACGTACGCCGATTACCGTACGACGCCGTGCTTGTACACACACTCGGCGGCGAGCATCTCCATTTTTTCCCAGGGCGTTCCCTTTTCTTTCTGCAGTGTGGTGGTATGCCGGCGGGGCGCGCGGGGCGTGTGTACAGTGCGGTGCCGGAGAAGTGCCCCAAGTTGGCGGGGCTGGCGCGGCAGTTACGGAGACCTCCTCGGCGCCGAGCTCGCGCGACGCAGAGACGCAGACCCTGGTAGACCGGCTGCCTTGCAGCGAGCCGACTTGCTCTGCGCCGGGTGGCCCCCCTCGCCCCTCGTGGGGCCCCTCTCTAGGCCCCTCGCCCCGCCAACACTTTCACTCCCTAGACTCGCGTCTCGGGGCCCGTGCCCTGCCCTGCCCTGGCTCGCCACACTGCCAGTTTTCTTGACGGGGGCCTATTTCATGCCGAGGGGGAGTACTAGTAAGCTTACTAGTGCAAGTCGATGTACCTGCGGGCCCGGGGCTCGGAGGTCTCTGGACCCCCGCCGGCCGCCGTCTGCAGTGCCTTGTCCTCAGGGGGGCGTTTGCGTGCTGGGGTGGGGTTGACGTCCGAGTCTCCGACAGTGCAGGTCGTTTAGAAAAGTTGCGTCGGTTAATTCCGAGTGGTTGTCGCGCCACCCGGCCCACGCCCGCGGGCGCAGCGCAACGCGGCACGGCACGCACTTCAAGACAGACCCCCGCGAGGCATTTACACTGCATGCGTGTATGTGTGCACGTGTGGAAAAGGAGGGGGGGGGCTTCGACCTACAGACACCCTGCCCACTCGGAGGTGCCGCCGTGTCTTCATTAAACATCCGCGCGCGTGTGTGTGCGTGTGTGTGTACGTAAACTGGCCTCACGCCTTGCGCTTGACAGCTGGAGGACACTGTCGCTCGCTGCCTCGTCGCTGCAGGCGTTTCTCGAGTTGCGCGCGTTCGCGTGCGTGGATGAGCGAGTGCGCGGGTTCGACTCCCACTCGCGGGGGCGCGCTTTTTCATTTTTCGCCCAGTGGCGGGTCACAGGCCGCGCGTCGCCGCCGAGGGCGATGGCCCGGATGCCCCCCGCGGGCTGCAACGACGCCAACAACGCACCCCCGTGCGGCGGCCCGCGAGTGCGAGAGAGACAGAGCGACGACGGCACCGCCCGGAATGAGCTGCTTGCGCTGGGCCGGGCCCTCGGCCGGGCTCGCCGGGCTCCGACTCCGGGATGCTAGCTTCTTTGCGGCCAGCAAGCCGTGCTGTTGCTGCTGCTCAGGGGCATAACAGCAGAGAGGGGGTGGGGAGGGGGGCAAGGTGAGATTGCCGACGTTGCCAACTCGTGCTGGCTGCCAGCCCCGCCAGGGCGGCCGGGGCCCGCGGTGCCGCGTCGCACCGGCCAGGCAGGCAGGCAGGCAGCCCAGCCCACCGCAAGATGCATGGATCGCAACGGCTTTGCTGCGCGCGGCGCGACGAGTATTTAATTTTCTGGCCGTTGGCCGCAGTGATGTCAGTGCGGTCTGCGGACGGCGGCGTGACCCGGCCCGACCCGACCCGGCCGGCGCCGAAGGTGCCGCATTGGAATTCCGGATAGAATCGACCAGAAACTGCAGCGAGCTTCGATAGGTTGGCGTTTGAAGGCGAACTTTTTCCGTCACTGACTGTTTTGAACCCTATCAGAGCTCGCCTGCACTGTACGGACCTGGCTGGCGCCGGGCGTGCCCGAGGCCTGCCCGAGGCCTGCCGCCCTGGCGTGAGTGGCGGCTGATAAGAGGGCAATCATGAAGTGCGTTCGCGCTTTGCCGTTTTGCGGCGGTGGTGGTCAAACAAGGTCGGAATTATACAGACCTACATAGCCCCTAATGCTTGGCGGCGCGCGTCCAGCGTGCGTCCAGCGGGTGCGAGAGAGACAGAGGCACGCCGGGCAGGCCTGGGTAGACACGCGTGCGGCACGCTTGGGCTCACACACACACGGGCCGGGCCGTCCTGCACCCGCTTCTCCGAATACGCCCCACTTTCGAGCGCCATTACGATCGTCCGGGCTTCCAGCAGAACGACTAACGACTGGCTTGTTTGCTCCGCAGGCGGCTGCACCAGAAGGTGTCCATCACGTCGACGACCACCGAGGAGGACGAGGACTCCGTCACCGACACCGAGCCGGACCGCGGCGGACGGGCGGCCGCGGCCCCGGCCTGCGACGCCGTCGGCGCGGCCAGCGGCGTGCTCGCGCGCTCCCGCTCCCACGACCTGCTGGGCGGCGGCCCCGGCGAGCCCGGCCCGGACAACGCCGACGACCGGGAGGCCTCGGACTACGAGAGGTTCTCGTGGAGGGGCAGCTTCGAGTCGGCGCTGGCGGCGGACTCCAGGTGAGCAGTGTTCCAGCCTCTTAAGACAAGTGTAGCGCCTTTGGACCCGGGGGTAGCCTACCCCGCCACGCAGGCCAGCGCGGCGTGTTGCCTACCCCGGACTCGTCAGGCGCCCCAAGAGCGCTGCCTTCAGCAAGCTGCATTCGTACGCGGCGGGGCGGGGCGGGGCGGGGCGGGGCGGGGTTCGGCCAGACGTCACTGCCGCCTTCCCTTGACACACATCGTGCGCCGCTTCGCCGCTTCGCGCGGTGCGTTGCCATGGCAACCGGAGATGCGCGCCGCGCCCCACCACCCACACCCTCACGACGACGGCGAACCCCAACCTGGCGGTGGCCCCCGCGTGAGAGTGTGTGCGTGCGTGTGTGTGCGTGTTTCGAAAGTCCCGACGCTGTAATTTGATTGACAGCGGGCACGGCGGCACGACGCGGTGGATATTGCTCACCTCGTCTGGACATTTATACGACACGCGTGCAACATTGTTTATCATGGCCGTGGGCTGCGGCTTGTTGTTGCTGCCGGTCATGTTGTTGTTTTTCTGACGCGGGTCGCGTTGCGAAATGCTTAATACGGGCTTAACAAACTGAGGCTGAAGTTTTCTCTGTCCCCCTGCGCAGATCCCGCCTGGGTCCCGGCGAGGCGGCCTCCATGGCGTCGATGGCCTCCATGGCGTCCATGACGTCGGGGTCCTCGGTGCTGAACGCGGCGGCCAAGCGGCGCTCCGCCGGCGACCTGTTGTACTCGCACCGCAGCCGCGAGCACCTGGACCGCGTCCGCTCCTGCGGCTCCATCGGCGGCATCGGCGTGGCCGTGGGCTCCGGCAACGTGGGCCCCGGCGGCGACCTGCACTGGAAGGCTCGCCGCGCCTCCGTGCCCGACGCCAACATCTCGGGCGGCTCGGCGGACGGCGATGACGACGACGACGGCGAGGACGACCTGGACGACGAGGAGGGCCTGGGCGACGTCCAGGCCAGGTCGACGACGCTGCCGCGAAGCCTGCAGGTTGGCTAGGGTTTACTTTGTGGTGCGTGTGATTTATTACCAGACTGGGGGAATCATGACTTTCTTTTCTTTCCGCAGGCCACGCGCGGCGCGGGCACCAACAGCCTTCCCCGGCTGCCCACCTCAGGCTCCGGGTCCACCTCGGGCGCCGCCCTGCTCAAGATGAACGCCCTCGGGCAGGTGCAGAGCGCGCGCTACCGGCCGCCCGGCTACTCGCGGGCCGCGGCCGCGTCCGGCGCGGCGGCCTCCACCGCCACCCTGGGCAACCCGCCCAAGAGGGCCATGTCGGCGCCGGGGCTGGGCCCGCACCAGCCGGCACCGCACCCTCGCCGCGACCGGAGGAAGCACCTGCAGCAGAGCTCGCAAGGTGAGTGAGGCAACGGGGCGTCGACGGGGACCTCGGTGACGTCCTCCAGGCCGCCTGCCGCGAGTGTCGCGTTGCGCGGGACTGGCTGATAACTCGGCCGCTGCGGCGACGGCACGGCACGGCCCGGGCGAGGCTGATACTGGAAAGGGGGCGGAGCACGTGGTGCGCGCCGAGGACTCTAGCTGGCTGCAGCCGAGCCAGGACCACGACGGCAGTGGAAGCCATGTCGGCGCGGTACTACCGCGTGGACGCGACCGTGCAGCTCCACGACCTTTACGGCGTGCAGGGCGTGCAGGGCCTCCAGCACCGCTCGCGGCGGCCCAGGACTGCGACGGGACTGTGCTGCTGGTCCGGCGGCCGCGACGCGCTCAGCCTGTCGTCCAGCGAGGAGTCGCTGGTCCTCGCCGCCCCGCCCGCCGAAGCGGAATCGGATTCGGAATGCCTGTTGGCGCGCCCCGCGCCTCCCGCGCCCCTCCTGACGGTCACTGAGGAGCCCGCCGACCTGGACGCACCCAGGCAGAGCCCTGCGCCCAGGGAGCCCTCGCCAGAGCCCCGGAAACCGGAACTGCTTCCCGTGCCCGCGGCGCCGACCGGACGTCCGGTGTCCTTCGTCGCACCCGCGGCAGTTAAGGCGCCCGAAAACTCCCCCGCCGCCGTCGCCAGTGTCCGCGCTGCCCGCCCCTGTTTGCAGTGTGCCCGTGCTTTGACCTGTTGCTGACGGTTTCTGTTCTGTGCCTGCAGGCGAGTTCTCCGTGGCGGCCATCCGCGGCGCCGAGCTCAAGCTGAAGGGCGACGACTCGTGCTCCGACGCGTCGGCCTCCCCCGTGCCCTTGATCACCTCCTACAGCGCGTCGCCGTCGCCCGTGTCGGCGCGCGCGCAGCGGCCCGGGCGCGGCTGCCTGTCGTCGTCGTCCAACACGCTGCCGCAGCTGCTGGGCGCGCGGGGCTCGACGGCGTCCTCCACCTGGCTGGGCGACGAGGACGTGCTCAACGCGCGCCTGCCGCCCATCACCCAGGTCACCAACCTCGGGGTAAGTGCGCTCTGTGCTCCCTTTGGAATTCCCCAAACGCCCCGTTTCTCTGTCTGACTCCCGCTTCGCTACCCCCGCAGCGGAGCGACTCCATGGCCAGCGTGTACTCCGGCGCCGGGGAAGGTCGCTACGGCACGGTGGCCGTCAGGGGCGAGGTGGAGTTCGGCCTGCAGTACAACTACAAGGAGAAGGTCCTCGAGATCCACGTCGTCCAGTGTCGCGACCTGGCGCCCGTCGACGCCAAGAGAAACCGCTCTGATCCGTAAGTCATTGCATATTTGTTGTAAACATTTTTGTGTTTGAAAATTTCGGACATGAGTTATGTTTCTTATTCCATTTGCAGGTATGTCAAAGTCTACTTGTTGCCGGACAAGTCGAAAGGGGGCAAGCGGAAAACAAAAGTGAAAAAGCACACATTGAACCCATACTTTGATGAAACACTGAAGGTTTGTGCAGCAGATGAGAATAATTTTTCTTTATCCTATGTCGCTGGGCTATGCTAAATACGACATTCTTGTTGCAGTTCCACATCAATTTGAAAGGGCTTGAGAGTCGTACCTTGTGGCTCACAGTTTGGCATTCAGATATGTTTGGCCGCAATGACTTCTTGGGAGAAGTTATGATGGGTTTGGAAAACAAAATATTTGATGACCCATCACCCCGTTTTTATCCACTACAAGAAAGGGTAAGACCAAATTTACTCCTTTGGTATGGGTCTCTCTCACGATGGATCTATTGGTATTGACTATGGGTGTTTGTTGTTGCAGACTGAACCGTTTGACGATGCCCAAAGTTATCGCGGAGATATGATAGTAGCCCTAAAATTCATACCTCCAGATGTGTCTGGCAGCACACTGGGGAAGAAAGGAAAGCGCTCTTCCAAGGGAGAGCTTCATGTTCTCGTCAAAGAAGCCAAGAACCTTACAGCATCCAAAGCAAACGGTTCTATGGACCCTTTCTGCAAGAGGTGAGTTCCTACGTTTATATCCATGAACATTTTTGGTTTATTCTCTATTCTATCGGTAACTTGCAATTATTTTCCTTGCAGTTATCTTTTACCTGACAAGGGGCGAAGTTCCAAGCAAAAAACAGCCGTCATTCGAAGATCTTGCAACCCTGCTTGGAATCATCCATTTGTATACAGTGATGTAAGCCTTCAAGAGCTGTCAGAAAGGGCACTGGAACTGACGGTGTGGGACCACGATCGAATCGCCAGCAATGAATTCCTTGGAGGCATGCGGTTCAGCTTAGGCACAGGTTGGTGTTTTGTTTTCTTTAGCTCTTAGTGCATTTGCTGTTGCTCCTGCTGTCGCTGACCATAATTTTGGATTTATTTGCAGGAAAGCACTATGCTAAACCGGTTGACTGGATGGACTCTACTGGAAAGGAAGTCACCCTGTGGCAGCAGATGCTGGAGAGGCCTAACTTGTGGGTCGAAAGCTCAATAACACTGAGATCATCCCTGGAGCGCTCGGCTGTTCCAAGCAATTCTATGACTTGAAGCAGCGGAGCGAATATGAGCTAATTTATATTATGTTGTGCTTTCTAGTCTCCCTTGCCAGTGCTCATTGCTCACCAATTGTTTTGACTTAAATTCTTTGAAATGGATTTCCAGATATTTGTATTATCCAAAATTGACTCTGTTTTGTTTTATTTTTTGTTTGAATCGAGAAATCCTATGACCATTGCTCTGCAGGGAGATAGTTGTTCTAATCGAATGTATCAGAAATTTTTATACTTTTCCTGTCATGGAATGAGAAGTGCGTGTTGGCACCTTTTTCACTGCCATAGATTTAGTGGACTGTTCGAGAGTGCCTTATAGTGAACAATATTGATAGACTAGATTAAATCCAAAAGTAAAGAAAACACTTCTCGAGCAATGTATACTTCAACACAATTGTTATCTTATGTGCCTTTATTAATTTACTAATAATTTTATTGCATTCAAAAGTGTTTGCTGTCAGCAGTGAAGACTGGTACTAAGACTGATGTGGATTCCAGTAGAGTAATGTCATTTAAATTATGTAGTTGTGATTATAATTCAACACAAAAAGTATTGATTTTTTATATGTTTTAATTCAACTTACTTTTGAAACAAGGGATGTTGGATGAAATTAATATGAAGACAAATTTTGATGGACAATGTTCATGAGGGTCATCTGTCCAAGTATATTTTGGAGTATTTCTTAAGATTATACAATAACTCCTACCAATGCTGTGATACTGATTTCTAGCTTCTAGCTGGCTACCGTTTTGTATTTAATTGTTAAATGTTTGTAAGAATTCAACTACCATTGCTGCATATTGACCAAATGTCAGTAGTGGCTCTTGGCGAGGATTTTGCTTCCTGCCATCTTCCAATTGAAGGTTTTAGTCACGTGTCTGTACATTATTTGAAAGTAATTTGTAATACTTCCATGCCCAAGAGACAATGTAGCTTACTGACTCCCATTATACTTTGTCTCACTGTGTTTCTATTTTCTCATGAGTCTTCAAAGTTCAACAAACATTTATCTATTTATTAAGGTGTTTACTTGTGGACTAATATATTTTTGTTTATTTAAAACCGTTTTTTTTTCTTTGAGAGGTTGTCTAATAAGTGTTGTACATGGAGACAATTTTGTATCTACTGTGAAATAAATAATCTAAGTCCAGCATTTCTCAATCTTCTTTATTTCTCCCACAATGCCATAAGAGAACTAACTCATTGGACGAGCTGAGCCATAAGATCAAAACAGACAACAAACAACTTGGTGAGCAAAAACAAGGTCCTCACCTGCAGTGGCGGCGAGAGCCCCTGCGACTTGCGCCATGCCGCGCTGTTACACAGGGGAGATGCGCGGGTTGCCTACCCAGCGTTTCACAGGGGTTCACCGAAGGACACGAAAACAAGTTGATTCGAAAGTACAGTTTTCGGGATTGGAACAGCAAACGGAAAAACAATAGATATTAAATAAATAACAATAAATAAATAAATAAATAAATAAATTACATATGAACAAATAAATAAGGCGGGAAGCGGGGCGCCCTAGGCGCGGAAAGTGGAGGTCCTGGGCGCCGCCAAGGTCTTGGACAGCCACCGGGCGTGCTGGCCGAGGGAGGCGTAGGACCCCGACGGCGTGGACGCCAGGCCGTGCAGGGTGCCGTCGCACACCATGGCCGCGCCCTCGCGCGCGCGCACCGCCAGCACCTGCTGCAGGGGGAACCGCGAGGGGAACGATCAGTTCAAAGTGGATTGAGAACATTCTGAAAGCATTCTCCCAGATCCGGGCCGGCCCAGCACCTCTACTGGAAACACATCTCATTCAGAGTAGACGCGAATGCACCTCTTCGGCATTACCTCCAGTACACTGAAAGGATTTAGCGATGCTTCCACAGTGGAGGTACAATACCGGTGGCGACTTACCTCGCCCGCCGCGATGGAGGTCTTGAGGTTGGCCACCTCGCAGCCGCTCAGCTTCATGTGCACGGCCTGCGCCGACGCGATGCGGCCCGCGCACACCGCGCTGGTCTCCACGCCGAGGCCTGCAACGACGTGCAGCGACCAGGATGAGGACGAGGTGGACGTGGTTTGAGGGAACCGAGGCAGTGGAAGTGACTTACCGTTGAGCCGCGCGGCGAGGGCGTAGCAGGTCTTCCCGGCGGGCAGGCCGAAGGGCAGGCCCGCCTCCAGGCCGACGGCGGGCAGGCAGGCGATGCAGGACGGGGAGGGCGCCGCGGCGGGCGCGCTGGCCGGGCCGAGGCCGAGGGGGAGGCCGACGGGGAGGCCGACGGGGACGTCTCCGGGGGCAGGCCCGGCCGGTAGGAACAGCCTCACCACGGCTGTCAAACAACGAGGGTAATGAAGCCTCGATCGCAACCCTGGCAGACGAGACAATCCGAATCATTGGCGGTGCTCACCGACGTCGCTGGCGTCATCCGCGCCGCCGCGGTACTCCGGGTGCACGGCGACGTCCCTCACGGGCATGGACACGCCGTCCACGCGCAGCGCCACTGCCGCCATGCCCGCCTCGAGCAGCCTGGCGGGAAACAAATAGAGTGTTTCAAGTTGGGGCACACACTGACAGCGGTGCAGGGTGCAGGGCGCAGCAGACCCACCTGTTGGCGCACACCGCGGTGGTGACGGCGGCGTCCACGCCCACCAGGGTCCCCGAGCACAGCGTGGCGCCCTGCCGGTCCTGGAAGCTGCTGCGCCAGCACGGGTTGACGTCGGTGCTGGGGCTGCGGCACGACGGCGACACCAGCACGGCCTCCTTCTCGACGTCGGCCACCGCCACCACCTCCGCGTCCTCCTCCTCGTCCTCCGCGCCCTGGACCTTGTAGTCCTCGGACACGGCGACCACGGTCTGCCCCGAGGCCGGGCCCAGCGGCACGCGGAGGCTCTCCGTCGTCGCCGGCGGCGTGCTCACGACGGTGTCCTTCTCGGAGACCTTCCCGGGGTTGACGTCGGCTTCTTTCACGGTGTCCTTCTCGCCGTCCTGGACAGCGACTTTGATGGCGTCCTCCTCGGTGATTTTGATAATTTCCTTGTCGTCGTTTTTGTCAGCGACCACGCCACCCTCGTCGGCCACCTTGTCAGCCTCCTTGACGGCGTCCTTGACGGCGTCCTTGTCGGCTGGCTTGTCGGCGTCCTGGCCCTCGGCCGGCTTGACGCGGATCTCCGTCTCGATGACGTTCTCCGCGTCGTCCGAGGGCTGCAGTGTGGTGGCGGCCAGGGCGGGGTCCTCGGTGGTGGTGGTGTCGGCGGGCTCCCCGGGGAGCGTGGCGTTGCTGCGCTCCACGTACTTGCAGCACGAGAAGTGCGCGGCGGGCGTGAAGGCGGCGCGGAGGCCGTCGCAGTGGCCGCCCTCGACGTCGGCGGCGAAGTCCCTGTCCAGGGTGCAGTCCGTGCCGAGCAGGCAGTAGCCGGCGCCGCCGCCGCAGGTGCGAACGCCCAGGATCACGAACAGGCCTGCGCCGAGGAGAGTGTCAGAGGCATGCCGTGGTCGATCAAGTGCCGCTCGATCTAGGGCAGGCGCCGCGCCGCGCCCACCACGCCGGCGCACTTGTTCAAGGCCCGGGGCGTGGCGGCGGGTTTATTTCTGGATTCTGGAGGAGCAGCTCCACGCCGCGCCGGCCCGACGCGCGGACGGGACACATCTCGCGGACCCGACCGCCACGGCGGGGCGGGGCGGGGCGGGGCGGGGCGGGGCGGGGCGGGGCGGGGCGGGGCACCGTGGTTGGTTCGAGTGGTGACGGCTAACGGTTCGAGACGAGCCGCCGTCAGGCAGCGAGTGTGGAGAAGTCGTTTTGTCGTGTCAAGGATTTCGCGTGACAGTCGCACTCACACACGGACATGAACACGTACACACGGACACGCGCGCGCACAGACTTTACGCACACATGCAGCAACATGCACGCCCTGCATGACGGGAAGAGACTGGCAGCCGGCCCAACCCCTCGGTGTGACTGCCGCGTTCAAAGTAGCGGTCGCATGCAGATCAAACACAGGTACACTGGTAATGAACGGAACGGTGCGCACCTGGGTCCACGATGGGCAGCGACTGGCCGAGGTGGCTGCCGAGCACCAGCACCAGCCCGGCCAGGCACAGCGCTGCCCCGGCACCACGTGCTGCACCAGCACCACCTGCGGACAGAAAAGACACACTGCTGTCGCCTCAAAATCACGCGGCACAGACGAAAACTCACGCTGTCGTAAAAAAAAGAAAAAGAAAAGAAGAGAGGAAATTTTTCTCGCCATTTGCTCCATTTTGGCTCCAGCAGTGACGCGCTGGGGGATCACCGTTACACCTCTCGGGATTTGATCTGCCCCCCCCCCTGCCCCTCTCCCACGCACTTCATTAGCATGGCCGACGGGGATATGGAGATTTGAAGGAGGCCCCGTTATCGAAATGCAAGTGATTGGGCGCCACGGTGGGCATGACAGACAGACAGGCAGACAGACTGACAGGCATGGACAGACAGGCAGACAGACAGACTGACAGGCAGGTTTCCTGACAAAGGTGACGATCGTCATGGTCACTTACTTCAAAGTGCGAGTGCGCTGCCGACACAGCTGACATTGGCTGGACAGAACCCTGGAGCCCCAGCCCAGCTGCCCAGCCCTCTACCAGTGTCCGTACGTACCGGCGGGGGCGGTGCCCATGGAGGTGCCGCGGCACCGATGGCGGTTCATGTCGGCGGCGCTGCGGTGTGGCGGTGTGTCACTTTCACGTTCACATTCACGTTCGGATTCACGCGCACATCGTCGTCCTGGGCGAGGGGCGTTGTGCGTCCACTGGGTCGCGCGTCTCGGGCGCAAGTGAGTCCCCACGCCGGCCATGCCCGCCATGCCCCAGGTCTGGACGGCCTGGACGACGGACGACGCCGGGGGGAGGGGGGAGGGGGGAGGGGCCGGGCCGGCCGGGCCATGACTCAACGCACAGGGGCCGCACCGCTACGGAGCCTACGGAGGGCCGTCCGTCCGGCATTCTTCCCCCCTCCACTCCACCTGCTGCTGCGGGGAGGGGGAGGGGGCGCTCGCTAGGGGGTGAAAGTGGCGGACTAGGCAATGGGAACCCGCCTCCACTAACCGTTCGTCGATTTGTTGCTGCACTGCAGGACAGCCACCCCTGCACGGCCACAAGTCCCGCCCTGCAGGCCCGGCAGGCGGGATTTTGCCGGCCGGCTGTTGGTAGCATTTCGCGCACTTTTCCCGGAAACTTGTCCATGGTTAGTGGCAGCCGGCCTGACCCAAGGCCTGACCTGGCCCAACAGGCGGTGGTTGCGCGCGACTCCGTGTCACCGCATAGCGCCGCTTAGTGGATGTTCGTCTGGGCGGGGCGGGGCGGGGCGGGGCGGGGCGGGGCGGGGCGGGCGGGCGCGGTGGCCGTTGGGTTGCCTGCCCCGGTCGGCGCAGCGCGACGGGCAGGCCGCCTCCGTCGGGTCGGTTGGGTTGCCCAACGTGCAGGCGCAAGGCGCACTGCGAGCGCGGTCTGCAGTGGACAGACGGAGGCAGCGAGCGGTTTCTCGCCGCGCGCGACACTGGCGACCGTTTTTGGGGACTAAAAGTGACCGCCGCCTCGTGGCCGAGCGCGCTGGGTGCGGATGTTCTCGCCCAGTAGGTCCGTGGTTCGTCGCCGGCCGTTGCCAGCTGATTTTCGAAGTTGTACAGTGTACAGAGCACACAAAAAAACGTTAATTTAACAACAAAAATATTTTAAACAAGAACTTAAAAAAAAAGAAATTGTTGTATTTTTTTGCAGGTGACGACTGGGTGCACTTTAGGTCCAGCATGGCAGTCACCAATTTTTTTTTTTTTAAGAAAAACAAAGTTAAGCCGTTCACAAGCGACGGTCTGTATAAACAAAACGAAAGGCGTTCTCAATTAGTTAATCCAGCCAAAATGTGCGACGGAGGAGTAGGCTGGGTTCGGCAGTCACACCGGTTGGTGGCGTGTTGTTGACAAGGGAGGGGTGTGTCCCGCGCAGCCAATCAGAGCTCGCGACCGTGTCTCCTGGCAGGCCTGGCGGCGCCGGGCAGCGCAGCCAGCGCGCTGCCTGCCTTGGCTGGCCGTCGGCTGCCGCGCGCCCGGCCCGGCCCTGCCCGGCCCGGCTTGGCACCACATAGAAGTGTTTTCGTCCGCCGATACGCTGATAGCAGGCGTCCACGCGGATGTCTGGAGCCTCCAGGATTCCTCCCGGAGTCCTCTTTCTCCAGTACGGACGCTCCCAGACGGCCGCGCGCCAGCCCGGACGGAGGAGCCGGGGGCCCTGGAGGGGCCCTGGAGGGGGCGGCAAGGGCGCGCGCACTCTGGGAAACTTCCACAGGGCTCGATAAGGAGGAACTGGTTCCTCAAATTCGGATTTTGTGTCAAAGACGCGGCAGCTCGAAGTGTCTGGAACTTGAAACGAAAAAATGAAGCGACGCGTCGGTTCACCACGACATGCTGATAATGGACGTGGATGCACTCGGAAGAGGAGGGGGGCGTACTGGTTCCTCTGATCGGAAAGAAAATGAAAACATCGCCGTGGAAATACACGCGGTGGTCATTGCCTGGAAATGCGCGGTTTGTTTGTGTTTACTAACTTACAGACAAACACTCACACACACACGTGCCGTTTGTTGCACGGCTGACATCAGCGCAACAACAGCGCAGAATAACAGCAGAAAACGGATCCTCTCCTCCGTTCTGTTGTCAGTATGTTGATTTGTTGGCCGACTTCCAACCCGTCACCGCGGTGGCCGCCGCCACAGCGTCCGTGACGTAAAAAGGATTTGAGGGTGACTTTGCGGGTACGGACGGGCCTTCACTGTAAAATGTGGGATTCGCGAAACCAAACCCATTCCTGCTCCGCCTGCCCCTGGAGTGCATCGAGTGAAAGAACCGTCGCCGTCGGGGCGGTCAGGGCGCGCGGACTTGCGTCACCAGGCCCCGTCCGCCACTGCCAAATCGCCGCCACTCTGGAGCCAGAACGTCCAGAACGTCCAGAACGTTCAGGGCGTCCCGAGCGTCCAGAACGAGGGCGCGAACTCCGCAGCCCGCAGAGCAAAATTTCCACTCATGACGTGTGCGTCGAGACGTCAGCGGCTCTTTTTCGGTTTGTTTCTACCTTCCACCCCGCTGGCTTTCGCAGCTTTCGCTTGCAGGGACCGCCCGGGCAGTAGGCCACCGGGCAGTCCACTGCGCACGCGTGTCGTGCAGGGGTGCCTACCCGCCGATCCGCGGGCGCTGGGCGTGGCGTTCCGCGGTGGCTCTCCGTAGATTGCCGTAGATCTGCTACTTCTACCCCTGTTTTGCCTCACTCGGCGACGAAAACAGCGAGAGCGAGCCTCCGGGAGGGGCAGGGGGAGGGGGAGGGGTCCACACGCGCCGCTCCGGGCCGGTCCGCCGGTCCGGGCCGCGCAGGACGCCGCCGGGAGGGGGCTCCTGGGGACCAAGATGTCGCCCACGGAGACAGGCAGGTCAGTCCGAGTCGCCGCAGCATAGGGAGACAACGTGACAACGCGCACCCAAAGTCCTCGAGTCCCTCCGGCGCCCCCAGACGCCCCCGAGTGCCCCAAGGAGTGCCCCAAGCCCAGTCCCGGCGCTGCAGGGCGTCGTCGGCACCCTGCGCACCCCGCCGCCACCATGACGCCACCCACCGCCCGATGCGGCGGCACCCCCGGCTCCCCCGAGCCCCAGTCGCCGGGCGGCCCCGAGGGGGCGTTGGCCGCCAACCCCATGGACTCCATGGCCTCCGAGGCCTCCGCCGTCGCGACGGGCCCGACGGGCCGGCCGCGCGCCTGGAAGGTGCCCGCCTCCGACATCGCCCGGAACACGCACAACTACATCCGGAGCATCGTGGAGAACATGCGCATCGAGCCACACCCCGACAAGCACATGATAGCGCTGTCTATCGGTAAGCGAACACCCCGCCGGCCACCCCACCTCAACCATCCCGTCAACCACTTCCACCCGACTCTCGGGCATCCCGTCAACACCCTGTACCAGTGTCCCTGCCTGTCTGCCACTATCAGTCAGTCACACCAACTAACAACCCCCTGCCGCACCGCCACCCGGCCCGCCAGCCCACCCTGCCCCCACCCCCTGCCGCCTAGACCCGCCACTGGCTCGTGGTGGGCCGCGGCCGCGGTGCCCAGAGGACAGGTCAGTTCCAGTGGCCTCACCGCGATCCTCGATTTGAAAACCGGACTCGCAGACAAAAATAGCCAGCCCTGCGGGCCCGTCTGCCCTGTCGCGCGGCCTGCGGCTCCAGTGGCTTCTTTTCCAAAAGCTTCTTCAAAGTCGTCGTCGGTGGGCGAATTTTGGACGTTTCTTCGCTTATCTCAGAGCGGCCACGAGCCTAGATGCAAAGCAGGGACCTTTCCAGTGACCGCTCGTCGAAACCGCACAATAGTCCACTCTTCAAACAACGAAAAGTTGCTCTTCACTCACCTTAAAAAAAAATAACAAATTAAAAATCAGTTTGAAACTGCCGCGTTCACATTCCGCGGGGCTCACCTCTGGCCGTCCTTCGCGTTTACAATTTCATTTGTTTAATAAAAAGTTGGAAAGAGCTGACTTAGTGCTCATCGGCGCTGTTGGCACGTTGGCACAGTGCCGAGAGGCGAGTGTCCAGTTGGGGACCGCTGGGGCCTGCTGGGGCGGCTGGGGCCCAATCGGGAGCGGGCCGACGACGGCGACCACGACGACGACGACGCTCGCGACCCGAAGACGAACTGAGCCCGTCGACGTTATTTCGACTTCCCGAGAAGTCCTCGTCGTCGGAAAAGGCCGAAGAACGTCGGGAACAATCGCTCCATTCGCAGTAAGGCGCCGGGAAAGGTGGCCGACCGACCCACTGAAAATGGATTCAAATGGAGCTGGTAAAAACCATAGTCACGAGTTTTTTTTTCCTGCTGACTCCGATTACGTAACTAGTTTTGACACATGAGGTGTTGGGAAGCAGACGACGCGTGCGTCGGAAAATGTGTTTCTCTCGAGTGGTACTAGTGTCTGAAGGGATGCCAACCCTAGACTAGGCAACTTCTCGAGAGCAAGGGCCCTATACTAGGCGGCTAGCTTCTCGAGAGAAAAGCCTGTGCAGCCTGGTTGGCAGGCTGAGGTTGGCAACCCTTTCCACACAACAGGTGGCTTGCTTTCGTGGCAACACTACTCTGTCCCCGCGCAGGGGCAGGGGTTGTCGCCGTGCCCCCTAGCAGTGCGGTGGTCCAACGACCTTGCCGGCGACCGCGATGTGCGGCGCGTGGCGGCGCTGGAGGCGTGTTGGCGACAAGAGCGGCAGGCCGTCTCCCATTGGCCGAGCCGCGAGGGGCTTGTCTGGAGCCTGGAGGCGCTCCAGCTCCAGCCCGTCCTGGAGTCGTCCCACAGCCGGCCAGAGGCGGATCCAGAGGTTTCGCTGGAGTACTCATGCTCGTGCACGCGCCGATCGGACTGCGGTCGGTTACCGCGCCAGCAACACCTCCACGGTGACGTCACGCTCGAAACGGGGGACATTTTTATCGGACCAAATTCCTGTCCGGCTGGACGGCCGGACGGCCGGACCTATGACGACGTGAAACCCCGCCAAAGGCAGTCGGCCGGCCGGGCCGAAGGCGATCCGAAGGCGATCCGAAGGCGACCCGAAGGCCACCGGCCGTGGCTTCTTGGCTTATCGCGAGTCCTAGACACCTACAAGTACTCAAACGAGGACGTGCCGTTTAACTGTTCCTCCGTTCCGACTGGGCCCCGAGTCCCAGCGTCCCAGACACCCCCTCCCCGGCCGGACGGTCCGGGCCCGCACCCAGACCGTCGGGACCGTGAGGACTGATACGCCTCTACGCGCCACGCCGCCACGCGCTACGCGCCCATTCCGGGTTACACTAGGCGGTCCCATTCACGGCGCAGTCCGCGGGGACGACGCCGACGGTGTAACCCGGGCCCCGACACAAACAAACTGACACGAAAAACTTTGGAAAATAATCAAATTTAACAACACTCAAAAGTTTTTGAAAAAAGAAAAATGAGCTTTACAGCGGAGGACTTTTCTATCCCGCAGGTGACCCGACCATTTTCGGCAACTTCAAACCGCCCGTGGAGGTGGTGGACGCAGTCCGGGAGAGCCTCCTCTCCTTTCAGTACAACGGCTACGCGCCTAGCTCAGGTAAGAGACCACATCACGCGGTTTTCCAAAGAGCGGGTTCGGATTCGATTCGTCGGATGCAGCACACCAGCACACTGCAGTGCTCATTTGCATATTCCCCTACGGAGAGTCGCAAAACCTCGCGGCCTTGGACCGCTGGCTCCAAGGTATCAAAACAAGCGGCGGGTGGGGGTGGGGGGCGTGGCGGCATGGCACACTGCATGGTGGCGCAGCGCTCCAGCCTCCAAGACTTGAAGGCGTGCACGAGGCGGGACGGGGTCAAACCGACGGGGCACAAATTTCACTTCGCCTTCTTTGCAGGGTACCTGGAGGCCCGCGAGGCGGTGGCGCGGTACAGCTCGCGGGACGGGGTGGACGTGGAGGCCAAGGTGAGTGCGAGAGAGAGAGAGAGAGAGAGAGAGAGAGAGAGAGAGAGAGAGAGAGAGAGAGAGAGAGGGTGAATTGGATCGGAGACCCGACCCGGCGTCACCACCCCTGTTTGTGCCGTAGGACGTGGTGCTCTGCAGCGGCTGCTCGTGCGCGCTGGACCTGTGCATCACGGTGCTGGCCAACCCGGGCCAGAACATCCTGGTGCCGCGACCGGGCTTCTCCATCTACCGCACCCTGGCCGAAGGGCTGGGCATCGCCACCAAGTCCTACAACCTGCTGGTCAGTGTGCCTCCGCCTTCGGCTGTCCCTCGCTTCGCTTTTCCCACTCACTGTAAAACCCTCTTTCGCCACGGCAGGCCGAGCGGTCCTGGGAGGTGGACCTGGCGGGGCTGGAGGCGGCCATCGACAGCGAGACGGCCGCCATCGTCATCAACAACCCCAGCAACCCGTGCGGCTCGGTGTTCCGCCGGCAGCACCTCCTGGACATCCTGGCCGTCGCGTCGCGCCACCGCGTGCCCATCATCGCCGACGAGATCTACGAGCACCTGGTGTTCCCGGGCGAGCGCTACCACTCGCTGGGGTCGCTGTCCACCGACGTGCCCGTCTTGTCCTGCAGCGGGCTCACCAAGCGCTTCCTCGTCCCGGGCTGGCGCATGGGCTGGATCGTGGTGCACGACCGCGGCGGCGTCCTCGAGGAGGTGCGTGGCCGTCGCCGTCCTCGACCGCCACTTCGATAGGTCGATCCCCGTGTAACGCTCCGAGTGTGTTGTCGCAGGTGCGCGGCGGGCTGCAGAAGCTGAGCCAGCGCATCATCGGCAGCAACACCCTGGTGCAGGGCGCGCTGCCCGCCATCCTGCAGAACACCCCCGCCGCCTTCTACGAGGACACGGCGCGGCGGCTGCAGCTGCACGCGCGGATAGCCTTCGAGTGCCTGCGCGAGGTGCCGGGCCTGAGCCCCGTCATGCCGCAGGGCGCCATGTACATGATGGTCGGCCTCAACATGGCCCACTTCCCCGCCTTCGCCACCGACCTCGACCTAGTCAACAGCCTCGTCTGCGAGGAGTCCGTGTTCGTCCTCCCCGGACAGGTGAGACCACCGCCACCGCCGGGCAAGTGCGAAAGCACCCCGCCATGTCGAAAGGGTTGCCAACCTCTGGGCAACTTCCCGAGAGCAAAGCCCTGATATTGCCCAGTCGGCAGGCAACCCTTCCGACACTGGTGCATTGTGGGAATGTTGTGGCAATGAACTGACGCGGTCGGCCACTCCGCTGCGCGCTGCGCCGTGGCGGCAGGCAACCCTTCCAGCTCGCGGCCGCACGCGCTTGGAGCGGGGCCAGCGGCAGGCAGACGGAGAGACACAGAGGCCGGCCGATTATTCAAATTGTCCTCTCCTTTCCCCGCCCCGCAGTGCTTCGACTTCCCCGGCTACGTCCGCCTGGTGCTCACGGTCCCCGAGGAGCAGCTGCGCGAGGCGTGCGCCAGGATCCGGGACTTCTGCCTGCGCCACTACGACACCGCCGTCACCGCCATCACCGCCATGGAGCTGGAGCCGGCCGCCGTGCTGGCCGAGGACCTGCTCGTCAACGAGATCAAGGACCTGCAGGAGGACATGGAGGTGGTGGACATCCTGGTGGAGGACAGGCTGGCGGCAGTGGCGGCCGCCCCCGGCGTCGGCCAGGTCGGCCAGGTCTGAAGCGTCCCGCCGCCCCGCTCCGCGGCTCGGGGCAGAGACCGCTAGTGCCGACGACGTCGTAGTGCGACACGGACTCCAGGAACACCATTGTGTGCAACTAGTGTCAGTGCGACGTCCCGGACCGGACCGCCCCCGGTGTTCCTTTGTCTCGACGCCTCAGGGCGTCGCAAGTGAATTCGTGTGCCATTCCTGATACTTTGGGACTTCCCCCGCCTGTTTCTTCTCACGTCGTACTTCGCACTCTCGCCGCCACCGTTGTTTCCACGCGGTGCTGCGAACGACTTCGGCGATCATCTTGTGTGCTAGTCGTATGAACGCGGAGAGGCCGCGCGTGTCCTGTGACTTTGTGTTTACTGTGTACAACTTTTCGATATGACTAATAAAAACCGAAACAACTCGAAACCCGGTCGACATTGCATCACCCGAAAACCCGCACCCGAGTTTCGCCTATTCACCCATAATTACGCCCCAAAAAACAAAAACAAAATCTCATTCAACGAACGTCAATGAAAGCAGATGATCCGTAGCGTTTCACAACTGCTGTGATAGCCGAGAGGTTAGAGACGTGGGATCGAGTTACCGCAGGCCGGCGTTCGAATACCAGCGTCACAAAAGTTTTTTCGACCTGCTATCCTACGGGTGGTGGTTCGAGGCCATCAGAGCGGAGCCGTGTGCAACAGGCCCACATGCCGGAGGTTCGACTCCTAACAAATATTTCCATTTAATTTTACTGCCTCACCCAGTTCGGTTAAAACCCGTGAACTTGAGCCCACCCCGAGCATGGGACGTGGTGGTCCAGGGAGTAGAGGCGTCGGTTCCCAGTGCTAGGGTCGGCGGTTCGACTCCCCCAACTTCTTGCGAAATTTTGACCGGGTCGGTCGAGTCCTGTTGCGTCAAGAACCCACCTCACGCCGATCCCCTCATCATGGGCCGTGGTGGCCGAGAGCGTAAAGTCGTGTGATCCCGATGGCGGGGTCCGGGGATCGAATCCCATCATTTCATTACATTTTTCGACCGCCTTCCTCCCAGTGCAACTCAAACCCGTCGTCCAACACGCTGCCAGACGTACAAGCGTGATAGCGTAGTGGTCAGAGTCACATTCACCTGGCCACTCCGCTGTGGGTGTCTAAAAAGCAATCCGCTTCGGCGGGTTGGCCTCGGCACTGGAGCGATGGAGTATTTGATCCATCAATCCAGACCACCCGGTGTGTGGTTGCGGGTGGTGCCTCCTTGACTTGTCGGGGAGGCGATGATAAGTCCTTTGAAGCTGGCCTAAAACGCTGTATGTTCGGTACGGGAGCGCCGGACAGTGGGGGTACCATGGGGTACACAACCAACCCTACGAAAACAAGAAGCTCCCACCAAACCTCTTCTCTGTCTGAGTCTCTCTCTGTCTCTCTGTCGTCTCACTCTACGTCCCGCCCCTCTAAGAGCTTCGTACTGGGTGCTCTCACCCAGCTGCCTGAGCTTTGGGGTCCTACTGGGTCCCCCGGCGAACGCTTAGGGTCGCTGACGGGATTAACCCCAGGTACCTGATAGCACCGGTTCCCATCCCGAACACCGAAGTAAAGCAGGAGGCCTCCCCATTAAGACTGGGGAGGGGGTGTAGAGTTCAAATTTTTTTCTTTTCCCTTTCAAATTTCTCGGTTCTTGGTTAAACGGTTCTGGGGCTGCCCCTCCCCCACCCTCCCCCTCCAGCCGGCCGGCCAGAGAGGACGGCCAGGCAGCGCGCCCCTCCCCCCCCCTCCCCCGCGGTGGCGTACGCAGCCCAACGCAGCCGCGCCGCAGAATGCTGATCGTCCGCAGTGGCAGGCAAGGCAGGCAGTTGCAAGCGAACGCGTCCGCGGCCCGGAGCGAAGCACAGCGTCGCGCAGCCGGAGTGCCTCGTCCTCGCAGTGTCCTCGCAGAGTCCTCGCAGAGAGCTCGAGCGTCTCGCCGAGCCTCGCCCGCCTTCCCTCCGCTACAGTGACTCCAGTGCCTCCAGCGACTGCAGCAAGGACGGCGCTGCCGCAGGACGGGCCGGCACCGCCATCGGTCATCTACTCCAGGCACGCCGGGCCGCCAGGCCGCCAGGCACAGGGCTCAGACTCTTCCTGGAGCGCGGCGCGCCGAGCGTGAACAGAGTGAACACCGTCCAGTGAGTCATCAGTCTTGTCGGCGAGCGAGCGCGCCAGCCGCGCCAGCACACCGGAAGGCGAGAGGCAGAGGTGAGACCGGTGTGCTGGGCGTAGTCCGCCCCGCCGTCTCGCTGGCCTCAAGGAGCCGCCTGTCAATCACCTCGCCGGCGACGCCGTCCGCGTGTCCGCGTCCACGACGTCACGCGTCGACGCCGTGCCCCAATCGCCGCCACTGTAAGTGCCCAGTGTCCAGTGCGGGCTGCAGGCCGATGCCTCCGCGGCCTTGAGCGGCCTGGGCGCGGCGCGCGCACCGCCAGCACATGGGTCTTGGAGGCGCCCCGGGCGCCGTGGACGACGAAGCGCCCCGCCAACAGGGAGCCTCCTTCGACGCGCACTGAGCTTCACCGCCGGCGCCATGACCGCCTTCCCCGACGACGACGCCGTGGAGGCCACCACGGCGCTGCCGGACGACGACTGGGACACGGTGCCCGCGCTCAGCGGCGCCACCACCACCACCTCGGAGACCATGGTGCTGGGCGTGCTGCTGGGCATGTCCGTCATGTGCGTGGCCTGCGTCGCCTCGCTCTGCATCGCCAGCCTCGTTCGGAAGCTGCGTCTGCGCGGTAAGGACTCATACACTAGAAACGGCCGGCGCTGGCGCATCGCGGGGTCGCGCCGGCCGTGCCGCGGTGCGTTGACGTCCCGTTTTGATGGCCGTCGCCGCCATGGCCGGGCCGAGACGCGGCGGTCCGAGACGAGACGGACGAGACGGGCCGGCCGGAGTGAAGGCCTGTTTGTGTCAGGCGCGTCAGTCGGTCGGACGGGACGGACAGGCGGAAGCCATTCGGGCCGCCGCTTCGTTTTTTAGCCTGCATTTGATGTGCATCCCGAGCGTCTTTTCGGACGTTTCCCCGCGATAGCCGTGATAGCCGCCATGGGGCGTAAAGTCCACGTATGACATTTATGGTCCAGGATGCAAACGACCGCCCCGGCCATCCTCCGGTCGGCTTTGTTTTGGTGCACGCGGCCGCCTGCGTCACGCAGTCACGCAGCAAAGTGGATTTGCCAGAAGACCGGCGCAGGCGGCCAAAACTCTCGTCCCCCACGCCGCCTGCGAGCCTCGTGGTCGGCCGTACTGCGCGACGCCGCGGTGTTGCGGGCCTGCCTACCCGGCACTCCGCGGGCGCCTGCCTAGGCAAATCTCAGCGCCGGAGTGGCGGTGTAGCGACGCCAGCAGGCCGATTATCACTCTGTCCTCTCTCTCTCTCTCTCTCTCTCTCTCTCTCTCTCTCTCTCTCTCTCCCTCACGGGCCGCGAGAGAGACAGAGCTCGGATGCAGGTGTGGTGTTGCGACACCGATCGCGAGGGAGTCATTGCACCGCGCTCCGCGCTGCATGCGGCGTGGCAAGATGGCGCGCCTGGCTCCGCCCCACGGGGGGTCATGTCCATGTCGGCGACTCGGCGACGCGGCGACCAGGAAGTGTAGTCGGGCCGGCGCGCTGCAGGCAGGCCAGGCAGGCTGCAGGCTGCACGCGGCACGCACGACAGCAGACAGCACGCTCGGGGGACGCGTCCCGCGGTGGTTCGGTTTCCCCGGCACTGCAATTCAGTACGAGTGGAATCAAATTCGCCGTCGCCTGTCGATGCGAAGCTGCGGCCGAGGGGCGGCGACCTCGCGGCCGCGGTGACTCCCAATAAACATGTCTCCGCGAAGCGCGAAGCCCGCAAAGCCGACGACGACACGTCGCCGCGTGCATAAAGACGTCCTGCCATTAATTTTAATCCGCGCTGTTTCTGCCTTGCAGCGCTGCGGGACATGGAGGCCAAGGCGGTGGACGTGGAGGCGACGCTGCCCAGCTACACCCTGGTGTCCGGCCTGCCCACGTACGACGAGGCCCTGGACCAGCTGCAGCGGCGCCGCGAGCTGCGGAGGTCGTCGTCGGCGCAGCGCGCCATCGAGGTGGCCGTGGCGGCGGCGCGCGCCGCCGGCAACCTCATGACGGTCAAGAAGCTGCAGGCCGTCCGACAGCTGTCCGTGCACAGCCTGCTGCAGTACACCTTCCGATCCAACTCGTTCGACAAGGGCTGGACCGGCCAGAGCGGCTAGGCCTGGGCCTGGGCCTGGAAGACAAGACTGCGGGGGGCAGCCATTGCTCCTCCTCCATCACCGTGACTGACAGTGTGTCGTGTTGTTGTTCCTGTCCTCGCTGTGAGTTCATTCGAAAGGCTGCGTACTTAATTTATTACTCATAGATGTCTGTTATTTATAAGTATTTATTGTCACGTTTGTACAAATACAGATCATGTATACTGCCTCCGAATAAATGGCGTCCCATTTCGAAGCCTCCACCTGCACTCCCACACTCAGAAAGGTAATCGCCGATTGCGGCAGTAGCGGCAAGGACTCGAAGGACGAGTCGGCTTGCTTCGAGAACGGCCTCTCTCGCTTTAAACGCACGCCGTTTACGCGCGCCCCCGCCCCTCCCCCTCCCCTCCCCGCGGACGGTGTTGGTCATTGGTCTTTAGCGCCACAGGCGTCGCCGCCGCCACCGCGCAGTCCAGCTGAGCGACTCCGAAAGGACCGTTCCGCCGCTCTGTCTCTCTCGCACTCATGCGGCGTCCGGCGGGGCAGGCAGGGGTGCGAGAGAGACAGAACGACGTAACGCTCCTCGGTCATAGCTATCGCCTTGGCTTCTTCCGTCATTCCCTTTCCGAGGCGCCAGAGACTTTCTGGCGCGCGTTCAAAGCCACTCGCGGGGCCCGTCCAGAAGCACCGTGACCCCGAGGGGGAGGAAAGAGAAAGAGACTTTGTGGTGTGGTTGTGGATCGGCCGCGCGCGTGTGTAGCCTCTCCCTCGCCGAAAAGCAAGGATCATGAGGACAGGAGTCGTTTGGATTATCGGCAAAACAGTGTTTCGCCCACAAGCGATGATGGAGAGTCGCGCCCCACCCCTCTCGGCCCGCGCGGAACTGCGGGGTACTTCCCCCTACACTATGAAAAGTTCAGAAGAACAAAGTCTTTAAAACCTTGAACTGCATGCGCAGTTTCTCATAGCCCAGCTCCCATCAACTTCAGCGCACAAGTGGCCCCCTGTGGCTTGACTGAGTGTAAACTCTAATTTCTATGTTTAGAGTGGTCCTTCGCACCCGCTAGAATTTTCTAGGATACATGGTTTGCATATCCATCGAAGGAGTCTACAGTCGCGGAGGCTGAGTGTCACGAAAATGGGTTTGAAACAGCCGTGAGTTTTGACAGCCACTGTCGTCTGCAACAACAACATGAATTCTAACGATGAAACGGTACGCTGCCTTATTGAACTTTGCCATTTACCACATTTATACTATTTTTACTTCTATGATCACGCTTAAGTCGAATACATGTGTTGAAAAATCTGTGTTTCAAAAGTTTTAATGTAAACATAACCTTCATTGTTTTCCAACCGAAGTTTGTTTACCTTCTCATAAGAAAGTCATTAACGTCCATTAAGTGGCCTTGGGAAAGTACATTTTATTCTCCAGGGTTGTTTTGAATTAAATTTTTAAAGTCGCCATCTGTTTGGTGTTGCAGTGTGAAGATGAGTGGAATGAACTTCACAGCCGCTTCTCCAAGGAAGGGCTGGACTACTCCTCCCTGTCCATGGAGCAAAGAATATTACATGTGTGGCGGTGGTTGGTGGACGCAGAAAGTAACTTACTCAGTTCAAGGCGAATGCTCGACAAGCTACGAGAACAACAACATGAAGAACTCGAGGTAAACTGTCTTGATAGAATGCACGTCTTTTGTCAATCGGATGCATTTAGAGTAATATTTGATTTCCAGGAAATGGAGTCTTACATTGGACACATCCGAGAGCTCGCTGAGAAGAGGACAGACCATCTTGAATCAGAAACTATTTCTTTGCGAAACAAGTTGCACTTAACCCAACAACAAACAGCCACGTTAAACAATCTCTTGCAGAGGAGTGGACTGGAAGGTCTCGATGGTTTAGGAGAGGAAAGCATTGGCGAGCAGGTCAGTCCTCATTCATTCATGTTGTGTGTGTCTTGATCATATCATTTAAATCACCTGTTACAATCAAATATATTTCAGGTTGCTTTCTTGGTGGCCGATCATCTCAAATTAATGGAAGAAGTTGATGTCCTTAAAAAGATAAAATTTTCAAATGGTGTTGGGAAGGAGTGTGAACTACTATCTGAAATGGTGAAGGTGACATCAGAAAAAGAAGTCCTACGTCGGGAAGTTGGAGATGCCACGGAGCGTTTGTCTCTTCTTGAAAAAGCGTCTAGACAGCTTCAGCTTGACAACGAACGGTTGGCATTCAAGGTAGAACTTCCCTGTTCATAACCAATTCTACTTGTGTGCTTTATGTTTCTAACAATTTCTAATAATATTTAATTTAAAAATTAATTTTTCCAATGAGCTGTGGTCTTTAACTGTCTTAATTTTGGTGCAAGCTTTCTGAGGCTCTTGCTGAATTGGAAGAGAGAGAAGCACAATTGAAACAGCTAGGTCAGTTCTTCTCTGTGTGAACACTGCTTTGCAGAGTATCTAGGTCTTAGTAGTGAGTGCATTGTGGTACATACAATGTCATTTGTTTGACTGTTTTATTTTTTTTTTTTTCTCGATTGTTTGGCTCTTACTTATTTGATTGGTTTGTCTCAATTGTTTGGCTTTTTATTCACAGTTTTATGACTTGAGTTGGAGTTGAAAAATTTTCGTAATTTGGTAGGATTTTTTGCCATATCAAGTCTTAATCTTGACTAATTTTGAAAATTTTTTGAAGGTGGGAGTGACCATGGTGGAGAAGGCTTGATGTGGATATCACCGCAGAGGTCCCAGCAATGTGGCCGAAGTCAATCCATGTACACTGGGCTTTGTCAGAGAGAGCCCTCCATGAGCAGTTTGCGTACTATGACAAAGTGAGTTCCATTTAGTCGTGCTGATCATTTGACATGGGACAACTCTTAACTGATACCTGAACTTTAAATTTTAGTGAGGTTTCCGAAGACCGCGAAAGTTTGCCACGCAACCCTTCAGAAGCAAGCCTTCTTGACCATGACCAAGAGCCCACTCCAAGACTATCAAGAGCTGATACTCGAAGTTTTGGGTTAGTACAATTTTTGTGTGTGTGTCTGTGTCTGATGAAATTGCTAAAACCTAAGTTTCATAACTCAATTGTTTGCAGAGCGGACTCAACTCCCCCAAGTTTGCTGCTTAGTGAACCCAATACAAGCTGTGGTTCCCTCCGAAGAATATCAAGCTTGGTTGACACTCAACCTGTGGGCAACACATCAGGCCCTTCGGCGGACTTGTGCCGCCTAGATGAAGTAAAATATCTGCAGGTATATTTGAAACAAACCTTTTCATTACAAAGTAATGAAAGTGAAAGGTTGCCTTCAGTTTTCCTTTTCTTTTTACCTTGCAGGTTGAGTATAATGCTTTGAAGGAACAGCATGTTGCTTTAACTGAAAAATACAACACTTTGGTATTCAGACATATTCGAAACAAGACTAAGAGAAAGTCGCAGTTAGAAGAGCTCAGGTAGAAATACACCAAAGATTTGCGTTTTACATCATCATGTTTACAACTACTTTTCTTTTTTGTAAACTAACAAGATTTTTTTAATGCAGGAGACGCATGGATACAGCTGCAAGCTCATCCAATTGCCGCATTGAGTCCCTGGAATCACAGCTGGCTCTCCAAAAGAAAGCTCTTCTGGGGGAAGAAGTGTTCCGCAAGAGAGTTGAATCAGATTACCGACGGTTGCAGGAGGAAAAGCGCTCTCTGGTCATCAGGTACAACTTTTGTCCTTTAGGGTGTTCATGGCCAATTGATTGGAAATCCATTTAATTTCTATTTATTTGTCATGTGCAGTGTCTTAAATGCCGAGAGCTCTCTCAGAGCCAAGGAGAGAGAAATTTTGACGCTGAAGAAAAAGGAAGAGTTCCTGGAAGGAACAACTGCAGATCTGTTGGCAAGAGTACTTACCCTGAAGTACACAAAAAGTCCATCAGATAGGCCAGCTGCCAAACCTTCCTTTATCCAATCATCTAAAACTGTCCCAAATATATCAACGGTAGCAAAAAGCAGTGAGTCCCCTTCTGAGAGGAAAAGTCCCTTAGTCATTGCAAAGCGGCATAGTGTAACCAGTGTAACTGATCTGGGGACTGTGTAAGTTCTCTTAATTTACTTTATCAAGATATTTTATTTTCAATATATTTTCCTGTGCCAGTGCAAGGTTTTATCGTCTTGATGTAAGAGTTAAAAGATCTGCCAGGGTACTTATATGTTGTAATGTTATCATAATATTTTTCTAGTCATGTTTAGGCTTATAGGAGAAAGTGTTTTGATCTTGGCACAAAGTTAATTAATTGTCTTCCTTTCTACTTTGTTTATATTTTCACAAATGCTCCTTATTTTCTATAAGTAACAAAAGTTTTAATTAGTTAAGCTTATAAAAATTGCCATCTAGACCTTCAACTTGGCTTAAATTTGAATGGACCATTATGTAATCATGCACATTTTGTGGCTTGCTTGCATCTTTTCACCACTGAACTACAAAATGAACAGTTAACATATTACAGAAAAGATGACTGTTTCTTTTTGCTATTCAACTTTTGTTTTGAATTGTTCTATTTTCTAGTCAATAAGTCTGTTTTCTTGTTTTGGTTTTACAAATTTTAATTTTAGACGCACAATTTGTAATTTAGAAAATCCAGCCATACAATGCCAAAGAATCCAATTTAATTATTTGCTTCATGCTGACAACTATAGAAATGAATTTTAGATTCTTATCTAGGAAAACCATGTCAGATGGACGGGTTCCAACTTGTTGCAAAGTAGAATGTCATGGAAAGTATTCAGTTTAGCTCTATTTTCCTACCTAGAATCTTATTAGAACCTACCTGTGTCATAGGATTCTTTTAAATTTGTTTGATCACAATAAGTTTTTTGTGCCAAAATACTTTTTAAAAACGGCACAACAGATTGTATAACATATTCCAATTGCGAGGTTTGATATTTGGCTGGTAAAGGCGTAAATGTGCATTGGACTGATCTATTATGTCAAAAACAGTAATGTTTTCCCAATTTTGCAAGGAAAGCATTAGTAATTTGTTTGGATTTGATTATTTTGTGAACTAAAGCATGTTTTCCTCATAACAGTCTTTTCTTCCTCCTGAGCTGTCTTTGGTGGATTATTTACTCTACCGACAAACGCGAATGTCACTGCTGCTTCGCTGCTTCACTCGATGACTAGCTTCGACCCGTCGCGGCTGCGTTGGCCAGCCACTGATAACCGATACACTGTGTTATTCACTGTCTTTCTCAGAGTCCTGGCAGTGTGTCATGTATGTCTTCCTTCACACAGTCTTCTGGATGACCCCGGGGCGGCCAGGCCTGGGGGCCCGGCTCACAGGTCCGTGCAGTGAGACGCCACCCGGGCCCTGAACTTGCGCAACTTGTGGGCCTCCTTGGAGCGGCGGGCGGCGCCCTGGGCGATGGTGCCGAACTTGTAGGCGAGGGCGAACCACAGCACCATGCAGGAGTAGGCCGCCACTAGGCTGATGACCAGGGCGGCCGAGGTGTTGACGGTGGCCAGGGCCCTGTGGAGTGCAAACGAGCATTACGTGGAGGCCGTGGAGGCGAGGTGGTGTGGTGGTGCGAGTGGTGCTCACCTCTGCCCCGGGAACCAGTGGCCGTCCTGGAACACCTCGCGCGCGTCGGGCTTCATGTAGTCGAGGAAGTCGAAGATGACGGGGCAGGAGAGGCGGTCGTTGACGAGCTGCGCCAGGTTGCCGGACGCGCGGAGCGTCTTGAGCACGGCGTGGCGGTACTCGCGGCACGCCGTCAGGAAGCCGTCGGTGAGCACGGCGACGTGGCTGACGGCGAGCAGCCCCAGCAGCAGGCACGCCACGCCCTGCATGATGGTGAAGGCGGCGGCCCGGGCGATCCTCTCCGTCAGCCTGGCCGTGTCCTCCGGGCCGCGGACCTGCAGCGCGGGGCCGCCGCGCGACACGAGCCGCACCGCGCTGCCGTCGGCGCCCCGCAGGTCGGTGACGGCCCTGCGCTCGCTGGCGGGCACCCGGACGAAGCCGCGGTAGCCGTACCACGCCGCCAGGCTGAGCGCGAACACCAGGCCCGGCAGCGGGGCGGCGCCGCTGAACCAGCACAGCGACACGTCCGAGCCCTGGATGGCGTAGGACGACGTGGAGACGCGCGCGTACAGCAGGCAGCCGCAGTCGGCGTGCGCGCACGCGTCCAGGGCGTCGTGCCAGTGCGTCAGGATGACGGCCAGCGACACCACCGTGAGCAGCGAGGCGCAGCACAGCGCCGACGACAGCACGGCCACGGACCGCGTGGCCTCCAGGTCCATCGCAGGGTGGCTCGGGGCCACTAGGGATTGGCGTAGGCCGTCCCGTCCCGTGCCGTCTCGCCCGGCCCGCCGGCCCTACCTCGACTCGACAGGTGCTGGTTCACACGACAAGTCCTAGTCCCCCACGCTGAGGCACACAGCCACCGTCACGACTCGGGGCCGCCACTCGGCGCAAAGCGCGCAAACGCCATGCTGGGACGGGCCCGCGCCGCGCTCGCCTAGTGGGCACGCCGCGCCAGTCACAGGGGGGCGAAGACGAAGTACCGGGGCCGCGGCCGCGGAGGGCGCGGCATCGTCTCGGACCTTCCGTGGAGGAGCTCGTCCGACGGCCGACGGGGTGTGACGGGGTGCTCACCCCTGCGCTGCCTGGACTGCTGGACCTGTCGCTGCCGCGTACTGTACCGCCTTGCGTGGGCTGCGCGGGGCTGTGCTTGCCGTGCCGTGGCGTCGCGTCGCGTCGCGCCGCCGGTCCGGGTCGAACTGCCCGCCCCGCCGCCCCGCCCGCGGCGCACCTGTGGGGCGCGTTCGTTTGCACATGAAGATCCTCTCCCCTCCCCCGCCCCTTCCCTTTCACACGCCGCACCGCCGCACCTCGACGTGCTATCAGTGCGCTTATCCACCGGTATCTGGGCGGTCGTCATGACTACAGGATAATACTGGGCACGGCCAGCCCGGCCCCGGTCGCCCGGTGAAAGAGAAACAGGGCGCTAGCCGCTCGCCTCTCCGCGCGGTGCGTTCGTGTGTGTGTGTGTGCGTGTCCGAGGTGTCTGATCCACCCTCCCCTCCAGTGGGGCGGTACGGGCCGGTTCCCCGGGCAACTCGCAGGGGGGCAGTGGCCCGCGGTACAGCGAGTGGGACTGCTATTGCTGCTATTCGAGATGAGACATTCCTCGAGGGCCGGTGTACGCCAGGACTGTGTTCTGCGTATCGCTGACTCGAACAATGCTTCTGTCTCTCTCGCACGCGCGGGGTGTCGCGAGAGAGACAGCGCGAAGACGCTCGGAACTGAAGCACTGCCCGGCGGTCAAGTCCTGCGCTGCCGAAAGGGTTGCCTATCGATTGGGCGCGCGGGGGGCTCGGGACTCGACTCGGCCGCGGAGCCCGCGTTGTATGGAAAGGAGATGATGTACCCTCCATCGTATGATCGTATCTCTATCTCTGCCACCTGCTTCGGCCTCGGCCGCCTCGGCCCGTGGGTCACTTATCTCGCACTCTTGGAAGGATCGTTTCGTCGCTCCGTCTCTGTCGCACTCATGGGGCCTGTCGGCCTGTCTCCGCAGAGCGAGAGAGACAGAGCGATGAAACGATACTTCAAAAGCATGCTCTGGCGTGCCTCGCTCCCAGTGCTCGCTTCTCGAGGGAAGTACCTTCGCACTCCGCACTGCCGCTCAGTTCACTACACAACTGGGTAAATACAGTGGAAGTGCTAGTGCACTAGGCTGTCGCTCACAGGAGCCACGTTTCGACACTTCCGTGAACATAACAGATATACTACAGATAAAAATAAAAACAATGTTTGATGGGAAGAAGAAATATTCGAAGAGCGATTGCGCTTAGGGGAAATTTCTGTTTGCGTTGATAATTAATTAATCGGCAGGTTTTTCCCATTTAACTTGTCCTAAAAACTGCTAAGAGAATGAGTTCGATCACTTTCTGCCGAACGGTTCTAGAAGAGACTAAGGTTTATGCGAAATGCACGAGAAAAAACTACTGCCCCCTGTGAGATTTGAACTCACGACCCCTGGTTTACAAGACCAGTGCTCTAACCCCTGAGCTAAGGAGGCGAGATGGTGGGGAATGCGAAGCGGTCGCTTCTGTTTCCTCTTCCCCCACCAGCGGGTCGAGCCTGCGCGGCCGCGGCGCCGCGGCCCGCCCGCGCCGACAGGGACGGGGAAGGGGGGAGGGGCAGGGACGGAAAGTCGAGGCAGGACAGGGACAGGACGACAAGCCAACTCAGATAATATTTTCGTCCTGCTGTGCCAACGGGGGGTGGTCCTAGATCCTGCGTGAGAATCGGCGAAGGTGTGACCTCTGCTCGACCCGTTGCGGGCGCCACAAAGCCTTGCCAAGGGCCAGGGACCGCGCAGGACACGATCGACGGCCGCCAGTGACACAAGGACACGGAAGGACTTAACCTCATCCTCGCGCCCAGGACTCGCGGAATCGACGCCAAAATGACTGAGGTGAGTGGGACGAGGCCCGGGACCGGGGGCAATGCGACTCCACTGGGCGGGGAGCGTGTCGGTGCCGTTGTCAACTTAAATCGGGCGCTATTTCGGTTCGGGGTTCGGGCCGCAATGCTCCGTTTGGAGGCGCGCGTCGTCTCGGTCTCGGTCTCGGCGGACGCGACCAAGTCTGCCATGACGGACGGCCGGGACGGCGGCCCGGGAGGACTCTATGATTTCCATTTCCATAGTCGCTTTCCTGACGGTGTGCGTTTGCATCTTGAGTTATGCCTGCACCGGGAAGCGAGACGAGAGCACCGTGCACTTGGGGCCCTTGGGGGAGTGGGCCCGTGTCTTGAGACCCTGCACTCTTGTCAACAGGATGAGGTTGTCTATGTTTCTGCTGTCAGCGAGCTCCGTTGTACATTGTTACTGACTCCCTTCATTTGCAGGTACCGAGGCTCAACTTGGACATGACTCCATTCAAAGACGCCAAGCTACCCATTATTTGGGTGTTAGGTGAGCTTCTCTTCCGAACTACGAAAAACGATTACTTGCGACAGAAATCGTTGAAATGTTAACAATTAAAATTATCATTTTCTTTATTAGCTCATTGTTGATTTTGATCTTTTTATAGGAGGACCTGGCTCAGGCAAGGGTACTCAATGCGTCAAGATTGTTGAAAAGTTTGGGTACACCCACATTTCATCAGGAGATCTTCTGAGAGCCGAAGTTGCCTCTGGATCTGACCTTGGAAAATCTTGCGAAGCCATCATGAAATCGGGCAGCCTTGTTCCCACAGTAAGTGCGATACTCAGAGACATCTCAGTCACAAGTTTCTGCTGCGGCAGTCACTCATAATATTCTTGTCAACAGGGAGTGATCATGGACCTCATGAAGAAGGCAATTCTTGAAGCTGTGCCAACATCCAAGGGTTACCTCATCGATGGACTGCCAAGAGAGTTGGGACAAGCTAAGATTTTTGAGGAGGAGGTAATGTTCGATAATCCCGACACTCGTTTTGTGGGATGGAATCCTATTAAGATAAATTAATGGTGCTTTATTTGTTTGGTTGCAGATCTCAACTTGTGCTCTGGTTTTGAACTTTGAGGTGACAGATGAGACATTGAAGGCTCGTCTGCTCGAGAGAGGCAAAGCCTCTGGCCGTGTCGATGACCAGAATTTGGACACTATTTTGGCTCGCATTGAGACTTTCCATAATATTTCAGAGCCTGTTATTAAGCAGTATGCCAGCCTTTGTAAAACTGTAAGTTAAATGCACTTTTGCCTTTGGTTATTTTTTTTATTTCACGTAAGTGATTTTTTAATATGTTTTCCTTTGTGTTTTGACAGATCAATGCCGAGCGGCCCGTGGATGAGGTGTTTGCTGACGTTGAAACAGTCCTCAAAGCACTCGCATAGGTCTCTTCATTATGGCCAGCTCATTAGGCATTAGTTGAAATTGTCTCTTTTGCTCACTATTTAGTTTTAATGTTTTGTGCATATTGGAGATTTTTAACTGCTAATCATACCAATTATTTTATTATTAACAATACCAGTACCTGCTTTCCAATCACTTTGCAAGTGGCTGTTTAAATTATTTTATACCAGGGTATTTTATTTCTGGAAATGCATTTGTGTGCTTGTCTTAAAAATTTATTTTTGTTGTCTTTTTGCACATTGCACGTGTGCTTTTGTGTTTCGTTTCTTTCTTAAAGAAACATTATTTATTTAGGTCCTGGTGAAAATTTCTGTCTTTATTTTCTATTGCCAATCATCCAGAGATGTGGGAGTTGCTCAGTATTATTTTCCCTTGTAGAAAAACTACATGTTGACTACTAGTCCCATTGTCTAGTCATTTTTCAAACATTTGTACTAGTCATAATGTCAATCATCTTTACATTTTAGTGCTGCTGAAGTATGAACATCAATTGTCAGACAGAGACATGCAGTGAGTTCTCATTTTCGATGAGCAGGCTTCAATTTTTTGGTCATTGTTATAAAAATGTTCTAATACCAAATGTATTACTTCTTTAATCCCAGTTATCTTGTTGTAGTTGTTGTTACGTTGTTACTTATTTATTTCTGTTGTTAAACGTTCGAAATGCTCTTGGAGTGGGATGTGTGTGTGTAAAATCATCACGACCCGTGCATTAAATAAAAAATTGCTCACTTTGATTACACCAAGCAAGTGTTTTTAATTGTGCCCTTCCCGTGTAGTTTGCTTTGCGTGGACCGCCAATGCTGAAAAGCGCGCCAACTTCCAACTTCACGCCACTGTTAGAAGCGGTAATCAGGGTCCATTGAGTTGACGTGCTCGACGCTTTCAAGTTCTCTCTAAGCCCACACACACACACACACACACACACATTGGCTAATTGGTGTGCCGGCCGGCCTTCCGTCTTCCGTCCTGAAATCCGAAAGCCCTTTCATTCAGGCAGCGCTGACCGCGAGCACCGCTCTCGTCGCTCTGTCTCTCTCGCACTCATGGGGCGTCCCATACGGGTGCGAGAGAGACAGAGCGACGAAAGCGGTGCTCGGAATCGGCCCGCTGGCGCGCTGGCCGAGGCGGGGGCTGGTTTTACAGTCTATCGTCCCGGCGGAACTCCTTCCACTTATTCTATCAGCAGTGGTTAGCCGAGCCGGCCCAGCAGCCCAACCCCACGTCCTGGACGTTCGCCGGCCGGCCGCCCGGCGTGGACCTGGAAGACGCGGTCCGCGGACTGGAGCAGCATCGCGACGGGCTAGACGCGGAGGGGAGGGGATGCCAGAACGGCGACATGAAGCGAAGCGAGTCGCCTAGTGACCTCATGGACGTGGACAGACAGGCGCTCCCTTCCCGCCCCCGCGTGTCCTGCCCGGTCCTGCAGGGCCTGCACACGGCCACGACGGCCGCGGAGGCCAAGGGCTGGGGCCGTGGCCGTGCGTCAGGCCGCCAGACGTCGCCTCGCACTGGACCGCGGTAGATCGCGGCGGTCGGGTCGCGACTTGAGGTCGGAACTTGGGAATCCGAGGCAGCCGCTCCGAGCAGGGCGTCCTGGTGCTTCCCTCCCGCCGTCGACAGGTAGGTACTGTACCGCGGTGCAGGAGACTGATTCCGAAAGGCGCCGCTCTGTCTCTGTTGTACCCATAGGAACGCCCCATGAGTGCGAGAGACAGAGCGACGAAGACGACTCTCGGAATCAGTCGGGACGGATTCCCGGCGGGGAATCTCGCTTGTTTCAATCAGACGAATTTTCAGCAATTTAATTACGTGCGACGCCTGCTGCTTCTGCTGGTGGATATACGGCGCGCGGTGTCCGTTTTTTTTTTTTGTTGCGAGGAATGTTCGATATCGGAAGCGAAAGGGGTGGGGGTGGAGGGTCGGGGGATGGACAGCCCGGCCAGTCTCGCGGAGAGAGAGAGTTGAATAACTCGCGCGGGTATGTTGTGCAGAATCCTCCTATCATGCACACACCACTCGCTTCGGCGCTGTTGTTTTTCGTTGGGGGAGAGGGGCACAGGAAAACTGGCTGGACGGGTGGCTTGCCGGTGCCGGGATTGGACGCCTTGCCTCGACTCGCGACTCGCCTCTCCACCAGGAAGTGAGGCTCTCTCGCCGTTTCGGGGCCCGCTGCCAATGCTGCCGGCCGGTCCCGAAGGAACGTTTCATCGCTCTGTCTCTGTCTAGCTCATGGGGCGTCCCATCAGGGTGCGAGAGAGACAGAGCGATCGGGACGGAACCGCTCTGGCTGCCGGCTGCTCGCTCCTGCGCGTGGAAGTCCGTGGAAGTCGCCGCCGCGGTGCCGCGGTCATTCCCGTCCGGAGCAGCCCTGTGCCGGAGGCTCCGCAGTCGCCGAGGGCCTCGGTGTCCTTGGGGAGGGCTCGGACGGCGGGCACCTCCCTCTTGTGCACGTGCGGGATGCACTTCGACCGGCAGCGCAAGACGTGCACGTGCACGTCCTTGGACGCGGCCTCCGGACCAAAACACCAAAACACTTGGCGGGGGGTCCGTGGCCGCGGTGGCCGCGTGATTCACGCGCACGGCGAGCCGCTGCCGCACGCGCCACGCTCGGCCGTGAATTGGCACCACGCTCCGCCACGCCGCGGCGTCTCTGGCCGCGGCCACGCTCGGGTCCCTATCGGGTCCCTCGGGTCAGCCGATCGGAGAGCCGAAGGTGGACGCGACGGCTTCGGCCGCGCGCCGCGTCGTCGAGGCGGTGGCAGGTGCGGCGGCGGCAGGCTCTTGAGGCTCTTGAGCTTGCTTGGCCTGGGCGGCGGCCTGCTTCGCCTGCTCGCGGGGCGCGGAGGCGCGGAGCGGAGTGAGGGCAGGGCGCGGGGCACAAAGGAATCAACCGGATCCGAACGCCTCCGCCGCACTGGGCTCAGTGCTGCGATGCACGGGCATGCATGGGCCGCCGGGTTGCGTCAGAGGCGTCCAAGTGCCCGGACTACTTGCACACCAAGGCGAAGGCGTCGCCGTGTCGGGTCGGGCCAGGTCGGCTGGCCCGGTCCTGATGCAATCCATGCCCCTCCCCTTTCCCCCAGAAGCTGCCGCCCTGCCGGCGGGCCTAGAGTCGGCCGCGGGGCGCTTAGCGCTTCGCTTATCACCCCACGCGTAGTGAGGCCGCCGCCACCGAGGAAGCGAGCGGAGCGGCACGGCGATTTGAACGCCACCCGCCGCTGAGCCGCCACGCCGCCACGCCGCGCCGAGGAGGAGAGGGAGGGCGGGGACCAGCTGCGCTGTGTTTTGGTACGGCGGGCGGACGGTCGGACCAGACGGGCGGACGGTCAGACGACGGCCGGAGGGGCGTCCTCGTGTGTTGGCTGTTGGCTTTGGTTTGTCGTTAGTTGTAGTGCGGCGTGCGCAGCGTGCGCCGGGGTGGCAGTGTTGTGCGGCGCGCGTTTCAGTTTGCGTAGAGTGCGTGCGTTCGGCAGTGAGTGGGTGTGGGTGTTTAAGTGCGGCTGGTGACACCCGCAGCACTCGTCGTTACGCGCCTCGTGCACGCGGCCGAGCATGGCGGCACGGCGCGGCACGGCGGCGCAGGACACATGCATATGCATAGGTGGCCGTCGTGCGGCCCTCGACCAGCTCCTCGTCTAGGTTAGGTGGCACTCGGGCAGGAATCGAGGTGAGTAGTGGCGAGTAGCGGTGGAAGGCGAGGCTGAGCTCGCGGACGAGCGGCACGGCGACGCTCTGGGAAGGAGCCAAGCGCAGCGCGAAGCGCGTCGCCGTGGCCGTGGCATGCAGGATAAAAACAACAGCATGGCCGACCGCCCCGTCGAGACTGCGAGTGATATTTGCGTTGGAGGCAGCACCCGGTGGCGTTTGCACCCGATGGAACCCGACCTGCGGCCTGCGACGCGAGTGTCAGCGACGACGCACAGCGCACCAGGATCCAAACAAAGAGTTGGGCGACTGGCTGAGGCGAGGCTGCGTTTGGTCGGCGGCTGGCGCGGCGCACCCAGCCCAGCATGGCAGCATGGCCGAGAGCAACAGGAGCCTCCCCTCCCCCTCCCCCCCGCGCGGCTGGTCTAGCCGTCTAGCCAGCCAGCCTCCTAGCGCGGCACCGGCGTCCAGGGTCCTTCGGGAGAGGCAAGCCTGCCTGGAGCTGGAGCCTGGACTCCGCCTCCAGCCGGCCGAAACTAATGACGTCTTGGAGCCTCATGACGGGCGCGCGCTCCGGACCAGGAAAAAGAAATCAAAATACGTACGTTTTTGGGAGCGGTATCGATGACAAGGAACGGCGTCATCGAATCTGCGAGCGAATGTGGACGCGGTCGAAAAGTGGGGGCAGTGGCAGTGGCAACGCGCCTCCCGGAGGTTCAAGGCGCTGCTGATAACGACCGTCGGCGGCCCGGGTCGAAGGCCGTGAAGGGCGCGTGTGTGCTCAGCTCGGCGCAGTCGCTTGCTTGGCCGACCCGACGTCGCCGGCGGCAAGCCCTTGGAAGGGACGGTGTCGGCGACCCTGCCGGTGATTGGCTGAATGAAAAATTCGCGTTCCAGACGACTCCCTCCCTCTCCCACGCTTCGCGGCCCTCGCGGCCCTAGCGTCCTTGGCCCTTCCATCCTTCCATCACGAGGACGGAGTTCCGGTCGGTCTGGGCCTTGGGGGCCTTGGGGCAGCCGAGAGCGACCAGCCGCACCAGACCACGAATTTTCCATTCATTCTTTGTCGGAATACTTTGCGTGGCTTCCCCGTGACAGCGCGCATGCCTTGGCTATAACGTGTTTATTTTATATTGCTGTGCGCGCATTGCACTGTCATTTGATTGCCCATCGCTTTTTTTGTTTCGCGAGTTTGGCGCGCCTGGCTGGCTGCGCTGCGCAGCGCTGCGCGCCAGCATTGTTGTTAGCCCGGCCGGCCGCAGTTGCAGGAAAGGCCGTACAGGCTGCGGGGCTGCAGGGCGCTAACCAGGGGCATACGTCGCGGAGGGTGAGTCACAGGACGGGGTGACAGTCACCAAGTCACGCGCGCGTCATCGGCACGTCCGCCTGGAACGGGGCCTTGGTGGCCTGCTCGCTGCTTATCGTGCCTGCTAACGCCCAAGACACGCGCGCGGCGTGGCGGCGTGGCCGGGCGTGACGCGGCGGGGTCCAACTTCCGACTGACTAATTTTCGCGCCGCCGATGGCCGGGTGAGCGTCCTCCCTTCGACGAGGCCGACGACGACGCAGGCCGAAGACGCCCCGCGGTGTCACTCAGTCGCTCTGTCTCTCTCGCACCCGTACGGAGGGCCCCGTGAGTGCGAGAGAGACAGAACGACTCATCTGAATCGCCCCCGCAGCGCGCTTTGTTTTATCCGAGCGAGAAAGTGCTCTTGCTGGAGTGGAACGGGACGGGGCCATCGCCGTGCCCCACTGCGTTATCACTGAGACGTCTCTCTCCCTCGCACCCTCGGCGTGCCCCCGCGTGTGTGAGCGAGACGGAGACGCGTCGGAATGAGTCCCCGAGCGGTCCCCGTATCGCATCCCAGCTCCCGCTCGGCGCTCTGTGCTAGTCCGAGGCCGCGCGTGGCTGCCCCTGGCTGCCCGTCGACGGTCATGACGGACACGGGCTCCTTGGTCACTTTCGGCGCGGTAGTAGCAACCGTCACGGCGCCGCCCGCGATCTCGCCGCGCTGCTTTGCTGCTTATCGTCCGCGGCTGCAGACTGACTCCGAGAGTCGTTTTCGTCGCTCTGTCTCTCTCGCACTCGTGGCGCGTCCCGTACAGGTGCGAGGGAGACAGAGCGACGAGAACGACTCTCGAAATCAGTCTGCTGGTGGCTGGTGAACCGCACGGGTCGTTGGTCTTCCTTCCTGATAGCGCTGTGCATACTCGTACTGCAGGCGGCGGTGCGGCGCCCCCGCAGTGGGCCAGAAGACCGGTGGAGGCGGTCACAATCCCGGATGCGTCAAAGTCGCTAAATGGGACTCGAACCGAACGTGTGACCCCACCAATGGACGAGGAGTCCATTGGTGGAGTCACACGATCGGTTCGAGTCAAACACGCCTACAATTTGGGCTGCTTCCACCGGTCTCCTGGCTCACTGTGCGCTTGTCGCCTGGTGGGTCCGCGGCTTAGGCCGTGCGCGTGACGCGTGGCCGCGGTACAGCCAGCGCCAGGTGCAGTGCAGGTGCAGCGAGGCCCGTCTCATCTGGGAAAGAGCGCACCCCGGCCACGTGTTCGCCATACATGCCCTGCCCAATCGATACTCAGGTGCGGCGGCTGATAACGTCTCCGCGTTGCGTCTGCGTGGCCCTCGGCTGTGACGTGCCGTGATGGATGGAATGTTTGGCGTGCGCTATCCTTGGCTATCCTTGTTCCTAGGCGCCGCCAAGCCCAGCCCCCGCGCAGTCCAGCCGCCCGATCCCGGAGGCTCGTCTGTCTCTCTCGCTCTCACGGCGGCCCCCATACGGGTGCGAGAGAGACAGCCGTCGGAATCAGACGACCGCTCTAATCAGGGAGCGACGTCGAGCTGATTCCGAGCAGTGTACCGTCGCGCTTTCTCTCTCGCGCCGCTGAGGAAAGCCCCTTGAGTGCGAGAGAGACAGAAGCCGGCAGGCCGCGCTAATGTACTGCTTCCTCCCGGACGGACACGCGCTGGTCGAAACCTCGTGAGCGGACCTGGCAAACCCGGGCAGTCCTAGACAACCCCGGCAACCCTCCCCCTGGGGTTGTCCTTGGCGCTGCGCGGCCCCGGCGCGGCGGCCCTGGCGGCGGGACGTCTGGCCCGCTTCTTTATCGACGAGATGGGCGTATGTCGGGTTGCTGAACCCGCCCCGCGCCCCGCCGGCTGCTGCAGTGTACTGCCGTGGTACTGCAGCGTGCCCTCGGTGGCTGCGCGCTGCGCCGTCGCCGTGCGTCGGCCGTCGGTCCCGAAGACGCGTCGCGGGGTGGGATGGGCCGCGGGATGGATGAAGTGAAGTCAGGCCCAGGCCAGGCCCCCCACCACGCGGTGCATGTAGGCGATAAGCGCTGCGCCGGCTTGGGCATGGACGGCACGGCGCTGGCGGATTGACGCCGCCGAGGCGATCCTGCCCGGCACGCCCGGCACCGCGCAGCGCGGCCACGCCACTGCGCTGCCAATTTCCCCGCGACGCGGAGCCGCGGAGCGCGCATCCGTCAAGACGCGTCACGACGCGCGGTCGCGAACGCCGAGCTGCCTCCACGACGGCCACCTCCAGGGCGGCGACTCGCTACACATCGCGCCCGCTCTCTGCCCCCAGGCTGCCGTCCGCCATGACGGCCGAGAAGAAGGCCGCCAGCAAGTGGCCCCACCTGCGCTACAGCCGCGCGGCCGCCGACCTGGGGCCCTCGCTGCACGGCCTGCACGGCGACGAGCTCCAGGGACCCACGCTGGGCGGCAGGGCGCGCCGGAAAAGATGCGGACTCTGTCGGATCACCTGCGGTGAGTTGGATCACCATGGTTATTTTTGCGATTCTTTCGGCTGCTTGTTGACATGAAAGTGGAATGCAAATTTGTTCGGGACAAGTGCGGGTGTCTTCTCCGCAAACAATGAGCCGCGCTGCGGCAGTCTGCTCAGACTTTGACTCATGTTGGCCTGGCGGTGCGCAGGGGTCGTCGTCGCCGTGCTGTTCCTCTTGGTGCTGGCGGGCTCGGCGCTGCTCTGCTTCACCAACTTCTTCGAGACGATGGTGCGCCGGGGGCTGGTGTTCCAGGAGGACGGGCCGCTGTTCGCGGGGTGGCGGCAGCCCGCGCTCAAGCCCCTGGTGCGCGTCTTCGTCTACAACTACACCAACTCGGACGAGTTCCTGGAGGGCCTGGCCCCGAAGCTCCGCGTCCAGGAGGTCGGCCCGTACTCGTACAGGTGAGTCGGGACTGCCGCGACGACGCACGGTGGGCCAGAAGGCCGGTGGAAGTGGCCAAAACTCTAGACGCGTTTCGAGCTCCAGCGTCGCTGAATGGGACTCGAATCGAACGTGTGACCCCACCAATGGATTGCTCTCCGAACGAGGAATCCATTGGTGGGGTCACACGTTCGGTTCGAGCCCTGATTAGTGACTCTGGAGCCCAAAACTCGTCTAGAGTTTTGGCCGCCTCCACCGGTCTTCTGGCCCACTGTGCGACGGGGACGGGTGTCCTCTCCGATCTTCGAGGGCTCGTGTACGCGAAGAGGACGCTACGCACCACTCGGTCGGTTGGGTTGTTATCGCGACCCAGACGAGCCATTCCCAAGGGCCGCTTCGTCGCTCTGTCTCTCTCGCACCCCTTCGTGACGCCCCACGAGTGCGACGGAGACAGCGCGACGAAGCGCGCCTTCGGACTCGTCCCGCTGGCCCCGCGGTGCCGCGAGCAGCGCGAGCCGCGATGTGCAAAGACTGTTTTCCGGCCTATCTCTCTGTGGGTCGCCGCGTCGCCGCGCCGTCTTTCTGTTTCTGGCAAGGCCGATCGGCAATCGGCCCAATCTGCGCCGCGCCGCGACTGGAATCCAAATGGCAAATTAGTGTTCGTGTGGCGCGCAGCGCACCGCGCACCGCGGATTGGATTCGGCCCCGCTGGACAATTATATTGGCTTTCGGCTGGGAAACCCGGCGTTACAATGCACTCGCGACATCCACCATCCACGCGCGGTGTGCACATTGCTGTCCCGGGCGACGTTTTTAACGCGAAAAACAGTGCCGACTCACCACGGCTTGCACACTAAACGCCAACGACGACGGAGCGGCATGGCATTCCCTGACGGGCGTCACCGACGACTTCCGCCTGGCTGATAAAGTCCGCTTCTCGCGTTGAAATTTTACGGGCGAGCCCAAAAAGACAGGAACCAATTTGTTTTTCGCGCATTGTAGGGAGACGCTGGAACGGGTCAACATTCGCTTCCACGACAACGGCACCATGTCTTACAGCGAGAAGCGGACGCACGTGTTCGAGCCGACGCTGTCTGGCGGCTCTGAGGACGACGTGGTGACGGTGCCCAACCTGCCTCTCATCGTGAGTACAGAGTCCAGCCTGTCTGGAGCGAACGGGAGAGAGGTGACCCACACGGTGACATCAGCGCGCACTGCCATTGGCTTAGCAGCCAAAGCCTTCCGTGCTGTCGTCAAGTCTGCTGGAGCGAACGCCTGCGAGGTAGGCAGCCTTCCTGGCTGCAGCGCGCAGCGGCGTGGCGCGCGGCCTACCTCCCAGGCGTTCCCCGGCAGCTCAAACTTCTAGACGCGTTTTGAGCTCCAGAGTCGCTAAACAGGACTCGAACCGAGCGTGTGACCCCACCAATGGATTGCTCGTTCGGAGAGCCGATGTCTTACTGTCGGTGTTGCAGGGCGCCATGGCACGGGTCGTGAACGAGGGCGCCATCGCGCAGTTCGCGCTCAACGGCGCCTTCCTCTTCTCGCCGCCCGCCCAGTTCGACCGCCTGCGCGCCAAGGACTTCCTCTTCGGCTACAACAACTCTGTCTACAACTTCGCCAAGGGCGTCTCGGCGCTGTCGCAGAGCGGCCCCGTGCCCAAGCTGGGCCTCATCGCCACGGTGAGGCCGCGCGAGAGGCGCTCTGTCTCTCTCGCACTTACAGGGAAGCCCCATGAGTGCGAGAGAGACAGAGCGACGAAAACGTGGAGCAGGCTTGCGGTCTGTGTGGTACACTGTCCATCTCGTTTCCGCGGCAGTGCTGTGAACTTGCGTCGTTTTGCAGCGCTCCGGCCTGAGCAACGACAGGTACACCGTGTTCACGGGCAAGGGCAACTTCTCCCTGCTGGACGTGGTGTCGCGCTTCAACGGCCGGGAGGCGCTGTCGGTGTGGGAGAGCGACGACTGCAACCGCATCGACGGCTCGGAGGGCGCCTTCTTCAACCTGGACGCGCTGCGCGACCGCCGGCCCGTCCACGTGTTCAACGCGGGCATCTGCCGGCGCCTGGCGCTCGAGTTCAAGTCCGAGACAACGGTCATGGACGGCATCCCCGCGCTGCGCTACGGCCCGCCCGACAACTTCTTCCACAACGCGCTGGACAACAGCGACAACGCGTGCTACCGCCACTCCAGCTTCGACACGCACCTACCCTCCGGCGTGTTCAACAACTCGGCCTGTTCCTACGGTGCGTAGCGCGTAGCGTCGAGTGGGGGCCGAGATTTTCTGGGCTTGGAACGGTTGGCTAGTGCGTTGGCACAGTGGAGGGAAGCCAAATCCTCTAATGCTATCATTCATATCTTTATCTTTTGCAATCCAGGGTCACCAACATATTTGTCGTTTCCACATTTTTATCTTGGCGATCCCAGCCTCAGAAATGTGGTGGACGGCATGGACCCACCAGATCCGGAGAAACATCAAATGTACTTCACTATTCATCCCGTAAGAACACTGAGTTGTCGGCCTTTTACCTGCTTATTTTGTACACTCTGTCAATGTGGTATCAATCTCTGTATTTTCCTACCAGGTTCTGGGAATGAATTTAGGAGCGGTGTCAAGGATCCAAATAAACGTCATGATCAAGAAGGCTTCATACGTCCCACAATTGAATCGTTTTGAAGATGGAATGATAATTCCAGTTGCCTGGATAGAAACTGTAAGTGAGGAAAAAAAAAAACAATTCAAAACATAATTTTTTAACTACTGATTTGACAGGTTGTGTTCATTAATATAATTTTTACAGAATGCAAGACAGTTCCCAGAGGAGACAAAGAGAGCAGTGTATCATGCAACTTTCACTCTGAGAGCGGTTGAAAAAGGAATGATGTATGCCTTCCCCATCCTGACCTTTATTATGGCCTGCATATTAGCATGCATCATAATTCCATGTGGAACAAAACGACCCAAAGAACCTCCCATCCAAGTAATCAGACTATCGTAGTCTGTATTGTGATAGAAAAAAAGTGTTCTGTTTAGTGTTAAATTGTTTGGTTTAAAATAGTTTATTAATTGTTGTAGCCCTGTATCTATTACCATGTTTGGATATAACAGGTAAAAAATGAACTTAAGTAGGTGATCTGCTTAAGTAAATGGGATTGCTGGTCTCCGCTCGAAAATGTGCAGATATTGGACCACAGCAAAAGTTTTGGAGAAGTAATCTTGGGAAGTGGAATTTTGTCTCAAACACAAATTGAAATTGAGAAAGATCAGCTTTGGAAATTGTTTAATTTCAAATGCATGACTTCCAACTTTCACTGTCAAGTTATTTATTTTCTTAAACATTCCTTTAAAATAGCATGAATTGTGGTTTTCATTATTTATCAAATGTAATTGTGTGACAAAGAACTGATTTAAATGTAAGATTTGAAACTATGTAAAATTATTTAAGTTGTCTACTTTTTTATTTAGAAAGTAAATTGTTCAATTTAAGTGTTTTCGATAAGCGTAGTAGATATGTGTACTGTCTCCTGACATGATTGAGCTAGGGACCAAACAAATCGTACATTCATCCTGAATGGTGTACATGATTGTTAGTAATTCAGTTTTGTCTTTTGATATGTGCCTTTTCCCCATACTTTTGGGATCCTTTGTGTCATTCAAATGTTTTATGTACAACATTTAATTATTAAGTTGGGATTGTGGACACAGCTGTGATGTGTTAGTAGTTGTGACTTAGGGGAACAAATTCAGTAACTAGTTACTAATCATGTTTTGGTAATATTTCTTTGCATTTGTTACCTCCATGGAAGTCATCGAAGGTTGTGAAAGCCGTCCTTTAAAGCGCTTACAAATGATAGCTGACTGCATCTCCACCTTGTATTAGAGGCTTCCTGCTCTGAAAATGTGAAAGTTTTCCTCTGATCTCAGTAATAGAGACAAGTACGAATGCATTCGAATTAGTTTAACTGGTGCAATGTAGCGCATAGTCAAGCGGTGTCAGTCAGCCCTTGTGTGATCTTGCCTCTACCTGTGCCATAATTAGACAGGACACTGTTCACTGTGATATTTGTGAGTTTTTATAAGTTAGTTAGGTAATTAATTCATGAATGATAACTTGATACTCATTGAGTTTTACCGTAACATTCCAGTCCAGAGAACAATTGTTAACAAATATTTAAGGCTCTGAGAGTCTGCTTAACTCACTGTATTTCCTGCTCAATGTATGTTTCACTTTATAGATACCATTGCACTATTAAGAGTGACTATCTTTAAAACAAATGTATAAAACGTATGTTTCATGTCAATTCCATTTTTGGATTCTCAGTTTTGTTCTATAAAAATTGCCCTGGATTATCATCTATTTACCTCCTCTGCCATAAAAGTGTGGCTTTGCCACTTGCATCTTGTAGCTTAGAGTCCATTGGTCAGAAATATGTCTAGGGGTAAGTTGAAGTACATCAGTTCACCATCTTGATGACCATTTGACACAAATTTCATTCATGTTTTCATTTTCAGTTGAGCTAGCTAGTTAAAAGATGATTCAGAATAAAGATGTACTTTTCCCAACTTATCCCTTTGTCATTTTTTTTTCTACTGGTGTGTTAGCAAATGAGAAGTAAGGAGCAAGAAATATAAAGAGAAGGCAAGTCGATTTAAAATATAAATATTTATTTGTGATGAAAACAGAGTTTAAAATTCTGCAAATATATAAAGTCTTTTCAATAAAATGGTTTCATCAACCGGTTAAGACATCTATCCACATTAAGATTTAAGTTGACTCAGGATACCCCAATAATTTGAGGAACACAAAAAAGAAAGAAAACAACTTGTTTAGACAGTTACACACAGAGAACACCACTTAACCAGTATTCACTTGCAGTACCATTCAGTGAAAATCAACAGAATAAAACACAATTTGGATATTGCACTACAATAAATTTGAGACAAATGAAAGTCAACCAAGAGCCAAATGTAAAAGACTTTTTTTAAGAATGCCTGAAAGTATAAATTAATTTAAGACCAAGAATGGTACGCAATGTCACACAAATACACCTTCTCAACATGATACAGAATAATAGCAGACTAATAACTCATATACAGCCCAGTAATGGACCTGAGATCGATTAATTAAGTTAAATCACATCGAATTCTTTTCAATAACTAACGTTGCATGGTTTTGTCAGGAGTCTCAAGAAAGCAAACAAAATGGGGAACAAATTCGATTTGAATTACGAAGGCAGACTTCATTATAGGACTAGATAGACATTTTCCACGAGAGCGAATTAAAGTCAATAAAGCTGCCACTTACAAAAGAATCACTTAAGAAACTCCATTTCAAAACCAACTGCAAGAAGTAGATAAACATCTGTTTTACCTTAACATATCATGAAAGCCAGGGTGGAGGCTTACTTGTACATGGAAGCTACATCATGAAACATTCAAAACAAAATGCTGATCAAACTAACAAAAAATAAAAATAACAATTAGAGCACAACAAATTAAAAATACCTCTGAGTAAGTCAGTAAGTTATCAAGCTGATCAGCACCTCCAGCAAAACAGAGTTTAGGAATCACAAAATTAAAAAAAGAAAAAAAGTAAACACCCCACTTTCCCACAAAATTGAAAAATTGAAAATTCTACCTAATTGTGCACAAAAGTGCCAAGTCAAAGACCGAGACGCTTCATTCCTACACCTCGAGGATATAATCTATTCTTGCCATCACCACCATTCCATGATTTACTCTTAGACCTAAATTTGCGGAGATCGTTTTCGTGGTCTGGGTGTGTCATTGGCCGATAGGCTTGAGGGTCACAGAGACTTTGATATTGCTCATAAAATTGCTTGTAACCACCATTCAGTAGGTACATCTCAGGAAAATCTAATGAGGGATAGCATTCCTTATTAGTGTCGCGGTCAGAATTCCTCAAAAAGCGAGACCTGGAAAAGTAACAGCTCTTTTAGAAAAACTGGTAAACATAATTTATCAAGGAGAAAGAGAAAGGAACACAGGTAGAGAGTACTTACAAATTAGGTCCCCTCTCTGACGAAAATTCACAATGGAAGATTAAAATACTGCGCTTGTTGCCAACATTAGAATCTGAGGAGTCAGGCTTGTTTACTCCATCCTTGGTGTTCACAAACTCCTTGTAAATTTGCTCCTTTGTGTAGAAGTTCTTGGCACCACGAATGTGACCACCCTCAAATTCATAGGGATATCTGTAAAACAAAAACAAATATATTCTGATTAGAAATTTATTGGGCAGATTCTAAAAAAATGTTAAGTATAGTTGAGGATGAAAGTAGAAGCAGCAAACAGTCCTTTACATACCTGCAATCCACAATTGTGAAGCTGGCAATTTCATCCTTGAATTCTCCCCTCATCAGTGCAGCAAGGGTGTCCACAGAGATGCTCTTGAGATCTTGGTGGCGTCCTTCCATGAGAGGAAGGGCGAATGGTTTGCTGAAGTCACCGATAAGATCAGGGTTGGTAGAGGCCCTCAGAAGGGCCGATTTGATAGTTGCTTCAGTCTCCGAGAAGCAGCGCTGGAATTTGGGTGGTGTTGGTTTATGGGAAACTTGCAGGGGGCTCTGAGGTGAAGTGTTGAGGTTATCTTGAATGCACTGCAGGAACTTCCGCCTCTTGACTTGAATGGGGCTGTGCTTGTCAGTCGGAGGTTCAGGGCGCTTGAAGGAGCCCCCGCTGGACAGGTGCAGAGAGGAAAGAGCGTTGGAGGCAAGTTGAGAGACGGGAGACGCCTCAGGGGTTGGGGCAAAATCAGAAGAGTGGTCCAACGTCCTAACAACACTGGACTGCTTGAATAAAGAAGTGCGAACCTGAAAAAGGGAAGGGACACTTAGAATCCGATGCATCTCAATTGTATTGTTTTTGTTCACGGTGAAAAAGATTAACAACATACCTTGACTACTCTGCTAGAAGCAGGTGTAAAGCTATCTGAGGTAGACAAGGAACGGCGGAAAGAAGGCTTGGGGAAATCTTCAGTTGGACAAGCTTGCAATTGTTCCAGCATAGGGCTATCAGAGTACGGGGACAGGCTATTGCTTGCTGTGCTGCCCAGAGATAATCTGTCTTTGTGGATGTCCCCGGAGAGGAGATCACTCATTCCAATGGGAACCTGAGTGTCCTCATCCTGCACAAATAAATAATGAGTTAGATTAGTACAATGATTAAAAATACTTCAGAAATCCAATCTGCATGTCTTCAATAAATTTCTTACCACTTTTTCACTCATGAAGAGCTCCATGAAGCCATCATCGATTGATTCACTTCCTGAACTCGATGATCTACTGTAAAGAGAAGATGGCTGCAAGGATGAGGCGCGTTTGCTTTGAGGTGATGGAGTGAGCTCCTTCCTTGGCGATGGTTCGATTGGTGTCTTTCTTGGAGCCATACGAAGGGGCTCAGCAAAGCGGAAGCTGGACTTGGCATCTTCACCAGCAAAGCAAGCACCGTAGCCGCTATCTTGGGAGTTGGGGTCCTGATCTTCCAGCGGTAGCCTCAGCCTTGGGCTGATAGCTTGCCGGATGGCACCAAACTGGAATGCGCAAAACAACAACTGTGAGTTGATGGCGACAACGCGCAGGTGCACAGCGTCTCACTACGACCAATACTCACCTTGGAAGGGCTTGAGAAGCTTTTGATGGGGCTGGCCAGGAACAGGTCAGTTTTGTCAAAGGTAGTGACATTCTCCTTGTCGAAGTCACCCAGGACAGGGCTTGGGCTAGCCCTGGCCCTGTCGATGGCTGCCGACAGACTCATTCGGCGTGAGATAGGGCCGCTCGCACTCCTGCTCCTGCTGGTCAGTGCGCTTTGCTTGAAGGCTGTCTTCAGTAGCCTGGATAACAACAAGCAAGTCACACATGAGCCGGGTGTTGTTTGGGAGCCACACAGAGCAGTGCTTGGGGATGGAGGGGGACGGGGTGTCGGACCCACACACAGCCCGCGCCCTAACCTCACTTGGCCCAGAGTTTGCCTTCGCCACTCGGCTTAGTTAGACAAGCACCTTCACGCGTTGGACGGGACGGGCATCGTCGGCACTGGCTGCGCTCGGCGAGCGCTACAGCACGAGCCTGGCGAATGTGTCGCCACGGAGATAAGAGCGACGCATCGCGCAGCCCATCACGGACGGGGTCCTATCCGGACTTGAAGAACTGGGCCGCCTGGCCTCGGCCTCAATCAGCCGCCTGTTCCTTTTCACACTCGCGCCACACTCGCCCGGTCACCGGACGAGGAAAAAAGGTCCGAACTCGCGAGAAAACGCCAGCGAGGCCAAGTTCCACGCACGATTCGTTTACAACTTTCCACAACCCTTTCCCCTCCCAGCCCGCGCTAGCCGGCCACTGCTGCCAACCTGCCGGCGCCGAGCCAAACAACGCCAAGTCTCGCGCCTTCCGCGCCGCACTGTTGGCACTCGGCAGCGGAGCGGGGCGGGGCACGGCACGGGGCGGCAGAGTTCGAAACGCAACGCCCCCGGGACGTTCTGGGATTTGTTCCGTTCACAGAGTGGAACAGGAGGAGTTTAGGCTGGTGTGGCCCGCTGGAGCAGCGCGAGGAGGCTCTCGTGTTGAGGAGACCTGCGGCGCCGACATGGGAACAGTCGGGCCGGAGATCGCGGAGCACTCCATCGCGGAGGTGGCTCAGGACGAGCACGACGAGCACGACGAGGGGTCGGGAGGCAGGGGGTGTGGTAATCCAAGCGTAAATCCAAGAGGCGGCGACGATATGTACCTTGTGCAGCCTTCGCAGACTTCACAACTTTCACAGAGGGTTCTCCAACACAGCATAGTCCGACTAAAACTGAACAGCAGCCGCTGTGGTAGCGCGCTGCTTCACGGGACTTCACGGGGCGTGAAGTTTGAAGGGACTTGAGACGGCAGCCAGCTCCGCTTCGACTGCGAGGCGGGCAGGAGGGAGCCGTGGCCGTCCGGATTCGAGTCGACGCGAAGACTGACTCATTCCTCTACCGCGGCTCGCGGCTCGCGGGCTGGCTTGGCTTGGGCCCCGCGCCACCCTCCCCCGTGCCCATCCCTTCCCCGGTCGCCGTCGGCCCGCGTCGGCCGCCGTGGAGGCGTGGTGGAGGTGGAGGGGAGCTTGGCCGCGGCGCGCGCGCACCCGAGACCCGAGCGCCGTGCAGGCGAAGCAGGCCGCCGAAGCGGAGGACGGCCGAAGCACTTCGTGCAGCAGTCCGGGTGGTGGGGGCCAAGGGGGGTGGGGTTGCACACACATGCACACATGTGCAGCTCAGGCGGCCGCCGGCGCTGTCGCCGTCGCTCACATCAGCACTGCACTCGGCCTGGCGGGCCGGATGCTGGTGGAAAGGCAACTCGGTCGCCCTCGTCGTCACCAACGGCCCAAAGGCCCCGAGAACGAGATACGTCCCTCCTGGCACTGCTAATGAATGGAGGGGCGGGGGAGGAGAGGGGAGCTTCCGGGGCCGCCCTGGCCGCCCTTAGCGCCCCGCCGGATCTCACACTTTATCCAGAGCAAACAACAGGGCTGGCGCAGGGGGTGCAATTACCTAGGCCCTTGTCAGTCATTCGTCCGCAGAGTGTCGCCGCCGAATAGAGAGATTACAGGCAGCGAGGGGCCCAACACACTAATCGACAAAGAGGAACGGGCACTACTTCTGCACCGTAATCACAATCACGTCAGAAACGCTCCAGGCGAGAGCAAAACAAACACTCCGACACCGTTCGAGGCGTCGAAAAGTTTTCCTTGATCAAAATTTAAGTTCGAATCCAAACTTTTGCCGACTAATCAACACTCGCAGTGGCTGTCCTGTGCAGGAGCCACCGCCCTTGAAAGGCCCTCTGAGGCCATCGGCCGTCCACGAAGGGCGTGGAGGGCACGAAGGGCACCAGGACGGTCGCCCTTCCCGCGGGTGGGGGTGGAGGGGACCAGCTGAGCACCGCCGCGCCGCGCCCCGGGAGGCACAGCCGGGAGGCCACGGAGGTTGCCGCGCCAAGGCGCCCGTCCAGGCGTCCAAGTTCGACGACCTGTACCTGTTCTCACGTCCCGCGCGCTGCCCGGCCCGAGGCCCGGCCAGCCCGCCTCGACCCGCGGCCCGCCAGGACCGTGATGGTCGGTTGGGTTACGCCCCTCGCAACGGGTTTGGTTTGGCGGGCGAACCGTTATGGCGCGGCCGACGGGCTGCTCGCCGGCCTCCACGGCGCCGTCGAACCTCGAACTTGGAAGTTGCAGGTTGGAGTTGGAGGCCATGGCCGTGCCGCCGCGCCAAACAACAAACAACTGCGGCACGGCTTTCCCCCGCGAACCACGTCGCTCCGCGGCCACATCCCGAATCCGCGCTCCCAGCGGCCCCAACGCTCTCTCCGTCTCTCTCGCACTCCCGGGGCGTCCCGAACGGGTGCGAGAGAGGCGGAGTCGCTTAGCCGGCCGGGCTTTCGCTTCCGCGGGAAAAGTAACGGTGGGTTCCGGGCAGGCCGTCGACGGGGACCCTGAGGGGACGGGACGGGACGGGGACCCTTCCCGGCGACCGCGCCGCGCCTCGCCGCGCCACGCTAAGTGACGGCGAGCCCGCCAGCCACCCCTTGGTCCCCTCGGCCGCCGTCTCGGAGCGCACCGTCCTGGAGCGCATCGTCTTGGCCGCCAACCTTCGCCAACAAAAGCAATCGAATCGAAATTTTAGCAGCTTGATTTTGGCGACAATGGCGCGGCTGAGGGGAGAGTAAGAACAGTAAGACGGTCGCGGAGCGCTGGGCTGCAGCGCGGGCTGCCTGGCTGCGCTCGTGCGGGGAGCCTCCCCACCGTCTTGTACCCGTCCCGGCGGGGCGGGGCGGGGCGGGGCGGGGCGGGGCGGCCTCGCCTCCCTTCGCGCCGCGGCGCGTGCTACCGATGCCAGCTGCTATAGCTGCTATGGGCGATGTACTGGTGTACTGGTCGGCCAAGACACAGCTGTGGGGTCAAGGCGCGGAACGCGGAACGGGCGGGGAGCGCCGGCCCGCGCCAGCCGGAACCAAGGGACACGAGTGGACATTCACCTCCTCGGATTCAAGATTTAAAAACAAGAAAAATTTTAAAGAAATTAATTTGCTTGTTAGAATAATTGCTGGTTTTACTGTCGCAAATCCATGTAACCACAATGAAGGCGCTTTGGTGAATGAAAACCAAGAGAGGGCCAACCAAACGAAAGTCCAGCTCTTGCTACTGTAAACGTCAAAAAAATTAATATGAAACACAGCTGAAGGTGCACCTTGCATGCGCAATTCTTTCACACCTGCTAGGCGACTGTTAAAAAAAACAGCAGGGGCTGATTTCCGCTCTGAGAATGTCAATGACCCGAAGTGCTCGCTCCCCTGAACGAAACCTCACTTCCCTCAAAACCTCGGATGAAACGGAAGACTGGCATAACCATTGAGAAACCAGCAAACCCGTCCAGAAAACGATCAAAACAAAAAAAAAAGGTCATCGTTTTTACACTCCGTCCCAAAGAAAATTGTGCCAGTAAACCAGTCCGGGTGTACAGTCAGGCTTCCGGTGCAGCTGGCGCGCTCTTGCGCGCGACTGTACAGCGGCGGGACGGCCGGCGCGGCGAGGGCTGCACCCCTTATGCTCGCGGGGTGAATCGGGGAGGAGGGGGGGGGGGGGAATGTGGCACGTGCCGCCGCGATAGCGCGAACGAGAGCGACAGAGAGAGAGAGAGAGAGAGAGAGAGAGGGAGAGAGAGAAAAGAGAGAGAGAGAGAGAGAGAGAGAGCGAGAGAGACAGAGAGAGCGAGACAGACAGAGAGAGCGATCTACCCGCAGCCGCGCCCCCTCCCCCTCGGCGTGAATGCCCAGATCCCCCCTCTCTCCCCCCTCCCCCTTCCCGCGCCCTGACATTGTCCTCGTAACAAGTGATTCTCGCCCGGAGAAAGAGAAAGTCTAAGCGTTTTGCGTTTAGAAAAATATTTGAGAATTTTTTTTTTCATTAGACTTTTGACAAATGTCAAGAGATTTTTTTCCCCTCCTTGTTTCAGATGAGGGGTACTGTAGCAGCGAGAAGCAACTAGTTGGTTTTTCAGTAAAGCCCTTGGCACCACCGCCTTTGCACCCGCAGGACCTGTTGCCCGCGATGGGAGAGTTGCACGCGGGAGCCAGTCCAGGATCGAGGACCGGTCGCGATTTCTTTGCCGTCGGGAAGAAAGGCCCAATTCGCGTTACTCATTTCGGTTTTGTCGCGAAGCAAGATTTAATAAAAACCAGTACACAAACGAAAAAAAAAAAACCACGAGAAAAAAAAAGCCAAGCAACGAAACCCTTGTTTTTCTGCCGGCTTCGGCGAACGCGGTGGTGGGTAAGGGAAAAAATATGCGCTTTGCCAGGGCTGCTTTCGGGATCGGCTTCCTTCGCCAGTGTCTCATTTTCCTACCCTCCTCGCTCCACACACGGCTCGCACTTCTTTCCCCCGATCCATTTTTTTTCAGTCCCCGTCTGGCGGGCTGATTTGCATTTTACTTGTTGTATTCCACGTCCTACGTCTTCGCAGGGGTCAACGCCGTTGCTGGATTTCTGCGAGCGACTTTGGGCGACTGTACAATCGATACTGCTCGATGGATGAAACGATGAATCGATGAAACGTTGAGACCGTGTGCGCGGCGCCGAAGACGCTCGGCAGTCTCAAGTCGAAAGTAAAACGAGCTCTCGCGGACTCGGCGGAGCATTCCTGCGGCCATGCCTGCGACAAGGAAGCGCGGAAGACGAGACCCTCTGCTTTTTCCTTCCCTTTCCTTTTCGCAGGGTAATGTTTCACGTATCGGTTCCCGTTCGTTTCGTTCCGTTCCCGCGCCGAGGCAGAAGGGACCGCGAGGGTCGTCTCGTCTCGGCCGTCGCGGCCGCGCTCCAGATCCGGAGGCCAGAGGCAGGCCAGAGGGCTGCACCCGGGCCGTCTCCGTCTCTCTCACGAGAACCTCGACGAGAACGCGCTCGGCGGGGTCAGCAAGGCAACGCACTGCATCGCACGGGGCTGCATCGTCTGCATCGCACTTCCCGAGGGGGTGGGGATTCTCTCACGCCCAATTTTGCGTCGCGACTAGGAGTCACAAAAAATAACCAAAATTAACAAAAGCAAAAACCAATGGCAAATGAAATTTAATTGGCATCGAGTCCTGCAAGTCGGTCAGCGAGGTGGATGTCACTTGGACGCCCTCCAGGTGCATTACCCGGTAGGGCCAGGACGGCCAGGGCGGCCGGGGCCGCGAGCTCACACGAGGACATCGACCCGGCGACGTCGGCGACCCTCGTCACGCGACGCCACCGCGACGCTGTCCTTCGACAGGACCAGCGCGCCATCCGGATGGGTCGGGGTGGCGTTCCCTTTTCGGCCTCCTGGCCTCCCCCAAGCCCCTCGTCGTCGT